ACACTCGTTACCTCCGATTGGGAGTCACCAGACCAATTACCAAAACACAAACAAATGAAACACACCCCTACCCAACACAACCAAATGAAATACACCCTGACTCATATACACAGTCCCGGAGCCAGAGTGTGACAGTATCGTATTATTTAAACGGTATCGTATTATTTCAACTGTATCGTATTATTTCAACTGTATCGTATTATTTCAACTGTATGGTATTATTTCAACTGTATGGTATTATTTCAACTGTATCATATTATTTAAACTGTATCATATTATTTAAACTGTATCATATTATTTAAACTGTATGGTATTATTTAAACTGTATGGTATTATTTAAACTGTATGGTATTATTTAAACTGTATCATATTATTTAAACGGTATCGTATTATTTCAACGGTATCGTATTATTTCAACTGTATGGTATTATTTCAACTGTATGGTATTATTTCAACTGTATGGTACTATTTAAACTGTATCGTATTATTTAAACTGTATCGTATTTTTTTAACTGTCACTTTAACCAGTATCATACTACTCTATCACCTTCTGTCACCTCTATCATGTGTAGCTCATTTGGTAGAGCATGGCGCTTACAACGCCAGGATTGTGGGGTTTGATTCCCCTGAGGGACCAGTATAAAAAAAGTATGAAAATGCACTCACTACTGTAAGTCGCTCTGGATAAGTGCGTCTGCTAAATGATGTGCAGTTGAAGTCGGAGGTTTACATACACTTAGGTTGGAGACATTAAAACTCGTTTTTCAACCACTCCACAAATGTCTTGTTAACAAACTATAGTTTTGTCAAGTCGGTTAGGACATCTACTTTGTGCATGACACAAGTAATTTTTCCAACAATTGTTTACAGACAGATTATTTCACGTATAATTCACTGTACCACAATTCCAATGTGTCAGAAGTTTACATACACTAAGTTGACTGTGCCTTTAAACAGCTTGGAAAATTCCAGAAAATGATGTCATGGCTTTAGAAGCTTCTGATAGGCTAATTGACATCATTTGAGTCAATTGGAGGTGTACCTGTGGATGTATTTCAAGGCCTACCTTCAAACTCAGTGCCTCTTTGGTTGACATCCTGGGAAAATCAAAAGAAATCAGCCAAGACCTCAGAAAAGAAATTGTAGACCTCCACAAGTCTGCTTCATCCTTAGGAGCAATTTCCAAACGCCTGAAGGTACCACGTTCATCTGTACAAACAATAGTATGCAAGTATAAACACCATGGGACCACGCAGCCGTCATATCGCTCAGGAAGGAGATGCGTTCTGTCTCCTAGAGATGAACGTACTTTGGTGCGAAAAGTGCAAATCAATCCCAGAACAACAGCAAAGGACCTTGTGAAGATGCTGGAGGAAACAGGTACAAAAGTATCTATATCCACAGTAAAACAAGTCCTATATCGACATAACCTGAAAGGCCGCTCAGCAAGGAAGAAGCCACTGCTCCAAAACCGCAATAAAAAAGACAGACTATGGTTTGCAATTACACATGGGGACAAAGATTGTACTTTTTGGAGAAATGTCCTCTGGTCTGATGAAACAAAAATAGAACTGTTTGGCCATAATGACCATCGTTATGTTTGGAGGGAAAAGGGGATGGCTTGCAGGCCGAAGAACACCATCCCAACCGTGAAGCACGGGGGTGGCAGCATCATGCTGTGGGGGTGCTTTGCTGCAGGAGGGACTGGTGCACTTCACAAAATAGATGGCATCATGAGGAAGGAAAATTATGTGGATATATTGAAGCAACATCTCAAGACATCAGTCAGGAAGTTAAAGCTTGGTCGCAAATGGGTCTTCCAAATGGACAATGACCCCAAGCATACTTCCAAAGTTGTGGCAAAATGGCTTAAGGACAACAAAGTCAAGGTATTGGAGTGGCCATCACAAAGCACTGACCTCAACCCTATAGAAAATGTGTGGGCAGAACTGAAAAAATGTGTGTGAGCAAGGAGGCCTACAAACCTGACTCAGTTACACCAGCTCTGTCAGGAGGAATGGGCCTAAATTCACCCAACTTTTTGTGGGAAGCTTGTGGAAGGCTACCTGAAACGTTTGACCCAAGTTAAACAATTTAAAGGCAATTCTACCAAATACTAATTGAGTGTATGTAAACTTCTGACCCACTTGGAATGTGATGAAAAAAATAAAAGCTGAAATAAATCATGCTCTCTACTATTCTTCTGACATTTCACATTCTTAAAATCAAGTGGTGATCCTAACTGACCTAAGACAGGGAATTTTTACGAGGATTAAATGTCAGGAATTGTGAAAAACTGAGTTTAAATGTATTTGGCTAAGGTGTCTGTAAACTTCTGACTTCAACTGTATGTGTATGTAACTTCCACCGACAGCACTCTATCGCCCCCTGTGTGTCTGCAGGTGAAGGGCTTGCTGAGAGAGCCTCGGCTGGAGCTGCTGGATCTGCCGGTAGGAGAGTACATTGTCAGGGTGAGATGCCGTTCCCGCAACAACGGCCTCTGGAGCAAGTGGAGCACCCCTGTCCTACTCTGCGTCCCAGCTAAATCTACCCCTGGTAGGAACTCTTAACTGTCTGATGATTCAGTTACTGTCTGCACCTACCCACAGTCAACTCCTAATCTGTGGTATTAATATGACCCATATTAGTGTTGGCATATGGAGTGATCTAGGTGTGTGCTGTCTTTGTCCCTACAGATAAGCTGCTGGCTCTGCTGTTGGTGTCCGGTGTTGGGGTCATGGTGTTGCTAGTCATCGGGTTTGGAATTATGCTACAGGGCAAGAGGTAGAGAAGGACACACACACACACACACATAAACAACTATGTAAACATTAAATACACTTAAGATACAACGTTTGATTTATCACATAAAGGACTGGTGTAGAGATAAACGTGTGCAGGATTGATCTTGTATTGATATAGAAACCCTTCTATATTACATGCTAGATATGCTGTAATATCAATAGATCTAAAGGTAGAAAGTGTATTGATGGTTCTCTCTGATCCCTGTCTTTCGCTATAGGATAAAAGCATTCCTTCTGCCTCCAATTCCCAAACCACGCATCAAAGGCATCAATCCCCTGCTTCTGAAGGTAAGAACACACACACATATGCACACAAATGCACACACACACACACACACACACAGATGCACACACACATTCACACACACACATATGCACACACACATTCACACACACACCAGCATGGTGACTTATAACTCATCGTTCACTCAAGGTTCACTGAGTCATTTGTTTTTCTGTTCTTCTCTATCCCCTCCCCTTCCTATCTTCTCTAACCCCTCCCCTTCCTATCTTCTCTATCCCCTCCCCTTCCTATCTTCTCTAACCCCTCCCCTTCCTATCTTCTCTATCCCCTCCCCTTCCTATCTTCTCTAACCCCTCCCCTTCCTATCTTCTCTAACCCCTCCCCTTCTTATATTATCTAACCCCTCCCCTTCCTATCTTCTCTAACCCCCCCCCTTCCTATCTTCTCTAACCCCTCCCCCTCCTATCTTCTCTAATCCGTCCCCTTCCTATCTTCTCTATCCCCTCCCCTTCCTATCTTCTCTAACCCCTCCCCTTCCTATCTTCTCTAATCCGTCCCCTTCCTATCTTCTCTATCCCCTCCCCTTCCTATCTTCTCTAACCCCTCCCCTTCCTATCTTCTCTATCCCCTCCCCTTCCTATCTTCTCTATCCCCTCCCCTTCCTATCTTCTCTAACCCCTCCCCTTCCTATCTTCTCTATCCCCTCCCCTTCCTATCTTCTCTAACCCCTCCCCTTCCTATCTTCTCTAACCCCTCCCCTTCCTTTCATTTTTTCTCCTCCCTCCTTCTCTCTCAGAAAGGGGGCTTTGATGAGATCAACCATCATTTCATCTCCTTCCATGGCTATAAGCCCCCAAGCTACAGCGAGGAGGAGGTCTGGGACTCTGTCAGCATGGACAACAACCAGTCTCTCCAGGCTCCCCCGGGGGTCCTAGCAGTCCGGACGGAGGATTACGGTATGGCCATCCACAGCCAACTACTGGTCCAGACCCCCTCCAGCCACGCCCCTTACACCCCAGTCCCCACCTCTTACACCCCAGTCTCCGCCCCTTACTGCCAGGCTCCAGTGGAAGCCTTCCCGACCGCGTGGGCATGGCCAACAGCAAACCCCGCCCAGCCGGAGCTTCTGGACTTCCCGGGAACCGACTACAGCATGATGGTGGACCCCACCCCCGTCCCGCCTCCGGACCAGCAGGCCCCACCCCCATCCTCCACCCAGGACTTCTACACGTGCGTGAACGTGCTGGGTGTCAACGGACAGGTGCAGCTGGTGCCCTGCCTGCCCAACCACCGGAAACACAGCCCCTACGTACAGCTGGAGGAGGAGCTAGAGGAGAAGACCAGCCAGTTAGCTGACTACCTGGCTAAGAAGATGGAGGCAGTAGCCAATGGGAGAGCGCTGGGGGAGACAGAGGTGGAGACAGAGAGTGTGGAGCAGAGTGAAGTGGCTGTGCCTTTACTGCCTGGAACCACTGGCACACAGGGCAACAGGGTGTGACCAGTTAACACACACACACACACTAACACACACTCACACACAAACACACACAGCAACAGGAATTACTCTAGGCTCAAATGAGGATGTTAACTCATGGATGGACCTCTGAATAGACCTACTTAATATACTAACATAATGAAGTGTTCTTGTGAGTGCACCGGCCTGGGACATGACTCCTCTGTGTCTCTACCCCCCCAGTGACACTGCTGCTACTTCTGTTCACTGCTGATATGGCAGGGACAACGTTCTGACAAAAGTCTCTCTGCGGGGAATCAGAGATGCAGCATTTGACCGTTTTCTTTCAGTGCGGAGCCAAGGTTGGGATACAAGATGGATTCCTTTTAACGCAGAAAATCTGACAAGATATAAAACGGCAACTTGCAAATTGTCTTGAACAATAACAATAGATTCTCCATAGAACTGTTGTTGTGTGGATTGAGTCACTGAAAGGTTATTTTACTCACCTGTTCCTCTGTCCAATCTTGTTAGAAAATAACGACTGCGAACTCTCTTTTTGTTGGATGTATAATGAATGACCAACCACTCTGTGAAAGATGCTTAGATTTTTTTAACAATCATGTTTTAGGGCTCTGTGAACTCATTTAACTGTTAAACGAATGCAAGAATACCAGTTGTACCGTTCTGAGGCCCGGGCAGAAGTTAGCATGCATTTAGAGAACAGTGGAGCACACCAAAGATCTGAACACCCAGACCAAGAGAGCAGTAAACAAAATGTAATGCACTTCTTCAAATATAAATGAATTTTAGAGATAAATTATTGTAATTATTAGAATGAATGAATTACAGAGAAAATACTGTAATATATAAAATACACTAATGATGTGAAATATAATGAGGCAATGTGATGATAATAATAGTAATACTAATAATAATAACAGTAAAGTACACTTATAAAATGAACTGTCTGGGTTAAATCCATGAACTAAAATCACAGATTTAACTGCATGCTTCATACTCAGGAACTCAACCAAGCATACAGTAGGAAGTCAACCCAGCAAAGGTGCAATATACTTTTAGTCCCATGTGACGGAACAAAAATACACAAACACACAAACACTCAAAACTTTTTTTTTTTCTTTCTTTTATTTTTTTGTCAGAAATGAAACTACAGATTGCACTGTATTCAAAACAAGTAATTTTTGGTAACATCTATCATTTTCAGTCTGTAAAACAGCCCTCACTATGCACTGCTACATTAGCTACTATTAACTACATGCTGGATTTGAAAGCACTTATTTTACCAGAACATAACACATGCAGCTTTCTCAGGGGAGAAGAGGGGAGGCTAAAGAAAAGAACACTGTGATCATTGTATCGATTTTTACATAGAAAATGAGGCAACCAGACGACTAGGGAGAAAACACATCTTCTGAAGGTGACCGATATTACAAGAAGGACAAACAATGGTTAAAACTTCTAATGTTGTGTATAGGAACAAGACGTTTTCACCACACCCACTATCTTGAGTAGATGTGTTATTCCACAGTGATTTCTTCATCATATCTTCTTGAACAAGCTTTCCTGGTGAATAGGAGTCCATGGATGCTATTTAGAAAATGTAGGCTTTTTTAATGACAAAAGTAAGACGCTCCCAGTTGCTAGGAAGATGACCTTGAAGGTATGTGGATGGCAGTCTAATATCTATAGAGGGTTTGTACAGTAAATATATGCATTGTTTTGTGAAAGAAACATGGAGAAACAAATAATATGCATCAACTGTGAAATAAACCAGTCTCAGAGCATTTGGAATGTCGGGGTACAGTTTAATAATATCGGAAGCAGTTTATTAGCCATTTAACAAAAATGTTTGGGAATTGTCTTGGTAAAAAGCCGTCACACAGGATAACGATGAAAACACACACAGTAAGATATGATGCAACGAGTAGCTTAAATCCTTTGTACTAAAACACTGTGTTCCTATTTCACTGGCCCTATGGATGGACCATGGGCAGTCTGTTACACTGGCCCTATGGATGGACCTTGGGCAGTCTGTTACACTGGCCCTATGGATGGACCATGGGCAGTCTGTTACACTGGCCCTATGGATGGACCTTGGGCAGTCTGTTACACTGGCCCTATGGATGGACCTTGGTCAGTCTGTTACACTGGCCCTATGGATGGACCTTGGGCAGTCTGTTACACTGGCCCTATGGATGGACCTTGGGCAGTCTGTTACACTGGCCCTATGGATGGACCTTGGGCAGTCTGTTACACTGGCCCTATGGATGGACCTTGGTCAGTCTGTCTGTCTGTTTTACGTGTTGGTCAATTTTTAAGCTTTAAAATGACTGATGTTTTTAATGTCTCTCTCTCTCGCTTGGTTTGTCTCGCTCCCTCTCTCTCTATGAAGTCAGGTGGTTTCTCAGTCAGTAGTCCTGTGCAGTGCTTTTCTCTGTGTTGTCATACTGTTCTGTTCACTGTTTGACTCTGCTGTGCTGCTTCCAGTTTGTGCCTTGACTTGACTGTGTGGAACTCTCCTGTCCTTACAAGTGCTCACACACACTTGTAGACTGAAATTATATATTTTTTCTAACGAGATAGACACACACACGCACGCACGCGTGCGCGCACACACACACACACACACAATAACACAGACAACAGCGTTATTTGTAAAGGCTATATAGGACATGTAGAAGCAGTCAGGTCAGAATGTTTCTGTTCTGTACATTGGATTTTGTGGGGTGGGGTCAGTTATGTTGTTTGTTTTGGAAGCAATGTCTTTCCCATGTAGTGAATAAAGCCTACTGCTGACCTGCACATGTCTCGATTTCAGCCTTGTCTATTCTGCTGAACACTCTCACACACGGAAACACCACTACCTCTGATCAACTCTGGCATGAATTCCATAGGAGCCAGCGTTGCACTTCAGTGAGTGTATTGAAAGCAAAAATAACCATCATCTATCACAGCTGGGATTCCAATATTTAAAGGGCGGATGCGATTCCACGTCATTATCCAATGAAAATGTCAGTGAAATGTCAACCTGTCGACAGAAAACTGTATGTGCGTAAGTATGTGTGTGTTTGTTTGTTTCTCTCTGTGTGTGTGTGTGTCTCTGTTTGTGTGTGTGTGTCTCTGTCTGTGTGTGTGTGTCTCTGTCTGTGTGTGTGTGTTTGTGTCTGTGTGTGTGTGTCTCTGTCTGTGTGTGTGTGTGTGTGTGTGTGTGTTTGTGTCTGTGTGTGTATGTGTGTGTTTCTGTGTGTGTGTGTGTGTGTGTGTGTCTGTGTGTGTGCGTGTCTGTGTGTGTGTTTCTGTGTGTGTGTTTGTGTCTGTGTGTGTGTGTCTCTGTGTGTGTGAGTGTGTCTGTGTCTGTGTGTTTCTGTGTGTGTGTCTCTGTGTGTCTCTGTGTGTGTCCTTAGGTAAGTGTGAGAGCCTGACCCAGTGACTAGCCTGCATTCTCTATATATATATAAATAGACCCAGACACATTGTCAGCTGGAGATAACACAGACTGCAGACCGCCTAGATAGAATGACAATCATACACACACATATACAGTACCAGTCAAAAGTTTGGACATTGTAGAATAATAGTGAAGACATCAAAATGATGAAATAACACATGGAATCATGTAGTAACCAAAAAAGTGTTAAACAAATCAAAATATATTTTATATTTGAGATTCTTCAAATAGCCACCCTTTGCCTTGATGACAGCTTTGCACACTCTTGGCATTCTCTCAACCAGCTTCATGAGGTAGTCACCTGGAATGCATTTCAATTAACAGGTGTGCCTTCTTAAAAGTTAATTTGTGGAATTTCTTTCCTTCTTAATGCGTTTGAGCCAATCAATTGTGACAAGTTAGGAGGGGGTATACAGAAGATAGGCCTATTTGGTAAAAGACCAAGTCCATATTATGGCAAGAACAGCTCAAATAAACAAAGCGAAACGACAGTCCACCATTACTTTAAGAGATGAAGGTCAGTCAGTCCGGAAAATATCAAGAACTTTGAAGTTTCTTCAAGTGCAGTCGCAAAAACCATCAAGCGCTATGATGAAACTGGCTCTCATGAGGACCACCACAGGAATGGAAGACCCAGAGTTACCTCTGCTGCAGAGGATAAGTTCATTAGAATTACCCAGCCTCAGAAATTGCAGCCCAAATAAATGCTTCACAGAGTTCAAGTCACAGACACATCTCAACATCAACTGTTCAGAGGGGACTGTGTGAATCAGGCCTTCATGGTTGAATTGCTGCAAAGAAACCACTACTAAAGGACACCAATAATAAGAAGAGACCTGCTCGGGCCAAAAAACACGAGCAATCAACATTAGACCGGTGGAAATGTGTCCTTTGATTTTTGGTTCCAACCGCCGTGTCTTTGTGAGACGCGGTGTGGGTGAACAGATTATCTCAGCATATGTAGTTCCCACCGTAAAGCATTGAGGAGGAGGTGTTATGGCGTGGAGGTGCTTTGCTGGTGACACTGTCTGTGATTTATTTAGAATTCATGGCACACTTAACCAGCATGGCTACCACAGCATTCTGCAGCGATACGCCATCCCATCTGGTTTGGGCTTAGTGGGACTATCATTTGTTTTTCAACAGGGGGATGGAGTGCTGCATCAGATGACCTTGCCTCCACAATCCCCCGACCTCAACCCAATTGAGATGGTTTTGGATGAGTCAGACGGCAGAGTGAAGGAAAATCAGCCAACAATTGCTCAGCATATGTGGGAACTCCTTCAAGACTGTTGGAAAAGCATTCCAGGTGAAGCTGGTTGAGAGAATGCCAAGAGTGTGCAAAGCTGTCATCAAGGCAAAGGGTGGCTATTTGAAGAATCTCAAATATAGAATATATTTTGATTTGTTTAACACTTTTACTACATGATTCCAAGTGTTATTTCATAGTTTTGATGTCTTCACTATTATTCTACAATGTAGAAAATAGTAAAAATAAAGAAAAACCCTGGAATGAGTAGGTGTGTCCAAACTTTTGACTGGTACTGTACATACACACATACACACACACACACACACACACGGACAGACAATAACAAGTTTATAAGACTACCAGACGTACATCCATTGTCCATCTAAATAAACACATATTTGTGTGTGTGTGTGTAACCAATTGCTGCACCTTTGGATCTAGACTTGGCAGGACCCCATGCTTCCTCTGAGAGAAGCTGTGGTGATGTCACAGGGGTGTATGGTGTCAGGGGGAGTGTCCACAGAGGGCCAAGGGCGGGGGAGGGGGCGGCAGATAGGGTTGGGGACTCTCTTCTAAGTTTGGTTTAGGTCCTTCTCTCGGCCGCCTCCAGTCCCACAGTCCCAACGTCCCGACAAGCGAAAGGCGGACCACAGCTAAAACCAGCCCAGGTAAGAGACAACGTCTGGGGTTAGGGGTCGAGGTTAGGTACACCTTTGTGGGTGGTTACGGGACTTTACTGTGGTGTCTTCACCCTCTTATAACTGCTCTGTCACACCACTGGGCCTGAAGGCTCTGTGCAGCTGTCCTTGTTGCTAAAAATAAACACTCAGGCTGACACACACACACACACACACAAGCACGACACATACATACACCCACATTCATGCTTTCAGTATAATCTCAGATGATTGCATTTTTTCAGTTGTGACTGTGAGTGACTACCTGTTGACTATCAGTAGGGCGAAGCGTGATGAAGCATAAGTACCTCATCATATTTACTGGTCTTATGTGATGAACATTTGATACAGCCCTTGTCGTCTCTCAAGTCTGTCATGATCCTCAAATGGAGGCTGTGTGTCTTAGATGTTTATGTGGCTGTGAAGAAAAATGTTAGAATGATGCACTTCTTATGAGGCAAGGGTAGCACTTTATGTTATGGTTATGGTAGAGACATTCAGATTACCTGGAACATCTTTCCGGGATCAAGTACTGTATTTTTTGAAACAGTAAGGTCTGCTTACATAACACATATAATTGTGTTTGGGAATCCTGTGAAAACACAGTAACTAACAACCATATTCTGTGTGTATTTGTGTCTGCAATAGTTTCAGGGTTTTGTCCATCAGTACATTCCCTGAATTCTAATCTGAGCTTGTTTCACCAATGAATTTCCTCTGTGAATCGACAGAGGAATTTCTGTTTCCCACATCCTTGAAGACAAGAAAGGAAGGATTGCGTTGCCATGGCGTCACCGAGCGAGGGCGATCAGACGGTGCCTGATGGAGAGAGTGAAGAGGAGGCGACTAACGTCAAATCTATTCAGTCCCACTATCTCCGCTGTCCCTCCCCCAGCAGGTAAGCATACGTGGAGACCCACTGCTTTTGTAGTTCTGTAATGGGATTTGACCCACACAGGGCTCTAATAGTGTGTGAAAGACATTTATTTTTCTTCTTCAATTCAGCTTCCAAACATAATTTGGCCAATTTGTAGAGAGTATAGCCATGTCAATAATTATAGTATTTAGAAAGTTTTTCATCAGAAGTGCTCACAAGAACTGATTACTGTCACACACTGGCTGATCAGCACTAGACCTGGGTCAAATACATATGTCAAATACGTTCACATACGTGAGGTGAGATATAATAAGCTGAGGTTTCCTACTTCAAAGGAACCAATGGAATAGTCCCAAAAGTGCCAACTCCACCCACCCTGCATGTCACTGGTCAGGCTAAATCAATCACACCTCCAGTATTTGACATTACATACATTTGCCCACCCTGGTCCCTCAGGACTGACCATAGAAATAGGATAGTAATTACAGTTGAAGTCGGAAGTTTACATACACTAGGTTGGAGTCATTAAACTTGTTTTTCAACCACTCCACAAATGTCTTGTTAACAAACTATAGTTTTGGCAAGTCGGTTAGGACATCTACTTTGTGCATGACACAAGTAATTTTTCCAACAATTGTTTACAGACAGATTATTTCACTTATAATTCACTGTATCACAATTCCAGTGGGTCAGAAGTTTACATACACTAAGTTGACTGTGCCTTTAAACAGCTCGGAAAATTCCAGAAAATGATGTCATGGCTTTAGAAGCTTCTGATAGGCTAATTGACATCATTTGAGTCAATTGGAGGTGTACCTGTGGATGTATTTCAAGGCCTACCTTCAAACTCAGTGCCTCTTTGCTTGACATCATGGGAAAATCAAAAGAAATCAGCCAAAAATTGTAGACCTCCACAAGTCTGGTTCATCCTTGGGAGCAATTTCCAAATGCCTGAAGGTACCACGTTCATCTGTACAAACAATAGTACACAAGTATAAACACCATGGGACCACGCAGCCATCATACCGCTCAGGAAGGAGACACGTTCTGTCTCCTAGAGATGAACGTACTTTGGTGCGAAAAGTGCAAATCAATGCCAGAACAACAGCAAAGGACCTTGTGAAGATGCTGGAGGAAACAGGTACAAAATTATCTATATCCACAGTAAAACAAGTCCTATATCGATATAACCTGAAAGGCCGCTCAGCAAGGAAGAAGCCACTGCTCCAAAACCGCCATAAAAAAGCCAGACTACGGTTTGCAACTGCATATGGGGACAAAGATCGTACTTTTTGGAGAAATGTCCTCTGGTCTGATGAAACAAAAATAGAACTGTTTGGCCATAATGACCATCGTTATGTTTGGAGGGAAAAGGGGGTCACTTGCAAGCCGAAGAACACCATCTCAACCGTGAAGCACGGGGGTGGCAGCATCATGCTGTGGGGGTGCTTTGCTGCAGGAGGAACTGGTGCACTTCACAAAATAGATGGCATCATGAGGAAGGAAAATTATGTGGATATATTGAAGCAACATCTCAAGACATCAGTCAGGAAGTTAAAGCGTGGTCGCAAATGGGTCTTCCAAATGGACAATGACCCCAAACATACTTCCAAAGTTGTGGCAAAATGGCTTAAGGACAACAAAGTCAAGGTATTGGAGTGGCCATCACAAAACCCTGACCTCAATCCTATAGAAAATGTGTGGGCAGAACTGAAAAAGCATGTGCGAGCAAGGAGGCCTTCAAACCTGACTCAGTTACACCAACTCTGTCAGGAGGAATGGGCCAAAATTCACCCAACTTATTGTGGGAAGCTTGTGGAAGGCTACCCGAAACGTTTGACCCAAGTTAAACAATTTAAAGGCAATGCAACCAAATAATAATTGAGTATATGTAAACTTCTGACCCACTGGGAATGTGATGAAAGAAATAAAAGCTTAAATAAATTATTCTCTACTATTATTCTGACATTTCACATTCTTAAAATCAAGTGGTGATCCTAACTGACCTAAGACAGGGAATTTTTACTAGGATTAAATGTCAGGAATTGTGAAAAACTGATTTTAAATGTATTTGGCTAAGGTGTATGTAAACTTCCGACTTCAACTGTATATGGTTATGACTATGTCTCTACACCTTTGCAGTTTCTCCATGATCTCGGAGTCCAGATTCTCCATGATATCAGGGTCGGATGCCGAGAGCATCTATATGGAGCCCATTCACCTGTCCTCAGCCATAGCTGCCAAACAAATCATCAACGAGGGTGAGACACAGATTCATTCCACCAACCACACATAACTCACATGCTGTTTTTGTGGCTTGGTGAGTGGATCTGAAAATTATGATTTAAAACATCTAAATGAAAGCTTTCAGATGGGCAAAATACAATGTTTTAAATGCCGTTCACCTAGAGAAGCATGGCTGTCGACAAAGCGAGAGCTTGGGACTATAAGGTTCTATCTGCAAAAAGAGGATTCTGAGATAATTGGCTTTCAAGTTCCGAACCCTCATTGGTTTGAATGGTGTCAGCAGTTTTATCTTGTATTCTTTTGAACTCAACAACATGAATGTAGGTATTTAGACTACTGTATAGGTAGAGCACATTGAACAGAACAAGGCTATGTCAGAAAATGCAGATAGAACCTTATAGTCCCAAGCTCTCAAAGGTTAAAGAAACTTGAAGGGTGGAACCACAAAGAAAGCCGGGGAAAAACAGCCACCAGTAGTCATGTTTGCTAGTTTACCTTATTCAGAGAGCATCTTGTTTACTTCCTACCTCCAGAGCTACAGTGAGGGGAAAAAAGTATTTGATCCCCTGCTGATTTTGTACGTTTGCCCACTGACAAAGACATGATCAGTCTATAATTTTAATGGTAGGTTTATTTGAACAGTGAGAGACTGAATAACAACAAAAAAATCCAGAAAAACGCATGTCAAAAATGTTATGAATTGATTTGCATTTTAATGAGGGAAATAAGTATTTGACCCCTCTGCAAAACATGAATTAGTACTTGGTGGCAAAACCCTTGTTGGCAATCACAGAGGTCAGACGTTTCTTGTAGTTGGCCATCAGGTTTTCACACATCTCAGGAGGGATTTTGTCCCACTCCTCTTTGCAGATCTTCTCCAAGTCATTAAGGTTTCAAGCCTGACGTTTGGCAACTCGAACCTTCAGCTCCCTCCACAGATTTTCTATGGGACTAAGGTCTGGAGACTGGCTAGGCAACTCCAGGACCTTAATGTGCTTCTTCTTGAGCCACTCCTTTGTTGCCTTGGCCGTGGGTTTTGGGTAATTGTCATGCTGGAATACCCATCCACGACCCATTTTCAATGCCCTGGCTGAGGAAAGGAGGTTCTCACCCAAGATTTGACAGTACATGGCGCCGTCCATTGTCCCTTTGATGCGGTGAAGTTGTCCTGTCCCCTTAGCAGAAAAACACACCCAAAGCATAATGTTTCCACCTCCATGTTTGACGGTGGGGATGGTGTTCTTGGGGTCATAGGCAGCATTCCTCCTCCTCCAAACACGGTGAGTTGAGTTGATGCCAAAGAGCTCCCTTTTGGTCTCATCTGACCACAACACTTTCACACATTTCTCCTCTGAATCATTCAGATGTTCATTGGCAAACTTCAGACTGGCCTGTATATGTGCTTTCTTGATTAGGGGGACCTTGCGGGCGCTGCAGGATTTCAGTCCTTCACGGCGTAGTGTGTTACCAATTGTTTTCTTGGTGACTATGGTCCCAGCTGCCTTGAGATCATTGACAAGATCCTCCTGTGTAGTTCTGGGCTGATTCCTCACCGTTCTCATGATCATTGTAACTCCACGAGGTGAGATCTTGCATGGAGCCCCAGGCCGAGGGCGATTGACAGTTCTTTTGTGTTTCTTCCATTTGCGAATAATCGCACAAACTGTTGTCACCTTCTCACCAAGCTGATTGGCGATGGTCTTGTAGCCCATTCCAGCCTTGTGTAGGTCTACAATCTTGTCCTTGACATCCTTGGAGAGCTCTTTGGTCTTGGCCATGGTGGAGAGTTTGGAATCTGATTGATTGATTGCTTCTGTGGACAGGTGTCTTTTATACAGGTAACAAACTGAGATTAGGAGCACACTCTTAAAGGGAGTGCTCCTAATCTCAGCTTGTTACCTGTATAAAAGACACTTGTGAGCCAGAAATCTTTCTGATTGAGAGGGGTCAAATACTTATTTCCCTCATTAAAATGCAAATCAATTTATAACATTTTTGACATGTGTTTTTCTGGATTTTTGTTGTTGTTATTCTGTCTCTCACTGTTGAAATAAACCTACCATTAAAATTATAGACTGATCATTTCTTTGTCAGTGGGCGAACGTACAAAATCAGCAGGGGATCAAATACTTTTTCCCTCACTGTACTGTATGTTAGGCACATTGTGAGTGCTTGGCTCCAGTATATATTGTATTTGTCCCATAGAGATAAAGCAATTTAGCTGTGTGGTTTTTCCTCTTAAAATTCAATTCAATAGAACTTTATTGTCCCCCGAAGGCCAATTTGGTTGCATTGCATTACACACAATGGGCCATTCTGTCTCGGACAAAACTACTTCTCTTTGGCCTGACAAAGCTACTTACATTACATACAAGGGTTAATTGTATTTAGCTTAAAAAGGAGTTCAATAATCAATCCTAGACACTCCAGAGAGACCTTGAATACATACAGCGTGCACTGCAATGCTCTATTATACTGTAGTTAGAGTAGCCTTCTCTATCTGTTACCTGAGAATACAATGTGTTCATTATGGCAATATCCAGCTAGAGACATCAAAGACATTATCCATAGCTAGACTGTCTGATTGGGGTAATGCGTTCGCCCACACAACACAATTATGCTCCTAGCTAACTCTGAATAGATTCCTTTACTTTCTAACAGTGTGTCCCTGTAGCAGCTGTCTATCCTTGACGGATGCTGTCCGTTATGTGACATACTTCTGGTATGGTTTGTAAAGACTGACACAGAGGGTGGTGATTTTTGCAGCACAAAGTTATTTCCTTCAATCTAGCCACTGTGTCTGTAGTCTAATTACACGTTTACAGTGGGGAAAAAAAGTATTTAGTCAGCCACCAATTGTGCAGGTTCTCCCACTTAAAAAGATGAGAGAGGCCTGTAATTTTCACCATAGGTACACGTCAACTATGACAGACAAAATGAGAAAAAAAAATCCAGAAAATCACATTGTAGGATTTTTAATGAATTTATTTGCAAATTATGGTGGAAAATAAGTATTTGGTCAATAACAAAAGTTTCTCAATACTTTGTTATATACCCTTTGTTGGCAATGACACAGGTCAAACGTTTTCTGTAAGTCTTCACAAGGTTTTCACACACTGTTGCTGGTATTTTGGCCCATTCCTCCATGCAGATCTCCTCTAGAGCAGTGATGTTTTGAGGCTGTCGCTGGGCAACACAGACTTTTAACTCCCTCCAAAGATTTTCTATGTGGTTGAGATCTGGAGAATGGCTAGGCCACTCCAGGACCTTGAAATACTTATTACGAAGCCATTCCTTCGTTGCCCGGGCGGTGTGTTTGGGATCATTGTCATGCTGAAAGACCCAGCCACGTTTCATCTTCAATGCCCTTGCTGATGGAAGGAGGTTTTCACTCAAAATCTCACGATACATGGCCCCATTCATTCTTTCCTTTACACGGATCAGTCGTCCTGGTCCCTTTGCAGAAAAACAGCCCCAAAGCATGATGTTTCCACCCCCATGCTTCACAGTAGGCATGGTGTTCTTTGGATGCAACTCAGCATTCTTTGTCCTCCAAACACGACGAGTTGAGTTTTTACCAAAAAGTTCTATTTTGGTTTCATCTGACCATATGACATTCTCCCAATCCTCTTCTGGATCATCCAAATGCACTCTAGCAAACTTCAGACGGGCCTGGACATGTACTGACTTAAGCAGGGGGACACGTCTGACACTGCAGGATTTGAGTCCCTGACGGCGTAGTGTGTTACTGATGGTAGGCTTTGTTACTTTGGTCCCAGCTCTCTGCAGGTCATTCACTAGGTCCCCCTGTGTGGTTCTGGGATTTTTGCTCACCGTTCTTGTGATCATTTTGACCCCACGGGGTGAGATCTTGCGTGGAGCCCCAGATCGAGGGAGATTATCAGTGGTCTTGTATGTCTTCCATTTCCTAATAATTGCTCCCACAGTTGATTTCTTCAAACCAAGCTGCTTACCTATTGCAGATTCAGTCTTCCCAGCCTGGTGCAGGTCTACAATTTTGTTTCTGGTGTCCGTTGACAGCTCTTTGGTCTTGACTATAGTGGAGTTTGGAGTGTGACTGTTTGAGGTTGTGGACAGGTATCTTTTATACTGATAACAAGTTCAAACAGGTGCCATTAATACAGGTAACGAGTGGAGGACAGAGGAGCCTCTTAAAGAAGAAGTTACAGGTCTGTGAGAGCGAGAAATCTTGCTTGTTTGTAGGTGACCAAATACTTATTTTCCACCATAATTTGCAAATAAATTCATAAAAAATCCTACAATGTGATTTTCTGGAAAAAAATTTCTCAATTTGTCTGTCATAGTTGACGTGTACCTATGATGAAAATTACAGGCCTCTCTCATCTTTTTAAGTGGGAGAACTTGCACAATTGCTGGCTGACTAAATACTTTTTTTCCCCACTGTAAATACGATGAATTATGTAATATTGTGGATTAGGCAGTAGGGGTGTGTGTGTGTGTGTGTGTGTGTGTGTGCGTGCGAGTACAGTGATACAATATGAATATGTGTATCTGAATAGTCTCCCTCTCTGGCCTGCTCTTTCCTTTCCTCAGAGCTCCCACAACGGGGTATCACGGCAGAGAGTACCCCAGACAGCATGCTGGAGACAGCGGAACAGCTGATGGTGGAGGACCTGTACAACCGGGTGAAGGACATGATCGACGACCGCAGCCCCTATAACACCCCCTGTGTGATGGACATCCAGCGGGCCATGGTACAGGACCGCCTGGAGGCCCCCAACAACCCCGTGGACGAGGTGTGGAACAACATATTCATTGCTGAGAAGTGAGTCACTCACAGTGCTGTGGAAGTCACTGTATGCAATACATATCCCCCCCCCCCCACACACACACATGCTCTGCCCTTCAACTTACAGTATTATATGCATAGCTCATGGAACATCATGCCAGCTAGATTTAACCCCACCTCACTTTCACCATAGACTACTTCACTGAGTGTTGATAGATTGACATATAGATAGCTGTTTACCTCCTATGGTATAATTAAGCAATAAGGCCCGAGGGGGTGTGGTATATGGCCAATTTACCACGGCTAAGGGCTGTTCTGATGCACGACGCAGAGTGCCTGGATACAGCCGTTAGCCGTGGTATATTGGCCATATACCACAAACCCCCGAGGTGCCTTATTGCTATTATAAACTGGTTACCAATGTAATTAGAGCAGTAAAAATAAATGTTTTGTCATACCCGTGGTGTAAGGTATGATATACCACGGATGTCAGCCAATCAGCATTCAGGGCTCGAACCACCCAGTTTATAATATTTTGTAAAAGAGGCCTGTGTATTGCAGTCTGTTTTGGGTCAGTGTACATGTCATGGCTACTCCATGTCCTTACGAGCCATTTCATAACCGTGACTATATGACCACAACAACAACAGCGTTGGTTGTTCCTTCCTCTGTTTTGCAGATCTGTGGCTGTCAATAAAGCTCGTCTGAAGCGCATGGGCATCACCCACATCTTGAACGCTGCCCACGGCACCGGGGTCTACACCGGGGAGGCCTTCTACGCTGGCATGAACATCGGCTACATGGGTATCGAGGTAGATGACTTTGCAGAGTCTGACATCTCCCCTCACTTCAGAACCTGCGCTGAGTTCCTGGATGAGGCCCTGTTGACACACAAGGGTGAGTCAGTGTTCCTTTGTGTGTTCTTATCGGTGGATCAAGGCCCAATCCTAAATGGACCCGCCCTAGACCCCATGCCCTATGCATTTGTAGATCTACCAGGATTTGATTGATGAAAGTAATATGGTGAAACTTCCACCAAGCCTATCAGACAGCAAAGGAGAGCTATTACCAGGATATTAAATGCATACGATATGAACGTCTTCTTGTGTGATCTCATGTTTTTCTCCCATTTCCATTGACGTTGAGTCTGGGCTGACCTGGACGTAGTAGAACCAATGTCTGGATTGTTTGCTTTGGTCTTAGCGGGACCCAGTGATGATGAGCCTTGGAATTCCATCTCTAGACCAATCCAGACTGCTTGGAGTTCCATCTAGATTCTAGACTAATCCATAGACTACTCCTAATTACTCACTCATCATAACCAGGGGTGGCTGTCAGTCTTATTTTAGGGAGGTCACTCAGAGCCAATAGACAGGGATAGCCTAGCTATATCTGGTATCTGTTTAGGCGGGTGAATCATCTTCTAAAGCTTTTCTAATTAAACCCCAAATAGATTAGATCCACTGACCTCTTCTGAGTTAATTAAACACACACATAGCTGTTAAGAATCATGTTAAATGTCAGGCAGTAGTGACTAGTAATCTTGTCATTGGTTTGGGTCTGCGTGGGTCTCACAGTCCTTTCCGCTACAGGGAGGGAGTAGGCAGCGTATCACATTTCAAACCTGGCACCTTGGGGGTTATCGTCTCATGGGTTATGATGTCAGAGTTTATAACTGGGGGGTTTACAGTGCTTAGGAGTGACACCGTCACAACTGGAAGGGAATACAGCCCTCTGCTGGTGATAGAGTGTCATTGCAGAGCAGACATCATGCTGGCTCATCCCTTATGTTGCAAATGTATCTTTAATTAACTTTATATAAACCCTGAAAAATAGTTATTTCTTATGTCAAGGGAAACCAATGGAAGTGTGTTTTTGTCTTCTCCTGCAGGCAAGGTTCTAGTGTCCTCCATGATGGGCGAGAGCCGCTCCGCTGTGCTGGTGGCCGCCTACCTCATGATTTTCCAACACATGACCATCATGGAGGCACTGACTGCCCTGAGGAAGAAGCGGCCCATCAACCCCAATGAGGGCTTCCTGAAGCAGCTGCGTCAGTTCAACGAGACGCTACTAGAGGAGCGTGACGACGACGACGACACCCTCAGCCAGTGCTCCGTCATCGACGCCCACGCCCGCGCCCACCTGTTCGACGACGAGGAAAGCATGATAGGTGTGAAGGCCCACCCTATCATGATGGAGGAGGAGGAGGACAGCCAAAGCGTGATGAGTAGCGTGGCCTCGTCCGCCGCAGCCGCCGCCCTTAGGGCCGGTGTTTTCAGAGGGCAACAGACGGGGCTGGAACAGGCAGAGATGACGGAGGACCTTGTCCTGCCTGGAAAAGACGGTGGCGACGGTGGCGACGGTGGGGATGAAGACAGCATGAGCATGATCCGCGAGTGGCAGAGGAGGAACGAGAAGTACCAGAGCGAGGAGTGGTGGGAGCAACAGCTGATGAGCGAGGCTGGGGACGAGGAGTCTCTCCTGGGGGGCATGCGGGGTCCTGGGGCACCAGGGGACGAGGACCTGGAGAGCGTGACCAGCGAGGACGTCCAGGCCATGAAGGAGCGCCTGAAGCGGCACCCGCGGTGCGCCCCCTCAGACTCAGTGTCCACGGCCAGCTGCAGCAGCTACTCTGACCTGTGGAAGCAGCGTCTGAAGGAGATTGAGGAGCAGGCGGCGGCACGCTACCGCAAGAAGGACGATGACAACGACAGTGAGAGCACGGCGACGGAGGGGACAGAAAAGAAGAAGAAGACAATCGAGGACGACGTGGAGAGCGTGCTCTCGGACACCAGCTCCATGTACAACTTCTGCAAGAGGAACAAGGAGAACCTAACTCCCCTGGAGCGCTGGAGGGTGAAGAGGATCCAGTTTGGCTGGAATAAGAACGATGAAGGGAGGGAGGGGGAGAAAAGAGCCGAGGGTGCAGGGGGCAGTGGGGAGCAGGGAGAGGGCGATGCTGAGGCCCGCACCCTGGCACTGGCGGACGTCAACCTCACAGCCTACCAGACCTGGAAAATGAAGCAGGCGAAGCGGCTTGGAGAGGACAACAAGGCAACAAAAGATGACATTGTGGAGATGAGCCGCGGCGAGGACTCGGCCACAGCCAAGAGGAAACAGAGGCGGGAGGAGCTCCTGGAGCGCTCGCGGAAGACGCTGGAGGAGAGTCAGTCCATGTGTGGCTGGGAGACGGAGAGCTCCATGAGCGGAAGCACCCTTCCGCTCTCTGCCTTCTTCGCCCAGCCCGGCAGCTCGCAAGCTGGAAGCATTGCCAATGATGACAATATGTCCATGTTGAGTGGTAGGTCTTCTGTATCCCAAGCCCACAGCACCAGATCCCAGGCCTCCATGGGCCCAGGAATTCCCCAGGGCATTCCCCAAGTCCCCATGATCCCTGTGCCCACAATGCAGGGACCTGGTGGGGAGCCCATGGTCGACCTGTCCAGCATTCAGAACTGGATCGCCAATGTGGTGTCCGAGACCCTCATCCAGAAGGAGCGTGAGATGAGCCTCCCCCCGTCCCAGGCTGGATCGGTGCTCAGTTTTGGTGGGGCATCCAGCGTGGTGGGGCCAGCAAGACGTGGCCTGGACGATGACAAGGCTTCTATGCTGAGTGGAGCGTCCTATTCGAGCTCGCTGGACCATCACGGTGTCGGTGCTGACAGGGCCAAGTCTGTGCTCTCCGGTAGAAGTACTGCTTCTTCTACCAGTAACCTCTCCAGCGTCTCCAGTCTGGGCTCCCGCAGGAGCAAGATCACCACCACCAGCGTGCCCCTCTACAGCCTCTTCGCGGACCAGGTCAACCTCCAGAAGCTGGACTCCATGGACAAGCAGATGCAGTCGGAGATGAGGGACAAGATGGCCTCCTACGGGGTGAAGAAGATCGCCGAAGATAATAAGCGCAGCACACTCTACAAGAAGAAGAAGCCCAAGGACGAGGGTGAAGAGGAGGAAGAGAAGGAGGATGACTATTTAACAGGAAAGACGTCTTTCCCACCTGCCACAGAGAAAAAGAAAGCACCTACGCGAAGCTATGGCCTCTCGGGCTGCCTAAATCTTTCCACCGCTCTGGAGAAAGAAAAGAACACCAGCGTTGACGAATGGCTAACCAACGTCATGCCTCCTTCAAGGAAACCAGCGTCCTATAGTGCAGAAGACGAGGCTGATCCAGGGCCATCTGCCTCTGAGTATAACTTCGGAGGCCGGAGGGACTCGTTTGAGGAGGCAGAAGAGGAGGAGTATGAAGTCGCATCCAGATATCGCTCCAGATTCCAGGCAGACACAGAGTCACGTGTACTTGGCGAATTCTCTTCCAACGGCATGGATTCCAGCAGCTACAGGGCTAGAAGATCCTACGCAACCACTGAGGAAGAGGAGGAAGAAGAGGAGAGTTATACATCAAAGAGGAAGTTCACTCATCATTCACAATATGAGAGTGGAGGGGAGACAGAGGGGAGGATAGGAAGGAAGGAGGAAAAGGAGGAGGAAGAAGATGTCGACAGTTTCCTCAGCCAGCTTAGGCAGAGGTCTCGGGCTCGGGCTGAGGCAGAAATGCAGGATGATGATGTCGTAGCCGCTTGGAGGGCACAACAACAATCAAAGTCAAATGGTTACAAAAGCAGTGACTCTTAACCAATCAAAGACAGTCTCACACTTACAGTATGAAAGAAACTCAATCCAATATTAAATATGGACAAATCAATGTTTCTTCAGATAATAACATAAAATTGCACACTTGCTACACATGCTGCCGCTAGTAAATGTGGATTTCTTAGAACATCGCTTGTGATCTTTTTATTCTCAGAAGTGGGGAGGCATGAATAATTCTATAGGTAGTTGTTCTAGATCATTCTGACATGTAAATACTAATATAAATCAAATATCTAAGCTTTAGAATAATAGAAAAGGGAAAATGTGCACTTCGCTTTCTAAACTCAAACGAGTTTATTTCTCATAGTCAATTTTATAATCAAATGCAGACAAAATATTCATATTCAAAATATTTAAAATTGCCTCACTGCATTGCTTGTGCATTTCAAGTACAGTAACACACACAATGCTTGCTGTTTGATGAATTGATTGTAAAATGCAACAACTAACCTACAAAACAATATAAACTAGATTATGAGTTACATGTTCAGGACATAAAATATTTACACGGTACAATTTCTGGAGCACAAACGCAACCCCATTTCAAAGCATTTATAACTGCAATAAATGTTAAAGCAATGATCTGGTTGTTTTTATTTTGTCAATCTCATTCCTCATGCCTGAGGACACTGACCTGGATACTAGTAGATCACATCTTCATGGGAAACATGAGACAGAGTAGAAGACAGAATAGAAGGAATTTGGATCATCATGAACCAAATCGCAGAGCACTTTACATTGTAACGGGAAACTCAACATATTCATCACAAAGAACTGGGTGCTTTTAATCACAATATTTTAACCCATGCATACACTCTGCTTGTTATATTATGGGTAGAAGAGTACAGCAAGAGTCAAGACACACATTTGACAAGGCACTCAATATCCTATTGAGCGTCCTTCTAAGCCCGACAAGTGTGGGCATGTACTGTATGCAGTCGCACGCGCCACAAGTTGAAACCAGAAGACACACGCGTGCAAATAACATAGTCAATGCTACTGTTCCACTTTGCAAAGAAAAACATGTTATTACTACTCTCTGCCATGGTTTATTTGTAATGGTGTTATTTTCTCCGATCTGATGATGCCAGGTGAGTGTTAGGCTAGTGACTAGATGGACATGCTAGACTTGCAAAAGTAAAAGTGTATATGCAGAACTGAGCTAGAACAAACTTAGTTTTAGGATTATGTTAGGGGTGGTGGTTGGTCAGGTATACGAGTTTAAAATCGTGTTTGAGTCTTTTGAAGCGCTGTGGGCCTACTTCCGTTCGGTCTAGCATGGTCAGATAGTGACGACCCGGGTGGGAGGGCTTCTATCGTCGACTGAATGCATTTATTTTAAATATTCAATATGGCTGACGGCGAAGTAATGAGCCAACATGAAAGTTCAGGACCAGGTAATCATTACTACATTTTACATATTCATTTACAGATGATCTTTTACTATGCCTGTCTTCGTGACAAATAAACGAAAAGACCAGCACCATATAGTTGCTGTAGTTTACAATCTTACCCGGCGCGTGTAAGAGGAAAAAAACTAGCCAGGATTGTTGTCGTTCGATGAGAAGACATTCCCTCCTTTGTGTGGCGCGCGTTCCATATTCATAGCCAAAAGTCACAGCGATTTAGCATATTTTATCTGTAATCGGCAACGCTGTTTTGTTGTTTGCGCTAGCTATTTTCACTTGTTTTTTATTTGTAATGGAACATAGCTACAGAAAAAAGGCAATAGTTAGCTAGCTTCGCTTGCATGGGCACTAGCTAGCATATAGCTAGTTTTACTTCGCTAACTACATTTTGCATATTCATTTATCTCAGAGGTATGCTTCAAATATATATTTTTTAATCTAGTGAGGACTTGATACAACAGTTGCATTAATTCCGTAAATCTATTATTTACAATGCAGTTGGGAAGAGGGGGTTTCCGCTAGGAGGTGATTACTTATTTTCATTACTAGCTAGCTACAGTAACTTGATTGTAGCAATGAACACAGTCAATATTTTGGGTACTGTATTAACCAACTCGCGCCTGCGCGCGAACGATGAATGATTAAAACCCATGGAAACATTGACATCTTTTATAGCATAGTTCTCCTAACTTCTCATCAATATTTGAAGTAAAACTAAAACTTTTTTGATTAAATGTAAAACAGCTGGTAGTGGAGTTTACCACTGCACGTTTGCAACTCTGTGGTCACAGGCAAGGCAAGTACCTGTACCAAGTTCCAGACCCCTTGGCCTGGATAGGTCACAGACTAGCTATCGGGTTGAATACTTTTTGGCCAAACAATGCTTCTGTTCACAACTGGTTTGTTCTGTTTGCTAGTGAAAGCAGACTGAAATTGAAATGGTCCAAGCTTGTCTTCATTTGTGTCTTCCCCTCTAGGCCTACAGCCTGAGCTACTGGCTAGCCAGTGGAATAATTTGGATGATTGTCTCGGGTTGTCCTAGTACTAGCTCAGCCTTTATTTTCTGAAGAGGAAATGTGACACCGTTGAGTAACAGACCTCCTCATTAGCCACCCCACGGTGCACTAATAATAATAATAATAATAATAATAATATGCCATTTAGCAGACGCTTTTATCCAAAGCGACTTACAGTCACGCGTGCATACATTTTTGTGTATGGGTGGTCCCGGGGATCGAACCCACTACCTTGGCGTTACAAGCGCCGTGCTCTACCAGCTGAGCTACAGAGGTTGGTGTGAGAGCAAAGTGTTGTTGCTCAAAGCTGCTTCTGTGGATCTCATGTAGACTACTCATCATATAGGCTACCTATCAGTTGAAGTCTCTTCTAAAACAATCACATTTTTTACTTAGCCTATTCCTTTCCCATTTCTGCGTTTACTACTGTCTAGTCCTGTAATTGTCTACCTGAAGGTAAACGACTTCAGATACAATGTTGCAGCGTGTCAAAGGCGTGAGTGTCAGGGCCTCCAATGGTCAGGAGGAATATTATGCAGTGTTTTTCAGCTCCAATTTGACAGAATATTATCAATGTTTTGCATATTTTGGATGTCTGTTATTTGAATATGCCGAATTTTCTCTGCCGCCTCCTCAGTCTCCTGGCTCTCTCTTTCCCTTCTCTCTCTCCTCCCGCTCACTCTCTCTCCCGCACACTCTCTCCCTTATCTACTTTGCATTATGCATTTGGGCTTTCAATAACATGAAAGCATAATTCATTGCTAATCTGAAATTCTATTAATTGAATATTTTGCATAATGCTTTGTGTGCCAATTAGGTTTATGGAACTCTAGCATTAGCAAAATACAAGGCTCGTATCCACGACTTTCTGCTGAAGCTCAAACGTTTTCAATGTAGGCATACAGCCATCAGTTTCATATGCAAATTCAATGTCATATATGCTTTGTTTTGGAGATTTACCATTGAAGAGAAGGCCATGATAATGGTTTGAGTAGGCCTACACTCACGCCTTCATGTCTTGGATTTGGAAGCAAAGTTTACTATCAGTTTGTTATCAAATGGCAAAGTGGGGCGTACAACTTGGAAGTAATTTATCCCCCTCTCCCTCAAATTATAAGAGTTGCATTTGGCTGATAATTGGTGTGTGTGGGTATGTGTGCGTGTACATCTGTGTGTGTGGGAGAGGGAGAGAGTGCGCACGAGAGTGAACTTGTTTGGCACATGCCACGCACTCCTTAAAAGCTATCCAATTAATATGCAAATTAGCTGATAAATATTTATAGAGATTTCTTTTGAATTATGCAGAAAGCGTTCGGAGCTCTGTGTGAAATGAATTGCTCGCAGCAACTTCAAAGCGGGCGCCTCGGCTTAATGAGAAACGGGGGGCTGAATTTGCATATGGCTCTAATCAGCTGAATACTGATTACGCTGCTTCGTTACGGGCTACGCTGACAGCTGCACTCTTTGTTTCTGTTCCATTCCACAGGGAGGGAGGAACTGTTTGCCACACTCTTGTTGATTGTGGAAGTGAGCGAGGTGGTGTGCCGAGCAGCTAGTTGTTACTGTGAGCGAGAGGCGGTGTGCCGAGCAGCTAGTTGTTACTGTGAGCGAGAGGCGGTGTGCCGAGCAGCTAGTTGTTACTGTGAGCGAGAGGCGGTGTGCCGAGCAGCTAGTTGTTACTGTGAGCGAGAGGCGGTGTGCCGAGCAGCTAGTTGTTACTGTGAGTGAGAGGCGGTGTGCCGAATAGCTAGCTGTTACAGTGAGTGAGAGAGAACACTAGACGGATCTCCTCCAGTTGTGTTCTGTTTATCACACCTGGCTGTGCCAGTCTTGTCTGGGTTCTAATTGCTCCTGGTCAGTGGGCCCAACTGAGCGGGGTCAGTGCCAGCGTTGCTGGCCTGGATGGCATGCCGGTGAAGCCACAGACTGTGGACTCTGCAATAGCCGGTGAGCAGAGCAGTGTGAGAGATCTGTTCCATTATCCACACTAACATACCACTTGAATGAAGCAATGTTTTGGGTTTGGATACAGTGCTATTCAACTGGTATGCTAGTAGTATGGGTATTAGACCACGTGTCGTGACAATAGACTATTCCAGAACACCTGTGATGGTTTGTGGAATTTGACACTTGTTTATTCTTTGAATTTGGCATTTTCTTTTTTTCTTTTATGTTTTGTGAAGGCATAGATTGAACTAGCTGTCCAAAATGCTGTTTGATCTACCACCCTATTGAAGTGGGATTTTCCGAGCCGTCTGGTAAGCTAAGATTCTATTTTTCCTCTCTCTCTGTTTCAGACTCAGTAATCAACCTGTCAGCATCCAGTAAAAGCACTATGGAGAACGGGGACATAGTCAAAGGTGAGTTCCTACAACCTTTTTTTGATTACAGCTAGTGCCTTTAGTATGTAATGGAATACGTGTTTCTTGAAATGAGCTTGGCCCTCTTTATATATTATAGCCTGTTTCATTTCCATCACAGAAAATTATTCCTGAACTGACTTGAGATTCGATGGTGTTGTCCTCGGTGCGGTACTGTGGTAACAGAGTAGTAACAACCTTGAGGCTTTGAGGCTGTATATTTGGTCCAATGTAAAGATGTAGGTTGGAGGATTTTGACTGTATTGTTCTGACTGACCGCCCATCTCTCTAGGCGTGCTGACCAATGGCCGGGACTCTCAAAAGCAGACGGTCATGTCCCTCACCAACGCACAGTCACAGGCTCTACTGCAACAGGTAACACACACACTCCCACGCATTGCTCGTATTTTTTATTTATTTAACAAAAGCCAGAAATGCTCATTTGCATAGTTTTTGTCTCTAATACTATACAAGCCAACAGTCAGTTAGCTCAGTAGCCAACATGGTGCTTTAACAGTCGTTCTGAGAAATGTTGCGTTCTGACGTTCTGACCGGCCAAATGAATCCTAACACCAAGGCAAGACGGATAAGACCCCGTCCCCTTGGCTACTCAAGGGGTCCATTCATTGCATTCATTGCGTCCAGCGTTGCCATGGTGATGCCTTTAGCCCGTTACCCTGGCACCAGCTCGGAACTAGCCGTTAAAAAGGAAGTACAGCTGCCTGGCATGCCTCCTCTCCCTGAAACAAAAAACCAGTGCGCTGCATGCTAATTAGCCCACTCCAACTGTCGCTTAGAAACAGGTGGGGGAGAATATGCAAATGTCTGCCAATTTACATGCACCTCATAACCAGTCTTTGATTATCATACTCCCACCTCCTCTCTCGCTTGCTCACCCTCTCTCTCTCTCTCGCTCTGCAGTCATATCCCCATAGGTTGCACTGGCTTTTTACAATTTAAAAGTAGTCGGGTTTAAGCCACAGATTAAATCTCTGATACACACCTACACACCCCCTTTTATCTGTTTTACTCACTCTCTCCCTCAATCTCTTATCTCTCTCTCAATCTCTTCTCTCTCTCTCTCCCTCCCTCCCTCAATCTCTTCTCTCTCTCCCTCCCTTAATCTCTTCTCTCTCCCTTCCTCCCTCAATCTCTTCTCTCTCTCTCCCTCCCTCCATCTCTTCTCTCTCTCTCTCCCTCCCCCCCTCAATCTCTTCTCTCTCTCTCCCTCCCTCAATCTCTTCTCTCTCTCCCTCCCTCAATCTCTTCTCTCTCTCTCTCCCTCCCTCAATCTATTCTCTCTCGATCTCTTCTCTCCTCTCTGTCTGTTTGTCTGTCTGTGTAGTTGACCCTGTCTCCAGCGCAGCAGCAGCTGTTTCTCCAGCAGGCTCAGGCCCAGCTCCTTGCAGCAGCCGTTCAGCAGCACTCTGCCAGCCAGGCCCAGAACAGCAGCACCACGGGGGCCGCCATCTCTGCCTCCGCAGCCACCCCCATCACCACCCAACTCCCACTCTCCCAGCCCATACACATCACTCCTGTAAGAGATCTACTGTAGTGTCACACACTGGCTCATACTTGTCACACACTGGCTCATATTTGTCACACACTGGCTCATACTTGTCACACACTGGCTCATACTTGTCACACACTGGCTCATACTTGTCACACACTGGCTCATACTTGTCTAACACGGACTCATACTTGTCTAACACTGGCTCCTCTCTTTCAGCTCCAGCAGCAGGGCCTGCAGCAGTTTGTGTTGGTCCAGCCAGGTCATTCCATGGCCACCCAGCTACAGCCACAGTTCTTCATCTCCCAGACTGCACAGGGACAGCCCAGTATGTTTCAGTATCATAGTAAGCTATACACCAGCACTGAAGTAGTTTCACGTTTCAGGACCTTTCACTAAACTGTCTCTCATTCGACAGATCTCCTGCAAGCCCAACATGTTCTCACTCAACTACCTCAGAGCCAAGCCAACCTCCTACAGACTCCAACCATCACAATCGCCCCACAGGTCAGGGGAAGCACACACACCTTTTAGGGGCTGTGGGTTGTTTCAGGACAGGAACACAGACCATGCACGTCTCTTGTCTCTTCATCCCTCTGTCTTGCTCTCCTATCACACAGCCGGCCACGCCCACGCGGACCACCCCCGGCCAGACTCCGCCCCCTAAGGGTCTGGGCACGCCCACTCTGGAGGACGCCAATGATCTGGAGGAGCTGGAGATTTTCTCCAAGGCCTTCAAACAGAGGAGGATCAGACTAGGCTTCACACAGGTATGGCCAAGGGACTCAGGACTGGCTTCCACTGGAATATACTCAGAATGGATAGGATTTTATTTTTTGTGTGTGTGATCAATTATTTTATCCAAAACGTAGGATATTTTCCCCTCAGTATTTTACGATAGACAATTACATACAAACAAGATATGAAAGAGTTCCATGGATTGCATTTATATTGTTCTTCTGCTTTTTTTCTAAATACTCAAAGTGCTTCAAACTACATTTTAAGGGCTTCAAACTACATTTTAAGGGCTTCAAACTACATTTTAAGGAAGGGAACTCACCCTATATACTACCAACCTGGTTGATGTCACATTCTTACTTTGCCTGCGTCCTCTACCCCTCTCTTCTCCCTCCAGGGTGATGTGGGGCTGGCCATGGGGAAGCTGTATGGTAATGACTTCAGCCAGACCACCATCTCCCGCTTTGAAGCACTCAACCTGAGCTTCAAGAATATGTGCAAGCTCAAACCGCTACTGGAGAAGTGGCTCAATGATGCAGGTTGGTCCTCATAAGGGAGGTGTGCGGGAGTATGTGTGGGAGAGTCTGTGTTGAATTTTTTTGTTGTTGCCGTCATTATGTAAATCTTTAGATTTGGATAGTGTATCAGAGTTTTTCGGACTCTGTGTTTGCTGACCCGCTCTCCTTGTCCCCCTGGCTGCAGAGAATGTGAGCTCAGAGTCCAGCCCGAGCCTCAGTCCCCTGGGCTCTGGCCACGGCTCACCCAGCCTAGCTTCTGACCTCATCAACCGGCGCCGCAAGAAGAGGACCAGCATCGACACCAACATCCGCGTGGCCCTGGAGAAGAGCTTCCTCCAGGTAAGACCTGGTTCTAACAAAGAAGATTGTACGTGTTCAGAAGAGATTTAGGTGACTTTTAGAATAGCTTGACGCAAATGAGGGATGTTTGACATTACGCCGTGCATTTAGAAGTAGTCGGGGTGTCTACAGACAACTGCCAGCTCTAGGTGTCTACTTTCCCTTCCTGGTGTGGAGTCTGGTGCTCTTTGTCCCCTTACAGCAAAACCAGAAGCCGTCGTCAGACGAGATCTCCCTGATAGCAGACCAGCTGAACATGGAGAAGGAGGTGGTCCGGGTGTGGTTCTGTAACCGCCGGCAGAAGGAGAAGCGGATCAACCCTCCCAGCAGCTCAGCTTTCCACAAGTCCATCTTCTCGTCCCCCACTACTGCCAGCCTGGTGAACACTGTACCCCAGACCACTGTGACCGTCACCCCCTCTCTGCCTGTCACCAGCTTCAGCCTCACAGGTACGTGTGTATTTTTGTAGTCTTGGATGTACTTGTCTGATCTTTGCCGTTAATCTCTTCTGTGATGGCAAAGCCCAGTGGCAAGTGTGCCCTCTGTTCATCTCTATGGGTCCATATACATGGAGGCTATAACCAGAACTGGCAGCTCGAGAGAGATTTTGAATGAAAATAGGAAATCTGTGCAGATGTTTGGCTTACATTATATCTGGCTAATTAAGCTGCCCATATACTGTATAGCGCAGCATTTGTAGACTAGCACAGGAAAGCAGCGCCATGGATTAAAGGAGAAACTAGTGATCAAAGATGAGTTAGGAAGTAGCCTATCTTCGGTACAGCGCGCTGCTCGCCTCGCTCTCTGACAGTCAAACTGTGAGGTTTAGATATTTTTCCTGAAAGTAACGCAAAGTAATATAATTAAGCAATAAGGCCCGAGAGGGTGTGGTATATGCCCAATATACCACGGATAAGGGCAGTTCTTATGCAAGATGCAACACAGAGTGCCTGGATACAGCCCTTAGCCGTGGTATATTGGATATATACCACAAACCCCAGAGGTGACTTATTGCTATTATAAACTGGTTACCAACGTAATTAGAGCAGTAAAAATACATGTTTTGTCATACCCATGGTATACATCTTTTTTTTTGGTCTGATATACCATGGCTTTCAGCCAATCAGCATTCTGGGCTCGAACCACCCAGTTTCTAACAAGTAATATAACATGTTAATGTCCATCCATTACTTTTGTTAAATGTAATGAGGAATACGACTTTTTCAAGTAACTAATCCCAACACTGATAGGTAGTAGCAGTTCGACATTAGTTGATCCAGACTAAGATCATGGGAATTACCAGGGACCTCACGATACGATATTATCACCATACGTAGGTGCCGATAGGATATGTTATGCGATTCTCACGATTCTGTATGTATTGCGATTTGATACTGTGATTATATTGCGATTCGATGTTCCAAACATATTGCTCACCATATGTCTGCTGCAGAGGGACGAGAGAGCCGTGAGAAAACGACAAGTTTTGATCAATCGGTGAAATCAAACCTATTTAGAAAGAAGATGGAGAACAAGCTATGAAGTACAAATACTGGAGTTTTAGTGCTGGTACAGCAAACTAGTGCAAAAATAATATTGTGATATTGTCAAAACAATACGATATGTTGTCAAATTATATCCCGACTGTAACTGTATTTTTGTTTTCCTCATCACTAAAGGTGATGCAGATTTGTCTTTTGTCCTGTAGTTATTTAATTGATGTTGATAGTATATTATTATATGGTGTAATATTGACCATCCTGTGTTCTAGGCACGACCCTGGCATCAGCCACCAGCAACACAGCATCCGTCATCTCCAGCACCCATACAGTCCCCTCTATGTCCCTCACACCCTCCTCCTCCGTGACAACCATGTCACAGCCAGCCGTTACCATGACGCAGGCGGGGCAGATGCTCTACAGCAACGGAGGGGGTCTGGCAGCAATGGCGGCTGCAGCGGCGGGAATCAGCCCGAGTCTCATGCCCTCATCGCAGTTCAACACAGGGTGAGGCTCACACAGACACAAAGTGCTGTTTCCACTCAGTATCTATGTGAAAAATATGTATTGTATGTCCATTATCACGTAGCTGACTCATTACTCCTCCAGGGGGGCTTTACTGAACCTAACCACTGGAGGTTTTGGAGGAGCACTAGCCACCATCCAAGGTGTGTTGAGTGGCAAGTACACCCCGCTACTATACCCCTTTATATACATACTTAAATGTGTTCCTTTCTTGCTTGTTTCTCATTAGAGCTTTGAATAGGGTTGTTTTTGTTACAAGAAGTGAAGTGGAAACCTTGCTTTCTCTTGTCTTATCAGGGAGAAATTATCCCCAGTCACTATGATAGTCTAACCTTCCCTCCTCCTTCCTCTCACAGCTCTGGCCTCCAGCGGGTCCTTCCCCATCACCACCCTGGACGGGAACGGGAACCTGCTATTCGCTAACACCAGCACGTCCGGCTCCGCCCCCAGCATGGTGAACACGCCCCTCTTCCTGAACCCCCAGAGCATGTCCTTATTGGCTAGTAACCCTGTCAGCTTCATCCCCGCTAGTGCCCTCAACCTGCAACTCACCGCCGGCACCAACACCATCACCACGGCAACCACACCAGTCAACACCATCGTCAGAGCCTCTAAGGCCCAATGAATTAACTTGCGGTCGCGTCCATCCCCATATCTTCATTGGTCGTTATTTAATCTTTGTTCATTTTGCTACCACCAAAAAGTTGTTGGAAAAATATTCTTAAGATGTTTTCCTCCCTATCTCTGCCACAAGGGGTCCTATCGGTCCTTTCAAAGATTGATTGAGGTTAGGGAATAGCATCTATTATTATTTTTTTCCTCAGAACTGCTTCTAAAACCAAAAATGTGCTTTTTGTTTTTATTTTACTGAGTATTGAATGAAATTGACACTGTTTAACTTTCTAGAGAGATTTCATGATCTGTGTTAGGTTCTCTGATTTTTAGTTTTATTTGAGGGTGTGTTGTACAGGCCTTGACCGTTGACATCAGATTTATAACTAAAGATTAGATTTCTCTCTTGCTTGTTTTTCATGTTATCTAAAAAGGTTAGTTGTGTGCTCTCTGATATTTGCCGTTTGTACATTTTCTGGTAATTTTTCAAAACTTTTATTAAAAGTTTTGTTGCTTTAACACGGTTTTCAACATAGTTCCAACTCTTTAAAAGGAATCACTAGACAGTGAGAGAGCCTGGAAGCAGGCTTGCTATGGAAGAGCATTACGGCAGTCTCTGGGAAGAGTTAAAAACAAACAGCGGACTTCAAGAGGACTTGGAATGTCCTTTATCCAACCAAAAAACGTAGTGTACTAGTGGAACGTAGCATAGGGATTTATCTAAAGGACCTCTCTCCAGAGCGGGGGAGATTAATGCAATATTTTGAAGGGGACTTTCCAAAGACTAACACAGATGTTTCTCTCTGATATTCTCCTCCCTTATGCCGAGGTCTATAGAAGACTGAGGCAGGATACCAAAAAGAGCGGATGGAGAAGGTAGGGTGAGGTGTCAGTAGTATAGTGGGGTTGCATGGCCCATACTGGATCTCTGCCTTGGATTACATAGCATGATGAGGTCAATAAGATATTTACAAGAGTAATGATCTTGATGTAGTACTCAGGACAGCCATTTCCCAGTGAGTCACTGCATGTACAAGTTAAAGTGGAGATTGTCCAGGTCTGGCCTTCAGAGCTTATTCCTTCTCGTAAAACCAAATATGCTGCCACTAAAGCCCTGGGTACTGCAATCAGTACTGACTCAACATAATGTATTGAAATACCTCAGCAGCAAGAAAAAAAAGACAAACAGTCGAGCAAAACTGAAACCATAAACTCCAAGAATGTAGAAATGTTTACCTGTTTTTTTTTTTTAGCTTTGCTGTACGTTTGAAACGGAGGCTGCAGCAGAGAATCACATCTTGATACACATGAGCTGACTCCACATGCACAGTAACTGCAGTGTCCAGTACTACTACTATTATGTAATATATTCATGGAAATGGTAGTTGGTTCTTGTCTGATCCTACATACCAAAGCATTAGATCTTTCATTTTGTAGCTGGTTTGATGGGTAGATCTTCTTGATGGTGTTTGTTATGGTGGTTTCCTGCAAAGCCTTATGGGAAACGTAGTTGTATCTGCTTACTTGAGTCTTTTTGTTGTGGGTTTTCTCTGCTATTTTGAAGTTTTTTAAATATGTATCTGAGGGACTTATGGGATGATTTTTACTTTACTTCTAGCGCTCTATATTCACACAAGTAATATATACATGAAATATTCCTGTTTTTATATCTGAACTAGTAGGGTCCTGTAATTGAATGTAGTGCATTATCTAACATCCTCTAGGATAGAAATGTTTTAGTGTGACTCTGGACCAAAGTAAACCAGAGGGTGTGGACGGATGTTTCTGTCCTTTTGTCTGTTGATTTGCAGTTTATTTGATTTAACAATTTAAAATGCATGAAAAATGTCAGACCTGTTGAGGATATAAACACAAAGTCTAAATCCTTGTTTCCATTGTGGTCCTCTTGTAACTAAGGAAACGTACTCTGAAGCTGTCTTGCATTTTGTTTTTGACTTTTTTGTATGAGCTTTTCTCTCTCAAATATTTTCAATCCAGAAGTTGTTTTCACAATTTGTACCGTTCCATTTGTTTTATGCCATTGTATGTTTACATCACAAGGGAGAAAATATTTTATTTTATTTTTATGGATCATATATATGGTATCTGCAGACTACTACTTGTATGTTAATGCAGGTTATAAAACAACCTGTTTGTAAGGCTTTGCTGACATCCTAACTGATGGTTCCAGTCTTGGGGATGGACAGGCTGGCTAGTGCTGGGTTCATCTGTGACTGTTGGCATATTCAACACCAGGAGGCAGCATCTCTCAAAAGAAACCAAAAACTAAAGTCATAATGCTCTGCCACACACATTTAGATCAGCGGTGCTGCTATCCTTTGTAGTCCCTTTACCTGAATGTTGTGCAGGTAGTCATCACATCTCTTACACGTTGTGTTAGTTTTGTTTGTACACCAAGAAATGCAGGGGTTGGCAACATACGGCCCGAGGAAGGTTTGAGGAAAAAAACACTCCAGGGCACTTTTGAACGTCTAAAACTAGAAAGTATGTAAATAATTATAATGGACCTATAAGTTTTAAAAATAACTGCAATTTTTCTGGACCACAAATTGCATTTGACGAACAAATAGGACCCCAAAAACATGTGCGGCCTTCCACTGGATTTTGGAATCCCTATGTGGCTCTCGAGCCGAAATTATTACCCACCGCTGAACATTTGTTTGTTTCTACATCAAGTAGAGGGTATATATGTTCCTCCAGCTGTATTCCAAAGCAGAATCCCGTTAAATGTTCAATCTACACAAATACCAAAGAATACTCTGGACGGGATTCAATCCGATCTCGGGTTATAAGCATCGCGGTTTTTAAAGGCAATTTCTGATTGAGCCGGCATATGCAGCATTTACCGGGAATGGCAGGGAACATTGCCTTTAAAAGCCCCCATAGATATATATCCCGGGACCGGATTGAATCCCGGCCTCTGTGACGGTCTTTCCCACTCTCTTAACGCTTGTCTTTCTACTCTCGTCCCTACAGCGTATTTATACTGTAGTAGACCGATACAGAACTAAGCACTGGCATCCAAAGCGTAATGTATATTTTGGTACATTTCAGGGAAGATATCATCGAGCAGAAAATGTGTTGTTGAAAAGCGCTTATTTGTTTGAGGTGTTGGTTTTTTCTCATTCAGTATGGATGTCAATGCAGAACTATCTTACTGTTGGTAGATGGTCAAATGTAAGGTATTTTTGTACGTTTTAGGATCCAGTGCCTCAATTCACTGCCTGTGTATCGTGATTTAATACTTTTTAAAGAAAATTAAAAAAACGACAAAACATGTAGGCCTACATATCGCTGAATATATCCTGTAATGCATGTATTTTATGACACCCACACAAGGTTGGGTAGGTTACTTTCTAAATGTAAACTGTTACTAGTTATCTGTGAAATTCTAAACAGTTAAGTCATTTTTAGATTACCCAAACTAACTTAATCTGATTACTTTAATTGACTTTTGGTTACTGTTCTGTACACGTTCCAAATCTGGTCCCTACTTCCTCCAGTCCCGTTTAGTGAGGTTGGAGTTGTCACGGTAACACCAGGTGGTGGACCCATGGCTGTGGCAATGAAAGGTATGATGTCGCTACTTGACAGACTACATAGATGCTGAACACACCCACTCAACAGTATACTAGCTTACTACTGCTATATCAACTACTATCACTCCACACTGTTGTTACAGGAACAAGAACTATGTAGGGAGACCATAGTGGTTTAACTATGTCCTATCTTGTCGACCTGTTTGTCTGCTGTATTGGGGGGATTACGTTTTTTTACTTACAAATGTATATGAAAAATCTCTTACTGTAACTTTGTTAGAAACATAATTAAAATGTGTAACATTGTTGCCATTGTGTCTCTCCTTTGCAGAATAATACTATCAGTGGTAAGGGACAAACCTGATATAAATCACACTCATCTTTCTAATAAGATGGCTTTATTATAGAATGGGGTACAAGGTCAAAGGTTACAGACTGGGGGTGTATGGGGAGTAGCGGAGACTAGCGCTACAGTCATCATAAAATAGTGATAAAATAGAATCAAGCTTATATATTAAGACAGTTATGAAATGGTTACTGGTGCAAAAGTGTCCAGGTTTTCCAACAAAAAGCCTCACAAAGACAAAAAAGGGAGAACACAACAACTGCAAACATACTTTTTACACAACAAGGACTGTTCTAGATATCAGTGATTAGTAGATGTTGGTGGGTGAATAACTAATTATTGACCTGTTCAAAATGATATGAGGGGAGGGATATGTAACAATGCTGTAACAGTATACTCATTGCCGATAGAAAGTGGCAGGTAAACAGGAGTGACTGATGGACGAGGCGTGATCCTCCATGATGTTTCTGTTAGCGAGGAGGAGGGAGAGGCTGCATCTGGAGCGAGTCATAGGTATCCTTGGTGGCGGTACTCAAACCCTGATAGATGGGGGGGAAGGGAAGGGAGGACACAGTCAACTAGGATTGATCCCAAATCTCTCACTAAACCCTTGCCTCATCCACTTTGTTCCAAACCTCTCACTGCACACTTCCCTCTCATCTACTTCCCTACCACTGTCCCCTCAAACAGAGAGAAAATAATAGTGAAACAAGAGCTGTTATGTTTGTGTATTTAGGCCTTGTTAATTGGTTGATTGAGTGGAGGGGCGTGGTCAAGAGGGAACATGCAAGGAAGCATTTCGTTGGACTGTGTGAACCATGTGTATCCTGTGCATACGACAAATAAACTTAAACTACACACCTGGTACACCTGTTCGTTCTTGTTTCTGCGGCGCTGCTTGTCCTTCACAGCGATCTCCCTGTACGTGTCGTCTGTTGGTTTTTTAAGGGGACTGCGGAGGGAAAAACTGTTATAAGAAAAATATCCATATCTATTATAATATATAAACTAACATGAAATTATACAGTGCATTCGGAGGGTATTCAGAGCCCTTTCCTTTTTCCCCATTTTGTTATGTTACAGCCTTATTCTAAAATTGATTAAATCCATTTTTGCCCTCATCAATCTACACACAACACCCCATCATGACAAAGCGAAAACAGAAATACCTTATTTACATAAGTATTCAGACCTTTTCCTATGAGAATGGAAATTGAGCGCAGGTGCATCCTGTTTCCATTGATCATCCTTGAGATGTTTCTACAACTTGATTGGAGTCCACCTGTGGTAAATTCAATTGACTGGGCATGATTTGGAAAGGCGCACACTTGTCTATATAAGGTCCCACAGTTGACAGTGCATGTCAGAGCAAAAACCAAGCCATGAGGTCGAAGGAATTGTCCGTCGAGCTCCGAGACAGATTGTGTCGAGGCACAGATCTGGGAAAGGGTACCAAAAAATGTCTGCAGCATTGAAGGTCCCCAAGAACACAGTGGCCTCCATCATTCTTAAATGGAAAAAGTTTGGAACCACCAAGACTCTTCCTAGAGCTGGCCGCCCCGGCAAAACTGAGCAATCGGGGGAGAAGGGCCTTGGTCAAGGAGGTGACCAAGAACGCGATGGTCACTCTGACAGAGCTCCAGAGTTCCTCTGTGGAGATGGGAGAACCTTCCAGAAGGACAACCATCTCTGCAGCACTCCACCAATCAGGCCTTTATGGTAGAGTGGCCAGACGGAAGCCACTCCTCAGTAAAAGGCACATGACTCTGATCATGAGAAACAAGATTCTCTGGTCTGATGAAACCAAGATTGAACTCTTTGGCTTGAATGCCAAGCATCACGTCTGGAGGAAACCTGGCACCATCCCTACGGTGAAGCATGGGGGTGGCAGCATTATGCTATGGGGATGTTTTTCAGCTGCAGGGACTGGGAGACTAGTCAGGAATGAGGGAAAGATGAACGGAGCAAAGTTCAGAGAGATCCTTGATGAAAACCTGCTCCAGAGCGCTCAGGACCTCAGACTGGGGTGAAGGTTCACCTTCCAACAGGACAATGACCCTAAGCACACAGCCAAGATAACGCAGGAGTGGCTTCGGGACAAGTCTCTGAATGTCCTTGAGTGGCCCAGCCAGAGCCCGGACTTGAACATCTCTGGAGAGACCTGAAAATAGCTGTGCAGAGACGCTCCCCATCCAACCTGACAGAGCTTGAGAGGATCTGCAGAGAAGAATGGGAGAAACTCACCAAATACAGGTGTGCCAAGCTAGTAGCGTCATACCCAAGAAGACACGAGGCTATAATCGCTGCCGAAGGTGCTTCAACAAAGTACTGAGTAAAGGGTCTGAATACTTATGTAAATGTAATATTTCCGTTTTTATTTTATTTTATAAATTTGCTAAAATTTCTAAAAACCTGTTTTTGCTTTGTCATTATGGGGTATTGTGTGTAGATTAATGAGGGAGAAAAAACAATTTAATCCATTTTAGAATAAGGCTGTAATATAACAAAATGTGGAAAAAGTCAAGGGGTCTGAATACTTTCCGAATGCACTGCATGTTGGGTAACGCACTTACCGTGTAAGTGTCGTCATTATTCATGCGTTTCTGTGAATAACATAAACGTACACAGAATCAGACTTTTGGTGCATGATTACAGTAATGCTAATCTTATTCTGCTATTCACAAGATATTGATCCATACACACACACTTTATACACACACTTACATCGCGTGTCATTCCACTCTCTGGATCTCTTCTGTTTATTTGTCCATAACCGTCCCCACCCGTAGGTTTCAGATCCTAGAAAACACAGAGACAGTGTTCCAAAAACAACAACACACACACACACACACACACACACAAAAGGAATGGCTACTCACAGTGTAGATTTCGTCATCCTTCAATATTTTGCCCTTGGACTTGAAGAACTACGAGAGAGAGAGAGAGATCAGCCAAATATGTTGAGACAATAACTGGTCTCAATAAAACTGGTACCTGTATATCCAATCAGAGGTTTATCTACATCTACCCATATAGTGGTGTGTAAACTTGGACTCACTTTCTCTTTGAGCAACAGTCCAGTGATGATGAGGCCGTAGAGCAGGAGGAAGCCGTCCAGGATGTAGCAGAGTTTAGGGTCGTACAGCGGGGTCACCGCCTCTGCAGGGGAGAGGTTGACATTAATGAGAACACACACACAAACACCCCCAGTAAAACCCACCCCTCACTGGTAGAAATATTATGTCAGGAAGGTGAATTGAAGTAGGAATAACAATGTGTGGGAGTGAGTGTGTGTGTCTATGCGCAGTGGATGCCATCACTCAGTTTCACATGCACGCACACACACACACACACACACACACACAGTCTATCTTTCTCTCTCATGTACTGAACAGAAACAGTTTCTCTCTGTGTCTCAGGAAGACAGTCATATGGCAGTCAGGCTCAGTGTGGTTGCAGTGACTCTAAGCCTTTTTGTGGTGGGGGTGAGTGGAGCTGTATCTAGCTCAGTGGTTTCCTCAGCTGCAACACGTTCTGAGTCTGAGGTGGTATAACTGCCTGTGTGAGCCCCAGGTGTGTGTTTCTGTTACTTATATATGTCATCAGCAAAGACCTATTTCCAACTTACTTTGTACCAGGACTGACTAAAGCTCAGAGACCAAATCAGACATCCTAGCGATAGGTATCGGTCCATGGACCAGGGATTGCAAAATACCCCCCCCCCCCCCCCCCCTTATCTGTAATTTCCACTAAGACATATCTGATCTAGAAACAGTTAGGCCTCCCTTCAAGAGAGAGACTGACGATAAGGATGCAGTCAGGATTACAGAAACTGATGAAACACTGTGGTCAGGCCTTAGGATGGCTGAGACACTGAAACACTGGTCAGGCCTTAGGATGGCTGAGACACTGAGGTCAGGCCTTAGGATGGCTGAGACACTGAGGTCAGGCCTTAGGATGGCTGAGACACTGCAACACTGTGGTCAGGCCTTAGGATGGCTGAGACACTGAAACACTGTGGTCAGGCCTTAGGATGGCTGAGACACTGAAACACTGTGGTCAGGCCTTAGGATGGCTGAGACACTGAAACACTGTGGTCAGGCCTTAGGATGGCTGAGACACTGAAACACTGTGGTCAGGCCTTAGGATGGCTGAGACACTGAAACACTGTGGTCAGGCCTTAGGATGACTGAGACACTGAAACACTGTGGTCAGGCCTTAGGATGACTGAGACACTGAAACACTGTGGTCAGGCCTTAGGATGGCTGAGACACTGCAACACTGTGGTCAGGCCTTAGGATGGCTGAGACACTGAAACCCTGTGGTCAGGCCTTAGGATGGCTGAGACACTGAAACACTGTGGTCAGGCCTTAGGATGGCTGAGACACTGAAACCCTGTGGTCAGTAAGCTCTTAAGAAGTATATACGGTATACATTAAGTGTACCAAACATTAGGAACACCTGGCCTTGAACTGTGTTGACCTGTGTGTGTGGTGCTGGCTACATTTGTTCTCTCCCTTTCAGAGGGATAATAGGATGAGACCTTCAGCATTCTGAATACAGAGGCAAGCATGTGTTTGTGTGTGTTTCCACATACAGAAAAGTTCACAATTGTCCCTTTTTCCTGATCTGTCTGTGTCGGGATTATCATTTTACCTCCAGGTAACTGTCTACATGCTCAGTGCCCTTGCTGTTTAGTATTAATACATGTATTTGTAGATGCAGAGATGTTTGCTGATGTTTTCTACTGAAATCTGATGTCTGCTTGCACCTGCAGTGAATGAGAGAGTAGGCTGTGCAGTAGCCTATATGTGCCAGTCAGTGAATGAGAGAGTAGGCTGTGCAGTAGCCTATATGTGCCAGTCAGTGAATGAGAGAGTAGGCTGTGCAGTAGCCTATATGTGCCAGTCAGTGAATGAGAGAGTAGGCTGTGCAGTAGCCTATATGTGCCAGTCAGTGAATGAGAGAGTAGGCTGTGCAGTAGCCTATATGTGCCAGTCAGTGAATGAGAGAGTAGGCTGTGCAGTAGCCTATATGTGCCAGTCAGTGAATGAGAGAGTAGGCTGTGCAGTAGCCTATATGTGCCAGTCAGTGAATGAGAGAGTAGGCTGTGCAGTAGCCTATATGTGCCAGTCAGTGAATGAGAGAGGATATGTGGTCTGATGCGCTTGTCCAGCTGCATTAGCAGTACTGTACTACCAAAGTTGTTCAACCAGACTAATAGAAAATCAGCCTTCGCCTCATTTCACCTGCACTAAAAGCCTCATTTCACCTGCACTAAAAGCCTCATTTCACCTGCACTAAAAGCCATGGCAGAACACAGCATGTGACTCAAAGAAGACAGGGTCAGGGCTACAGTAGCAGACTGGTGCTGGGTCGTATTCATTAGGTACCCGGACGGAAGAAAACAGATTGAAACAGGGAGGGGCCACCTGAAAATGTCCAATAAGAAACATTTGTTTTAGTTTCCTGTTGCAAAAATGTTTTGCTAGGGTGTGCCCTAATGAAGAGGACCCTGTTAGAGGAGCCTCATCAAAGCACTACAACATGAAATGCTTTCTTAGTCTAATCAAGTAATAATGTAGTCATCTGGTGAATGCTTTTATCCAAGGCGACTAAAAGAGAGAGAGATATACTCAATGAAAATGTGTTTGTCGAGAGTCTGATGTCAGAATTCAACATTCTAAATGTTTTCCTTGCCTTTCAGAATGCAAATAATGGATTTAATTCATGCATCATGCAAATTATAAAACCTATGGCAATAGCTATAGAATACAGCTAGATTGTATGGTAATGTGTGCATTTTTTCATTGGGGCCTGCTCGGTGTCAAATCAAATCAAATGTTATTTGTCACATGCGCCGAATACAACAGGTAGCAGAGAGAACAGTCTATGACAAGGGTGGCTGGAGTCTTTGGCAATTGTATTGCAATGTATTTCCTTCATCCTCCCTGACACTTTTTCTGTTTTGTTATTTATCCTCAGAAAGTGTGACGGAGGCAGAGCTATTGAAAGTGTGGAATCAAAAGCATAAAGTCGCACACTAACCCTTAAAAAAAAGTCCTACAGGTTCTGTGTGGGATTTTTCCTGCAGTCTTAGGCCAACATACAATATACATACACTGAGTGTACAAAACATTAGGAACACCTTCCTAATATTGAGTTGCACCCCCTTTTGCCCTCAGAACAGCCTCAAATCGTTGGAGTATGGCCTCTACAAGGTGTCGAAAGCGTTCCACAGGGATGCTGGCTCATGCCGACTCCAATGCTTCCCACAGTTGTATGAAGTTGTCTGGATACACATTGGAAACTGTTGAGCGTGAAAAACCAAGCAGCGTTGCAGTTCTTGACACACTCAAACCGGTGCGCCTGGCACCTACTACCATACCCCGTTCAAAGGCACTTAAATATTTTGTCTTGCCCATTCACCCTCTGAATGGAACACATACACAATCCATGTCTCAACCGTCTCAAGGCGTAAAAATCCTTCTTTAACCTGTCGCCTCCAATTCACTTACACTGATTGAAGTGGATTTAACAATTGACATCAATAAGTGATCATAGCTTTCACCTGGATTCACCTGGTCAGTCTGTCATGGAAAGAGCAGGTGTTCTTAATGTTTTGTATACTCAGTGTAAACGGTAGAGACTAAGCACTATGCACACTGTGTTGCCCACCACATCAACTACAGTGGGGGAAAAAAAGTATTTAGCCACCAATTGTGCAAGTTCTCCCACTTAAAAAGATGAGAGGCCTGTAGTTTTCTTCATAGGTACACGTCAACTATGACAGACAAATTGAGAAAAAAAAATCCAGACACCTGTCCACAACCTCAAACAGTCACACTCCAAACTCCACTATGGCCAAGACCAAAGAGCTGTCAAAGGACACCAGCAACAAAATTGTAGACCTGCACCAGGCTGGGAAGACTGAATCTGCAATAGGTAAGCAGCTTGGTTTGAAGAAATCAACTGTGGGAGCAATTATTAGGAAATGGAAGACATACAAGACCACTGATAATCTCCTTCGATCTGGGGCTCCACGCAAGATCTCACCCCGTGGGGTCAAAATGATCACAAGAACGGTAAGCAAAAATCCCAGAACCACACGGGGGGACCTAGTGAATGACCTGCAGAGAGCTGGGACCAAAGTAACAAAGCCTACCATCAGTAACACACTACGCCGCCAGGGACTCAAATCCTGCAGTGCCAGACGTGTCCCCCTGCTTAAGCCAGTACATGTCCAGGCCCGTCTGAAGTTTGCTAGAGTGCATTTGGATGATCCAGAAGAGGATTGGGAGAATGTCATATGGTCAGATGAAACCAAAATATAACTTTTTGGTAAAAACTCAACTCGTCGTGTTTGGAGGACAAAGAATGCTGAGTTGCATCCAAAGAACACCATACCTACTGTGAAGCATGGGGGTGGAAACATCATGCTTTGGGGCTGTTTTTCTGCAAAGGGACCAGGACGACTGATCCGTGTAAAGGAAAGAATGAATGGGGCCATGTATCGTGAGATTTTGAGTGAAAACCTCCTTCCATCAGCAAGGGCATTGAAGATGAAACGTGGCTGGGTCTTTCAGCATGACAATGATCCCAAACACACTGCCCGGGCAATGAAGGAGTGGCTTCGTAAGAAGCATTTGAAGGTCCTGGAGTGGCCTAGTCAGTCTCCAGATCTCAACCCCATAGAAAATCTTTGGAGGGAGTTGAAAGTCTGTGTTGCCCAGCGACAGCCCCAAAACATCACTGCTCTAGAGGAGATCTGCATGGAGGAATGGGCCAAAATACCAGCAACAGTGTGTGAAAACCTTGTGAAGACTTACAGAAAACGTTTGACCTGTGTCATTGCCAACAAAGGGTATATAACAAAGTATTGAGAAACTTTTGTTATTGACCAAATACTTATTTTCCACCATAATTTGCAAATAAATTCATTAAAAATCCTACAATGTGATTTTCTGGAAAAAAATATCTCATTTTGTCTGTCATAGTTGACGTGTACCTATTATTTATCGACAGACGGCCTACAGGTTACTGTTGGCAATAGGACATTGAGTGAGTGATTGACTAAATGAACAGTCTTTGTTCTGTGTTTGTATCACCTTTTAAATGTGTACATACAAAACAACATTTACAATAAGGTCATTCAGTAAGCGACTGATCAACGTTTTTTTCAATAACTTTTTGTCTTTTGACATGAAACATGTCTCTTTTGACCTTGGAGGGAGACGTTTCCACTATCACTAGCACTGCCATGACCATGGCTGTGGTCGCCTCACAGACGTCTCTCCCTTCCCACCACAGGTAAACCCTAGTGTGGTTAAAGCCTCCCCAGGGGCCTCTGCAGAAAGGGCAAAACACATGGGGCATGAATAGCAATACTTTCTGTTTCCACTTCAAAAAGAACTTGCTCCAGATAGTTCATCATTTGACGTAAAGAAAAATAGATAATCTGTGTTCTTAATCACTTCATACTCAAATGTGATGCTTTATAGCACCATATTGTGTAATACTTCCATTGTGCAATACATTTACATGTGAACAAGTTCTAGCGAAGGTTAAACCTGATTACATGTTGTGCACGTTAAGTTAGGGTCAATTACGCCTACACTCCAAATTGAATTGCAGGGCTGTGGAGAAATCACATGTCCTGTAAGAGACGTACCGACAGGAACTGAAATGTAATGCGATTGACCCCAGCACGATGAAACGTGAGGTGTGATTACAAATAGCAGGCGAGATAGCTAGATCATCGTGAAGTGATATTATCTGACACAGGAAGCCTTGAGTGAGAAGCTGTCAGTGAGAGGCTGGGGGGGTTGGGGGTAACACATGATGAGACATGATTCAATCATGCAGGTTATTTCCTAATAACTATTTTTAAGAAGCCACTGCAGCGCTACAAGAACATCTCAGCACCACTCCCTCGGTCTCTCGCTCCCTCACTCTCTCTCTCGCTCGCTCCCCGCATTGCGGTCAGAGTTCGTGTCTCAAACCCTGAGAACTTTACAGGGTCCAGTCGTATAATATATTGTACAATTATGAGTGTGTGAATGTATGCATGTGAATGTGCAAGAAAAACACTTTTTTAAACAGAAATATTGGAATTTGTCTATGTTGTGTGTGAACCTAGCCTGTTTTTCATTGAGTATGTGAATCCAACATTGATTATTGCAGCGAGGGGAGAGATCATTTTGAAATAGCCCATCCCTAAAACTCGGATTGTGTGTTTGATTGAATAGCAGCCTCAGTCAAGTCCATCTCAGGCCTGACCAGTGCAGTGCTGTGGCCACAGGTAAAACGGGGGAGAATTTGAATGTAAAAGGTAAAAGGTTACAGGCTTTTTAACTGTTGTTAAAGAGTCTGCTGCTGAGGTCTTTTATTGCTAACTTTAGCGTCATACTGCCAGTGACTGTGTTGATGGAACATACCATGTATTTACTGGTCTCCTAAAAGGAAACTGACTGAAATCTTTGTTTTGATAGATTATTTTGCAGTGTGGTGACATCAACATCTGTCATTTCTCGCCAGAAGTTGTAGGAAAGAGAGAAACCAGTTAGATTCAGAGTAATGCACCACCTACTTTGCACTATTATATAACAAGAACAATACCGTAACTTACACTCACAGTAAGGATTTGAGAATGAGTGTTGGAACAGGGAAACAATAATATTATAATTGCTAACTTTAGCGTCATACTGCCAGTGACCGTGTTGATGGAACATACCATGTATTTACTGGTCTCCTAAAAGGAAACTGACTGAAATCTTTGTTTTGATAGATTATTTTGCAGTGTGGTGACATCAACATCTGTCATTTCTCGCCAGAAGTTTGTAGGAAAGAGAGAAACCAGTAGGTGTGTTCAAATCCTTGTTTAAAAGGTGACACTCAGCAACTTTGATGTATCGTCATTGAGTGATGTGATTTCACCCACGTAAAACTCTGAAGACGTGAAGAAATTTCCATTCAGCTTTTGACTCTGAAGACAGACTGTTTATGTTTGAATTGCATAATCAGATGATTTGAGTGGTAAAAAGTATTATTTTCTTTTTTCTCAGAGATTGCTGATCAGTCTTTAGAGCGCGCTCAGTTTAACACAGGCCAAAATTAAGGGTTCAATGTAGCTGCTTGAATTGCATTAAAACATTTTGTATAGACTATTGCATTTTTAAAAAAAAATTACAATTCTGCAAATCATGAACATCAACACATTAATAATTTAACATAAACTGCAACTTAAACCCCAAAAGTAGCTCACTGTGATTAAATAAATATCACTACATGTCATTTCTGATTTTATGGACCTGCCTTTTGTCATTGGGACTTGATAATAGTGTAACTGATAGTATCACCATTTAATACTCTAGTGTTGTTCACAGTAAAGAGCGGAAACAGAAGGCCCTCCTACATGGTTCTCTGTCACAGTGGGATGTGAGTGAGAGAGAACCCCAACCCTATCATGGTTACAGTAATGCATCTCACACTAAACACTTTGTGTTCTATGACGGGTACAAAAACAAAAGATTCCCCAAAATGACACAGCCAACTGGCAGATAGTTTCTCTAACACAAGGAGCAATTTGTAAAGAGCAAAATGGAGAAGATAAGCTATTGACAACACTGACACTTTCTCTAATGAGCGTGTGCGAGGACTTGTGCAGTTAATAATAATAATAAATAATAATATGCCATTTAGCAGACGCTTTTATCCAAAGCGACTTACAGTCATGCGTGTATACATTTTATTTAATTTTTTGTGTATGGGTGGTCCCGGGGATCGAACCCACTACCTTGGTGTTACAAGCGCCGTGCTCTACCAGCTGAGCTACAGAGGACCACGTTAGGCAGTATATGGTCATCTACACATCTTTACCGTCCGAATAGGACACCTGTATAATGTCCAAAAGAACACACCATTATTTAAACGCATAGTACAGTAACCATAAACCTTTCCGCTTTTTTAATTGCTTATCTAAATAAAGAGTTGATCATTGACCGTCATTCACACGCACTAGCACACGCACATTGTAATATTGTTGTCTGGTGGTATTATACATTTTGTATTGTAGATATGTAGTGGTGTAATAATGTTATATGATGTACTGTTTTATCTTTTGTTTTGTGTGTAATGTAAGTGCCTTAATGTGTTTGGACCCCAGGAAGAGTAGCTGCTGCCTTGGAAGCAGTTAATGGGGATCTCTAATAAATACAAATAGGTTGATGACGGGGCCCTGAGCACTCATCCATACTGTAGACTAGCCTACGCTGCCGACACTGCCTCAGCAAAATCAGAAAGTTAGAATTATGAAATATATATTTTTTAATGAAGTAATCATTAGCAATTTTTCAAGCAACCCCTCATTCTCTGCCTCATCCCTTGAGAAGTTGAAAAAGTCAAAATATCATGCTGTCTTTTTCACCTTTATATTTTTGCATCTCTTCTCCTTTTCTAAACCTTACCATAACCTTTATTTCACTGGTTGTGTTCTAGGATTATTTTACCCTTTCTGGTAGAACATTACATTACAGCACAGAGCTAAGTGGTAATAACAAGGTAATGGTAAAGTATATAGTTACTCACAATGAAAACATTATTTATCCAGATAGGCTATCCCTAATTTCAATATAATTATATTATGATTCAGAGTAATGCACCACCTACTTTGCACTATTATATAACAATAAAAGAACAATACCGTAACTTACACTCACAGTAAGGGTTTGAGAATGAGTGTTGGAACAGGGAAACAATAATATTCTAATTTTACTGGAATTAACTAATCTGGCCAAATGTTTTCAACTGTACCATACAATGACCATTTATTTCCACTTAATTCTATGGTGCCATGTAAAATGCTCCTATTCATTTTTAAGTTGGCGTGTTTAAAAAATATTCAATCTGGCCCCTTTGATGAGAGAAAGCACAACAATCAGAGAGGAAGGAGACAGCAGACAACTCTGTATTCTACACATGATCAAAACCCAACTCAAAGTCACAGAGCCGGGTCTCTGTCTGTTCACTGGTGTACAATAAAGATCACACACACACACACACACACACACACACACTTCACTGGAAGTTAAAATTTGAAATCCAAACCAACATGAGGGCATTGACACGATGGAGAGAGTAGTATGCAAGGAAAGGGAATAAATGTGGTTCAAAATGTACAACTCCCTTCATTCAGGGCCAATAAGTTAAATATGGGTCAAGTTATTATTTCCGCTAACAATATGCCCTGGTTCTAAACACCTGTGTGAGAACATGGAAGACTTGTGTTTATGAACCCCTCTACATGACTACACCGCTGGGTTTTGCTCTCCCTCGTTTGTCTTTTCCTGCTTCGTCAAAGATGGCCGTCTCTTGTTGAGAAACGGAGGACACCACCATGAGTGAGCCGTGTTTTACCCAGCCAGGATTCAAAGCACTATGCAGGCATCATAGGTAGTACGACTCCATTGGAGTAGGTGACTGTACAGCTGTATAGTGGTCTATAATGGGTCAACTAGACTTATAGCTAAATACTACAGAGTTACACCAGCTCTTCCATGATACCAGGTTGTTGGAGGCTTCGGAGGGTTGAGACACCGAGTGACAGGGGTCAGGGTTTAGGGATGAGCCCAGGTGCAAAGAGAGACAGGGTTTGGAGGGGTCTTACCGGCATAGGGTAGTGCAGTAGACAGGACCAGCAGGCCTCCCGTCCTCTTCCGAGGGTCCATCGCTCTCTCTGGATGGGTGCGGTCGAGCCCCTTCTCTTAGAAACCGTGCCACACTCCTCTCTGCCGTCCTCTCTTCTGTCTTCCTGGGCCTTGGGGGATGATGGGCCTCCAAAGCTGGGTTTTATGGGTAACTTCTCGTTCTCCTGTCTCTCTCTGTGTTGGGGTGCAGCTTGAGGCTGAGTGATGTGTCGACTCGCTGGCGGCTCCTCGTCTTAGTGTACAGGAAGTGGCTTAGTGTTGCTCCACCTGGTTACACGACACACACACACAAACACACACACACAAACACACACGCCTCTCACCCTGGCCTACCCTTCCCCTATCCTCAACTCTAAGACATGGCTCCTTCTCCGTACTCAGGAAGGCACTCCCTGTCAATGTTGAGAGGAACATGTTCTTGACTGAAGAGCTGTGTGCTATACAGTTCTACTGACTCATCTACTTAGTAGCCCAGTGACTGAAGAGCTGTGTGCTATACAGTTCTACTGACTCATCTACTTAGTAGCCCAGTGACTGAAGAGCTGTGTGCTATACAGTTCTACTGACTCCTCTACTTAGTAGCCCAGTGACTGAAGAGCTGTGTGCTATACAGTTCTACTGACTCCTCTACTTAGTAGCCCAGTGACTGAAGAGCTGTGTGCTATACAGTTCTACTGACTCCTCTACTTAGTAGCCCAGTGACTGAAGAGCTGTGTGCTATACAGTTCTACTGACTCATCTACTTAGTAGCCCAGTGACTGAAGAGCTGTGTGCTATACAGTTCTACTGACTCCTCTACTTAGTAGCCCAGTGACTGAAGAGCTGTGTGCTATACAGTTCTACTGACTCATCTACTTAGTAGCCCAGTGACTGAAGAGCTGGGTGCTATACAGTTCTATTGGACTCATCTACTTAGTAGCCCAGTGACTGAAGAGCTGTGTGCTATACAGTTCTATTGGACTCATCTACTTAGTAGCCCAGTGACTGAAGAGCTGTGTGCTATACAGTTCTACTGACTCATCTACTTAGTAGCCCAGTGACTGAAGAGCTGTGTGCTATACAGTTCTACTGACTCATCTACTTAGTAGCCCAGTGACTGAAGAGCTGGGTGCTATACAGTTCTATTGGACTCATCTACTTAGTAGCCCAGTGACCGAAGAGCTGTGTGCTATACAGTTCTATTGGACTCATCTACTTAGTAGCCCAGTGACTGAAGAGCTGTGTGCTATACAGTTCTACTGACTCATCTACTTAGTAGCCCAGTGACTGAAGAGCTGTGTGCTATACAGTTCTACTGACTCATCTACTTAGTAGCCCAGTGACTGAAGAGCTGTGTGCTATACAGTTCTATTGGACTCATCTACTTAGTAGCCCAGTGACTGAAGAGCTGTGTGCTATACAGTTCTACTGACTCATCTACTTAGTAGCCCAGTGACTGAAGAGCTGTGTGCTATACAGTTCTACTGACTCATCTACTTAGTAGCCCAGTGACTGAAGAGCTGTGTGCTATACAGTTCTATTGGACTCATCTACTTAGTAGCCCAGTGACTGAAGAGCTGTGTGCTATACAGTTCTACTGACTCATCTACTTAGTAGCCCAGTGACTGAAGAGCTGTGTGCTATACAGTTCTATTGGACTCATCTACTTAGTAGCCCAGTGACTGAAGAGCTGTGTGCTATACAGTTCTACTGACTCCTCTACTTAGTAGCCCAGTGACTGAAGAGCTGTGTGCTATAGAGTTCTATTGGACTCATCTTACTTGCAACCAACCTGATTATTTAATATTAATAAGATAAATATTACATTTAATAAAGAACAAAGGAAAGTACTGTACATACAAAAATCTAGCTTTATTTATACAAATCATCCATCATTTTGTTTTTAAAAATGTATCATGTCAGCATCAAAATATCAAAACTTGAATCAGTTTGTTTTACAAGTGGTGATCAGAAAAGCTTATGAAGCCATTTCAGGCTAATCCTAAAATCATGGCACTGAGTTAAAAAAAATAATAGAGTAGCCTATATATCAAATACTTATTTCATGTATAAATATATACAAAGAATGTATTTAAATTCCAGCAAAATCGGAAGTGAAGTTGTAGAACAGAATAATTATTAGTAAAAAATATTCTAATGTCATATTTAGTTCTATTTTGGCATGATATTGAATTGAAACGAATGAGACCCAAACTGATTAAATGAAAGACTAAGAAAAATGTACTTATAAAATGACAAATGGATTTGTAGATGACAAGTGCAATGCTTCATAATCAACACATACCACTGACTGGAATAACACTCACAGTTTAATTCAACATGAGTGTCATGTTCTTCTTTTGCTTTAAAGAAATGGTTCACCCAAATTACAATGTATTCTAATTTTATGGATACCTACATTCAAAAGCTATTCTATGGAGCTAGTCAGCCACCCAGAATGTGGGTTTGTTCACCTTGCTACAGCTTATTGGTGGCATTGTTCAAAAACAATAGAGCGTGGTACCCTTGTTGGCAGGCCAAAATGGCATTTTAAAAAATCCCCTCCAAACTACAACAAAATATGTAATTTGGTCGAACTACCCTTCAAGCAGCTGCTTCTATCTGTAACAAGCCCCCCCCCCCTTGTGGTAAAAATACAACACTGCATATGACTGCTCACCTAACATGGGAGAGTGATGCCATCAATTATTTCTTATATAAATACAAAAGCTAAATGGGCTCCCTAACAACGAAGGCAGTCCTTCTTAAAACCAATCAAATAATTATATTGCACAACAAGAGAGTTTCCTAAAGGGTATAACCTGCTCACTCATGCAATTACACACACAGATCCATCCCTATAGGCATACATTTAAATTGCAAGCATATGAGAGACAAACTCTGAATTCCAAACCATCCCCTTCCCCCAGACACCCCAGTAGATATTAAATGATTTGGAATTCAGCAAATGGCCATTATTGAGCTAATTTAGTTGGGGGGGGGGAGTCTTCATTGTTCTGAATATTGGGTCCATCCTCTTGACCACTATGAAACACTTAGGATCCCTCCACATCAAAAACTGACTGTGGTGTCCTCCTAAAAGAATCACAAGACAGAAAGACAACGGTCAGCTGTTCTGAGGCCACTGTTAACTAAAACAGTGACTCAGTACATTTTTGTCACGTGCACTTAGTGCTATTCCTTACTTTCATTCCTGACAATAAGCCGTATGTATGACACACTGATCAAACTCCATGACATCTGACCAATCAGACTCTGTTTCAGAGGTGCACTCCACAAAAGTGCATCCCAGATTATTTGCAACAGGCAGTGAAACCTCTAGTCACTGATCCAGGGTTAGAGGCTAGGGGTTGTTTCTGGACAGAGCCTCAGAGGCAAGAGAAGAGCATCAATAGCTACTCACTCAGTGGTGTCTGTTGTAGGGTGTAACCTTGAAGGGTGTAGCCTTGAAGTAGTCTTCTGGGGTGACTGTCTTCACCCCTCCAAAGTAGTCCAGAACCCACACCTTGGTGATGTTCATCTTGGCAAAGAACCAGTTGTGATCGGTGGGCCAGTCAACCATCTCAGGGTGCCGGCTGAACAGGGCTTTCTTGGCAAAGGTGGCCTCTGTACCGTTAATCTATCAGAGACATACAGGTAAACAGAACAGTGAGGATTCATGATGATAAACTCTGTAACGTGGAGTAGTGTGTGTGCGAGTGAGTGAGACTGATTGTGCGTGCGTCAGTGTGTGTATGTGTGTGTCATTAACCCTCACCTCCAGCACAGAGCCAGAGAAGATGATGTGGGCACACAGGGGATCCTGAGGGTCGTATCCTTGGTTCTTACAGAAGTCTGTCTGGGCCAGGGACATGGACAAGGAAGCCTGGGGGTTCACCTGAAACACACAGTCAGTCAGCATCTCCTTACTCTTCAGCACATCCCTTTGAATGGCATCACACATATAGGCCTGTGTAGGTTATATATTAGAGAAAAGGTCAATAGTTTAGCCTATGGTTTTGCCCGCTTTAGGTATAATGCCAGGAGCCACTTGTGGATTCGACAGCTCTAACGGAGTTCAACATCTGACACTGTCAAAACAACCACTATGTGGATGTCAGGCTAAAGCGGATCTGATTGAATTGAGCCCCAAGTGTGTGTGGTAAACCGGCATACATGGTGCTGGCTGGTTCAGACTTGAAGCTGTCAATTCACTGCCACGTCAACATAAGACTGAAGCGTGACGTGTGACGTCATTACAAAAAATTGCTGTGTCACTCCCCAAAAGCAGCTGACTCATGATAGCACCAATGAGAGTTGCATAATTCAACAACTTTCAGTCATGGTTCTAAATGTAAATGAAGTGTCAACTACAAATGGAACAAGGTATGTTTCTTGCAGTAGCCGACATAATGCAAATAATAACCTTATCTGTCATCGACTTTACGTCCTTGTATACCTTTCCTAAGTTACAATTGACAGAAATATTGTCCTACCCACCTTTAAATCCTGAACAGAGATCTCCATACTGGTGAGGAACATGTAGGGCACCCCAGTCCCAGACCCGACTGGCCCGTCACTGATAGAGAATGCATTGGAGAAGGGTTGTCCTTGCACTGGCTCATGGGTCGATATTGTGGCCATGGAAGCCCAGTTGCACTGGTTGGCGACGAATCTAGCCATCCTGGCGACTTCCTCGTGCGGAGGGATTCTGTAAGGTTCGCCGGGCATAGCGAAAAGCAGTAGAAGCCCTGCTGCCAGCATTGTGTTCATGTTGACTTCCATCTCCTTCATACACCACTGAGGTATAAAGAACGTCGTAAACACATGTAGAAGGAAAGCAACGAAGTGTTTTGTATACTGCGGTCACGTGATCAAATGGGGATTATGTCATATGACTTCACAGTTGGTTTTTTTCAAATCCAGGCGCACTCAATTACCGATATTATAAAAAACGCCATGAGGCCGATAAACAACAAGTTGATTCTACGAAAGTTCCACTTTGTATTGTGCCGTTTTATTAAAATATGTTTACCTTTAAAACGTTGCCTTAGCCCATTTGACACTGATTGCATTAATTACTGTATTTCCTCCCCCAAAGATTGTCAAGTTTTTTTTCTTCACAATGTCATGCATTCTTGCATAGGCCTCAGGCTCAATGGTAAGAATGGGTTTAACTTGACAGACCTTTTCAACATCTGACAAATTAAATATTGGCGGTGATTTGTATCTTCTACTGTTTCCACCTGTTGGTGGTAAACTTGACCATTGCCTTAAGTGGGCCTTACCATGATGTAATAAACCTGTGTATAATTTCAACAGCCCACAAACACTAAATACTCTGCTTCTCAGAATCCCCAAGATGGTTGGTCGTGGAAAGAAAGCGGTCACCAAAAACACTTCGACAAGCCGCTCTGCTAGGTCTGGTCGCCAGTTTTAAGTAGGCCAAATTCGACGTCTGCTGAGGCGCACACGAGCGGCAATCTACCTCGCTGCCATCCTGGTTTACTCTGTGCATACATTCTGGAGCTGTCGGGCAATGCAGCCCATGACACAAGTGGCGCATTGCTCCCCGGCACATCCAATTGGCTGTGCGGAACAATGATGAGCTGAACACTGGGCGGCATCCCAAATCTGATGTGGGTGTTCTTCCAAACATCCACGCCGTGCTGCTCCCGAAGACTGACAATGCGTCTAGAGATGACTGCACTGCCAAAGACATCCAGTGTCAATAGTTTTAAATGTACAATGTTTTTACTGCAAGAGCACTTATTTTAGTGTTTCCTAATAAAAGTATTGTACTAAGACCCTAGTTGGCCTACATTTGTTTCAGTTTGACGTGGGATTTCAATTGGTGTAGCATCTTGTATGTAAGCATTCTATGGTCTTGATGTGGAAAGAATTTCCAACTCCGTAACCTCCTAGAAAGTTGAACCACTTCAATTGCTTTACATTTCTACAGGTCTTAATTTGAAAACACTCAGTCCTCTGCCTGAACTGGTCCACTAAAACCGTTAAATGACAACTCTTATCTACACAACTTTATTTGGCTCAATGGTGGACGTCATAAATTATGTGCTAATTTCTAATAAAATATGCCATCTCGCAGATTATTTTAGCCTAAGAGATTTTGTCATGCGTGCGTACGTTTACCATATGGGTGGAATCGAACCCACTACCCTGGCGTTTCAAGCAGCCCCATGCTCTACCAACTGAGCTTCACCGAACAAAAATATAAATGCAACGTTTATAGTGTTGGTCCAATGTTTCATGAGCTGAAATGTTCATTACACACAAAAAGCTTATCTCATTCTGCACAAATATGTTTACATCCCTGTTTAGTGAGCACTTCTCCTTTGCCAAGATAATCCATCCACCTGACAGGTGTTGCATATCAAAAATCTGATTAAATGGCATGATTACACAGGTGCACCTTGTGCTGGGGACAAAAGGCCACTCAAATGTGCCGTTTTGTCGCAACACAATGCCACAGATGTCTCAAATTTTGCAGGAATAAAAAAAAAAAAACATATTTCAGTCATTTAGCAGCTCTTATCCAGAGCGATTTACAGGAGCAATTAGGGTTCAGTGCCTGGCTCAAGGGCAAATCGACAGACGTTTCACCTAGTTGGCTTGGGGATTCGAACCAACGCCCTTAACCGCTAGGCTACCTGCCACCAGAGTTGTTGCCAGATAATTTAATGTTCATTTCCCTACCATAAGCCGCCTCCAACGTCATTTTATAGAATTCGGCAGTACGTCCAACCAACCTCAACACCAGACCACGTGTTTGGTGTTGTGTGGGCAAGCGGTTTGCTGATGTCAATGTTGTGAACAGAGTGCCACATGGTGGGGTTATGGTATGGGCAGGCATAAGCTATGGACAACAAACACAATTGCATTTTATTGATGGCAATTTGAATGCACAAAAATACTGTGACGAGATCCTGAGGCCCATTTTTTAAAAAGGTATCTGTGACCAACAGATGCATATCTGTACTCCCAGTCATGTGAAATCCATAGATTAGGGCCTAATTAATTCATTTCACTTGACTGATTTCCTCATATGAACTGTAACTCAGTAAAATCAATGAAATTGTTGCATGTTGCGTTTAAATTTTTGTTCAGTATACAAAGGACCATTTACAGGTTAATAAACAAAGGTGATGAGGGCAAGGCATAACTGGTTGTCCACTATCATACACATCTTGGGGTCATTGTGGCCTGGTCCGAAGGCAGATTTGGTTACAGCACTGACTATGTAGGAGCAGGCTATAATATTATATTTTGTTTCTATGTTAATCTCAAGGTTCAGGCCAGCAGTCCCTGACAGCCTTCACATCCACACTGACATGTCACTTCCTGTTCCGGGTCACTGTCAGGGCTGTGGGAGTAGTTCCAGGTCAACTCAGTCCCCGCCTTCACCACTCTGCAAGAAAACATAGAAAAAGCACAATCTACTGTTGGTACTGATTTATCAACCCAATCGCGTAGTTTTATCTCTCAATCATTACCCATCAGAGAGCAGAGACCATTCCGGACACTTACCTGCTGGTGAAGAAGGCGATGACGGGGAAGTTTGGGTCATGAGAGTCAGTGAAGACGTTCTGCACAAATAGGTTGGGGTCGCAGCTGTGCTGTAGAGACAAGAGGTCAGAGGTTATGAGGTGGTGGGTTAAAGAATGGAAGTAGATAGACTATAGGTCACAGTCATACACCTACATTTATGAACCTTCCCACGTTCCCCTCCTTCGTGGCATCTACGTAATACAGGTGCTCCATAGGGTTCTGCTTTGGGCCCAGTTTTTGGGGGCTTGTGCTTGTGGACACAGACAGTTTCACATCCACTTCTTTCATGTCCACTTCTTTCAAGTCTGGTTCGGAATTCAACTGTGGCTTCTGTACCCCATTCTCTTGCTCCAGCCCCTCCTCAACCTCCATGCCTGAAGAAGGAAAATTGTAACAGGAAAGAAAATAAGTTAGATTGCATATTTTCTGGGCCCCACAATACCTTGTTTCTCAGTGTTCATCATTGGGAACCATAGCCTGGTTAAACCAGTGAAACAATGGTGATTGCAGCAGTCAGTCTGGTGTAACCAGGCTAATGGAACCATGAAGCCCCCTGAAGCAGCCGCTGGCCCAGTTTCCAGTACCTGTGAGAGGTTGGGCTGGCAGGGCGTTCCCCACCAACACAGCTTGTATCTGTGAAGAAAGCTCCACCCCGGGCCTCTGGATAACGGGCACATGAAGCCCGTCAGGAGGTGAGCAGGGGGGCGAGGGCTCCAGGGTCTCTGCATGCGCCCGTCCCTCTCCTGCCGGTGCCAGCCACTCATCCACCACCTCCACCTCGTCGTCGGAGGGAAGCTCCGTCTTCTGGCGCTTGGGTGGGAGGGGCTTGTCGGAATCTAGGCCTGCCCTGAGAACTACACCTGGAAGGAAGAAAAGGGAAGCTAATAATGTTTCAGATCCTTGATTTGGATCCACAGTTCAGCCTTTATTAAAGGGATAGCTCTTATGCAAATATGCTGATTTTCGCTGAACAATTCCTTTAAGCGTACAGGACCAAACTGTCACGTTCCCCTACCTGCGTACGTGCACACGAAGGTGCCCCTGTCCAGGTCATCACGGCAACGCACCCCCCATCCTTTGTCTCCGGTGGGGAAGACTTGCAGCCGGACGCGCAGACCCCGCTGAACCACACGGTTCTGGCACCTGCCACGGTCACACCCACACCACGGACCGCATTCGTACAGCCTAACACACACAAACACACACAGATACATATCTCATGAGTAGTTGGTAATGGCATGCACTCTCCAGGCACAATAGATACACAGAGGACATTAACACAACAGGATTGCTGACAAGGCCCAGACGCCCAGCCCAACTCACCCTTTAGGCACAGGCTCAGACAGCCTCTGGTGGGAGTAGTGTTTGCCGCCGGTCTGCCGAGCGCAGGCGCAGCTCTCCGCGTCACCACAGCCGTCAGTGCAGTCACAGCAGGTGGTGAACAGCGGGCCCGAACTGAGGAAACAGCCGTGAGGCCAACGCTCCTTCCTGTAGCGGAAGTCCTCCGGCCGCACTCCTTCCTCCCCCAGGCACAACTCCACCGGAGTTGGCTCTGACCCCCGGCTCAGGTCCCTCTCGGCCGGCCCGGGTGGGCGCCACTGCGGTGGCCGCAGACACTCCAACTGCACCAGGGGGTCAAAGGTGAAGTCGTCCACCTGCAGGACGTCGTGACTCTCAGTGGCAACCAGGAAACATAACACCTCCCCTGGGGTGCAGAGACTCAGCCCACAGGGAGCCTTATAAACAACGCCCTGCCCTGTGACCTCAGAGTCCAACTCTGCACCCTGAGAATTCTCAGAGCTCTCCCCCTTAGAGTCTGGTTCGGTCTCATCACAATCGGTCTCAATCACTTTAGTGAAAGGTGGGGTGGCAGCACACTGCCGCTGGAAGGAGCAGAGTAGGGGGATCCTGAGAGGGTTGTGGCCCCGGAAGTGGTGTGCGGACGGGGGCAGGTGGGGCACACAGGCCTGGCTGCAGGTATGGAGCTGGTAGGGGAGCTGGAGGGGCACCAGTGGGGCCATGAGGTCCTCTCTGTTGGGGTAGGGGGGCGACAGCGGGAGGATGGAGCCGTCATAACGAAGGGGTGAGGGAGGGGAGACAGGCTCTGTCTGCTGGGGGGGCAGTGGAGTCTGGGGATCGTCAATATCAGGGACTGAAACTGTGAGGATTTCTGTGTGGTGGAGACAGATGTTGGGGAGATGTTAGGCTAGCAGCAAACTGAGATTTTGGGATAGCTCAGAGACCACGTTTGGATCCAATCAATCCAAACCTCACAGTCAGTGATACTATAATGATATACTGGGTGTGAAGTAGGCTATGTACCTGCACCAATAACCACCTCCACAAAAGACTCATTCCCAGTGGCAGGGGCTGTAGTTGTAGCTGTGGCTGTAGTTGCCGGTGTCACAATCAGCCCGGAATCTAATAACGTAATCATATTCATCCCTTGGACATATTCTAAAACAGAAACAGAACAATTGTTGCATCAACGGCCAGAGTGTGTGTGTGTGTGTGTGTGTGTGTGTGAGATGTATATATGGTACCTCTGTCTGTAGCAGTGCAGGTCTTGATGGCATGCTTCAGGTGTGTCAGATATTCATACAGCTCATCAAATGCTTGTTCCACATCCACCTGTACCCAGAATGACTTTGCCCTCACTGAAATCAGAGCAAAAAAATCATGTCAGGAACAAATCATTTGGGTGATGATCTCCAACAACAACTGGTTTCATCTTTCAAACTGGATTAGATGTGAAACTAGAAACAATACAACGGTATAAGTGAAAATGCCTCACCAACTTCTGTTTTCTCTGACCCATCCATTTTCAATGTTGATGGATGGTCAGCTGATTATAAATTCCTCTGATACCTGCTAAGAAAATGTGCAATTGGCTAAGCGCATAGTCAATATTATGCCGGATATATAGCCTACCAAAGACCCACCTAGCTACATCTATATTGTTGGTATCCCAAGTCAATGGCCTAGCTAGTACTACTGGCTAACGTACACCCGTAAGGATGTCGTAAGTAACTTAACGTTAGCTAGATCTCTAGCTATCTTGGATATGCTGCATGCATTGATTTCAGGAAGTTGCTTGCAAAAAACATTATTATATAAGTGTCGACCCCAACTTACAGTTCGTTCAAAACATAAGCTACTGTACCTACTGCCTTATCTATTTATCCCTGATGGTATCGAGACATTTGACTTTATCTACTTCCATTGATGAAATTATAATACCCACAATGCAGTTCACTGTTTTGTTCCTCGAGAAGACCAATCTAACATATTACCGATCTGCAAATCCACAGTTGCGTAACAAAGGAATGGAATCAGATGAATTGACCAAATTTACATTCGCTTGAGTCATTTTTTCCCAATATTTAATAAGGTCTCCTTTTTGACACTGAATATTTTCATTTGACATTGTTAATTGGGTTTTCAATTCGCCATTCGCTTTTTATGAATTGACCCACTGCGCACCATTAAACAGTTAAATTTCGCTACGAATATGAAACATTCTTCGACTTTAATGTTCGTCATCTTGCAAGTTGAGGGACCTATGCACAGTTGGCGAGAGTTAATTGTCTGACGGTTACAATATGTAGTTTGGTAGTTATGTCAGACTCTGGTTATGTAGGCGGCTATTTTCTGGGTCGTATTCATTAGTGCAACGGAAACATTTTGCAACGTCATCGAGTTTCTTATTGGACAAGTTCAGGTAGTCGCGCCCCGTTTCGGTCGGTTTGCTGTCAACTGAATACGACCCTGTGTAGTTTTGTAACACAGCAATAATGAACTTACGCAAGTTCTATATCGAAATGATTATGAGTATTCTGGTGTTCATACAAGCTGCAGGAACTACACCTTCAAGATAGTGAGGATCATTCTACAATTTGACATTTATACGGTAGGACAGGATCTGTTTATTATACCACTCCAAACAATGTCAAGGAATTCTGTCCTGTCTATGTCCACGTTTGAACTCTTTATTACAGCTCGCAGACCTATATAGCCTCCTGGAGCACCAGTAGCCACAGGTAATCCCATCTGAACATAGACTACTATTATTATCTAAATATGCAGGTATTTGTGTTTGATTTCTGAAGTAACACCACCAGTCCAGCAGAGATGACCCAGGTGCGAAGGTCGGTGGGAGAGGCGCTGTGGGGAATGTGTGCGGCCGACGCCATGTCCATGCCCGTGCACTGGTACTACAACATCGATGACATCAAGAGAGATTTTGGAGGATGGATCACCGGCTTCAACGCACCCAAGAACAAACACCCGTCCAGCATCCTCACCCTCTCCAACTCAGGTATGTTAACATCACCCTTTATTGAATTTGAAAATTAGGTGAGATGGTTATTGGTCATGAATTATGACATGGCATTCATTCTTCACCTGATGTTCCTCAAACTGTCAATAGGTACAGTCAAACATTTTGAGTTAGTCTTTAATCTTAATCTGTCTCTCCGGTCCATAGCAGGGAGTGGTCGCACTGCATGGTCCTCTGGCGATAACAGACCCCATGTTGTGGGGAACGTAATCCTCCATAACAAGCTCAAGTTCTGGAAGGCATCAGGCGGTTCGGTCCACTATCACCAAGGTACTCACTTAATCTCACGAATGAATGTAACGAAATGAAAAAAGGAACAGTCTCTAACCTTGGTCTGTATATATCTTTAAAAGCGGTTCTGTAAGGAAAATAATTATTGACAATACACATCATCAATTAATCGTTTAAATATACCTCTATCTCTGTGCAGGTCTGCAGGCAGGTGAGAGCACCCTGAATGCCATCTGCTCCCTGAGGGTGGCACAGGCCCTGACAGGGGGGATGTTTGCCAGCGTGGCAGAGTCAGCAGCGAGGGGGGCGGTGCTAGCTGATTACATACACTTCATGACCACGCCAGGAACACATGGAGACACCTACGCAGAGTCCTTCCACAGAGCATTCTTCTCCGACTGGCAGGACCCCAGACCCACTTCTTCCAGCAAGGTAATACACACACACACACATGCATGCATACATACGATGTTACACACCTAACCAGACAGTGTCTCACAGTGTGTCTTGTCTATGTGTTCCAGGTGTTGTTTATGTCTTGTCTATGTGTTCCAGGTGTCATGTAATGTCTTGTCTATGTGTTCCAGGTGTCATGTCTTGTCTATGTGTTCCAGGTGTTATGTCATGTCTTGTCTATGTCTTGTCTATGTGTTCCAGGTGTTGTTTATGTCTTGTCTATGTGTTCCAGGTGTTGTTTATGTCTTGTCTATGTGTTCCAGGTGTTGTTTATGTCTTGTCTATCGTTCCAGGTGTCATGTCTTGTCTTTGTTCCAGGTGTTATGTCATGTCTTGTCTATGTCTTGTCTATGTGTTCCAGGTGTGGTCATGTCTTGTCTATGTGTTCCAGGTGTTGTCATGTCTTGTCTATGTGTTCCAGGTTTTGTCATGTCTTGTCTATGTGTTCCAGGTTTTGTCATGTCTTGTCTATGTGTTCCAGGTTTTGTCATGTCTTGTCTATGTGTTCCAGGTTTTGTCATGTCTTGTCTATGTGTTCCAGGTGTTGTCATGTCTTGTCTATGTGTTCCAGGTGTTGTTATGTCTTGTCTATGTGTTCCAGGTGTTGGAGTTTGCAGAGCAGCGCTACCAGCAGAAGATGAACGTGTCAGTCCCCGACAGCCAGCTAGACGCTATTGGCTGCATCCCCATGGCTATCCCCTTTGTCCTTCTTTCAGCCACAGCCAATGAAGACCAAGCTGCAAGTGTTGCACCCACCTCTTTTTGGAACATTTGAATAGGAGAATCTCAATTGCATTTCCTTCATCCCTTGTGTCTTCTCTCCTCGCCTCGCCTCATCTCAAAACCCATTGGATGAGAAGGTCAGAGGGGAAGGACCTTTGACCTTCTCATCCAATGGGTTTTGAGAAGGAGGCGAGAAGAGAACACAAGAAATTGATTTTCCCAATGAAACTCACCCACTCTCTCTCCCCCTCTCTTTTACTGTCCTTTCTCTCCCAGGTGTCTGCAGCGGTAGAGTTTGTCCGGCTCACCCACCCCCACCCCAAGGTGGAGAAGTATGTGACGCTGTACGCCCGAGCCCTCCATGCCACTCTGAACGGGGCGTGTCTGAAGCAGCAAGCTGAGGCCGCCCTCAAGTCACCTGAGCTGGACGCATGGGACACCTGCAAGCCCTACATACAGAAAGCAGCCAGGTTTCCAGCCTCTTCTGCGGAGAGGCTCAAGGTTCACCAGAATGCTGTGGAAATGCTTGGCATGGCCTGCTACACCCGAGGTGTCTTTCTCTACTCATTGTCTACCTATCCACAGCAGTGTGATTTAGTTATGTTTAAGTATGTGATGCAAGTGTCCACTGAGTCTAATAGAAGTGTGTTTGTGTGTCCTTTATAGGTGCCCTCAGTAGTATGTTCTACCTAGCACACGAGTTTCACAGCGACCCTCATGGAGGGATCCTGGCAAACACCAACTGTGGCGGTAAGTTTGTTTGTTTGCATGTGGTGCCAATTAATCTGTTTTAAGGTGTGTGTGTTTTGGGAACTGTCAGTCTAAAGTGTGTATGTGTGTGTTGTCGTTCAGGAGAGAACTGCAACAGGGGTTCTGCGTTGGGGGCTCTGCTGGGGGCGAGGGCAGGGTACACGGGTGGATCTGTACCCCAGGAGTGGAAGGATGGACTGAGGAACTCACAGGAACCGATCCAGGAAATCCTAGAGAAGATGCTCTGAGACTGCCCCCTAATAGGACTGGAATCGCGCATCAGAGCACTGACACACACCTTACCTCCATTTGGTTGTTGTAACCCATAACATCTGTTTACATATCTGTTTGTTGATTTTCAGCCTTATATTGGCCGTGGTATTCACATGCTGGTCATTGAACGTACAAAAAGGTACCTTACAATGAAAAAGATTACTATGCTAAAATATTTATATTGTGTAAAAGTGCTTATTTTCCCAGTTTTGCTCTTAAGGCCTTCCAGGTTTGCCTTGGTTTACTCCCCAGCTGAAAGCTCAGCTATCTCTCTTGACCTTATGTCAGGTAACTGTTCTTAGCTGTGTCTCCATGCAAGAAATTTCAGAGATCAGTTGGAGTTTACACACGAAAGGCGTCCGTATACATAGGTTCGGTTTGCTCCTATCAGAACTCGGCTAGGTGAAGTGAACGTCTGTGTTCGCATACTCCCTTAAAATACCTTCGCTTGAAAAGAGTGGCAATATTACAGTTGGTACCTCTTGAGACGCCATACCCAGTACACTTCCTCAAATTAGTCCAAATTAATCTAAGAGAAATCTGTAATTAATTGCGTTTTTGCTTAGTCGCGCTATTTTACATTAAGGTTTTTGGTGCAGTATTTCTCAAGTGAAAACATCTGCATGAAAACTAGTCGTCTCTCGTTGAATGACAACAAACACTTCATTGAATAATCCCTATTGTTGACCAATCACCGACGAAGGGGCGTAGACTTTGGCTACCGAACTTCGACCAGCCTCAAGAAAAAAGTGTGCGTTGAACAGCGGGGGAAAAAACCCTGCCGAACTCTGCCGAACATCAAAACAAACAAAAACGTCACAGAATTTCGTCATAATATATGCGCGACCTGTTTCTACTGGTTATACGGTAAGCTTTAAACTCATACGGAGTTTAAAAATAAAAAGTTAACCTTTTAAAGTACATTTGATCATATACATTGATTGCAGACAGTAGCCTGCAACATTTCTACATTCCTTGTCTTCCAAGTTATGCAAAGGGAAACGTTGTGGTTTGATTATGTCAGTTGAATGGTAACATATATTATACGTATATCTTATTTTCATTTGGATAGAAACTAGTGAAGTTATTTGACAGGTAATCTGCCCTGCCAAATTGTGTTTTAAAGTTGAATGAGGGGATTTATGCTGGTCGATTATGCACACATTCAACAGTATACACTGTTACAATCTATAATGATGTACTGTAATTAAGGTGTGAAAACATTCATTATCTAACATCTACAGTACATGCTGCTTTTCACGTGGATCATGTTTAATTTGTATTTATTTTTTATCCTTCAGGCCCAATAAATGGTGTCTCATTACCAAATCTTACCACCTTGTCAACAACTGTTATTGTAGTGTCTTCATTATTACAGTGCCTTCAGAAAGTATTCACACCCCTTGACATTTTTCCACATTTTGTGTTACAGCCTGAATTTAAAATGAGATTTTTTTCAGTCACTGACCGACTCACAATACCCTATAATGTGAAAGTGGAATTATGTTTTTATAATATTTTACAAATTAATAAAAAATGAAAAGCTGAAATGTATTGAGTCAATAAAAGTATTCAAACCCTTTCTTATGGTAAGTTTAAAGTTCAAGAGAAAATGTGCTTAATAAGTCACATAAAAAGTTGCATGGACTCTGTGTGCAATAATAATGTTAAACATGATTTTTGAATGACTACCTCATCTCTGTACCCCACACATACAATTATCTGTAAGGTCCTTCAGTCAAGCAGTGAATTTCAATCACAGATTAAACCACAAAGACCAGGGAGGTTTTCCAATGCCTCGCAAAGAAGGGCACCTATTGGTAGATGGGTAAAAAAATTAAAATAAAACAGACATTGAATATCCCTTTGAGCATGGTGAAGTTATTAACTAACCTTTGGATGGTGTATCAATACAAAGATACAGGTGTCCTTCCTAACTCAGTTGCCAGAGAGGAAGGAAACCGCTCAGGTATTTCACCATGAGGTCAATGTTGACTCTAAAACAGTTACAAAGTTTAATGGCTGTGATTAGAGAAAACTGAGGATGGATCAACAACATTGTAATTACTCCACAATACATTTTAGTCATTTAGCAGACACTCTTATCCAGAGCGACTAACAGTTAGTGAGTGCATACATTTTTCATACTGGCCCCCTGTGGGAATCAAACCCACAACCCTGGCGTTGCAAGCACCATGCTCTACCAACTGAGCTATAGGAGGGACCAATACTAACCTAAATCACAGTGAAAAGAAGGAAGCCTCTACAGAATACAAATATTTCAAAACATGCATCCTGTTGGCAACAAGTAATACTGCAAAAAATGTGGGAAAGGAATTAACTTTTTGTCCTGGATACAAAGTGTTATGTTTGGGGCAAATCCAATACAGCACATTACTGTTCTACAGCTGCACCATCGAGAGCATGCTGACTGGTTGCATCACCACCTGGTATGGCAACTGCTCGGCCTCCGACCGCAAGGCACTACAGAGGGTAGTGCATACGGCCCAGTATATCAGTAGGGCCAAGCTTCCTGCCATCCAGGACCTCTATACCAGGCGGTGTCAGAGGAAGGCCCTAAAAATGGTCAAAGACTCCAGCCACCCTAGTCATAGACTGTTCTCTCTGCTACCGTACGGAAAGTGGTATCAGAGTGCCAAGTCAAGTTCCAAAAGGCTTCTTAACAGTTTCTATCCCCAAGCCATAAGACTGCTGAACAGCTAATCAAATGGCTACCTGGACTATTTGCATTGTTCGTAATTGTTAAGGACTGGGGAGTTTTTTTTGCATAAAAAAGAAATGGAATGGAGCTAAGCACAGGCAAAATCCTAGAGGAAAACCTGGTTCAGTCTGCTTTCCACCAGACACTGGGAGATTAATTCACCTTTCAGCAGGACAATAGCTTAAAACACAAGGACAAATCTACACTGGAGTTGCTTACCAAGAAGACAGTGAATGTTCTTGAGTGGCCAAGTTACAGATTTGAATAAAATCTTCTTGAAAATCTATGGCAAGACCTGAAAATGGTTGTCTAGCAATGATCAACAACCAATTTGACGGAACTTGAAGAAATGTAAAAAGAATAATGGACAATTGTTGCACAATCACAGTGTGGAAGCTCTTAGAGACTTACCCAGAAAGACTCACAGCTGTAATCGCTGCCAAAGGTGTTCTACAAAGTATTGACTCAGGAGTGTGAATACTTATGTAAATTAAATATTTCTGTATTTCATTTTAATAATATGCCATTTAGCAGACGCTTTTATCCAAAGCGACTTACAGTCATGCGTGCATACATTTATTTATTTTATTTTTTTGTGTATGGGTGGTCCCGGGGATCGAACCCACTACCTTGGCGTTACAAGCGCCGTGCTCTACCAGCTGAGCTACAGAGGACCAATACATACCATTTTCAAATCATTTGCAAAAATGTCAATAACATGTTTTCACTTTGTCATTATGGGGTATTGTGTGTAGTCGGGGACATTTTATCAATTTTGAAATCAGGCTGTAACACAACGAACTGTGGAATAAGTCAAGGGGTACAAATACTTTCTGAAGGCACTGTAACTCCCTCAGTGACAGTTCTGTCTTCCCTCCCTCAATGTAAAGTGTTAGTTCTATAGTGGCAATAGACTACATTAATATTGATGTTGACAGTTATTTTAAGAAGCTGCATTGAGGATATGTGGCCTCTCAGAGCCATTATAGCTTTCTGCACTGTAAACTATACTGCCTTACCAAGCATGCTTTATCATGTGGACAAATAGCCTGCCTCCACTGTGTTGTTATACAACAGCACCTCCTGTTGGTGTGATATTAGTAATGTATCCTTGGCTCCAGTCCAGTCGCTGTATTTCACAATGTTAGTCTCTGAGCCAACTGCCCTGTGGGTTTACCCTGATACATGTTCTGTCAGGGAGGGGAGAGAGAAACTGACATGCTGTGTGTGTGTGTGTGTTTGTGGGGTATGTGTTTGTGAGGACTGAACTTGGGTCGAGCCCTGAGAGCTCAGTAATGGAGTCGTCTACGACCACGGAGGCTCTGAAAGTGAAGCTCAGCCACCTTATCCTGCTGTCCCTCTGTATCCCAGCCTGCACTGGGCTCCCTGGAGGTGAGTCTCAGATCTGAGTATGTCAATGACCTTGGTGGTGCTCAGTTCAGCCCTGTACCTTTCAAATAAGCTGCTGGCTATTCAATGCTCTGCTTGACTGTCTGTCTTTCTGTCAGTCTGACTGTACTTGCGTACAGAGACTATTTACAGCCTCGTCTGTGCAGTAATGGCAACTTTTCAACCACCCATGGTCTTCATTGGGCTTCTTCCTTTTCCTATTATTTGTACTCTGTTCCTGTGGAAGTTTGTTGGGTGTCTATCAATTTACAGTCTATGTAGTGTGAACAGTAATGTCCCGTCCTGGCAGCTCCAGTGTTCCTGAGCAGACAGGAGGCCAGTGGGGTGCTCCATCATCAGCGCTCGCGGCGTGCTAACAGCCTGCTGGAGGAGCTAAGACTGGGTGACCTGGAGAGAGAGTGTCTGGAGGAGCAATGTGGCTATGAGGAGGCACGGGAGATCTTCACCCTCCCCGAACACTTGGTGAGTGAAAACTGAATGATCAGATGGAATCTGAGGAAGCAGGTTCTCCATATTTGTCCCAGAACAGTAGAATCTTTTGAAATACCCCTCTCTCTCGTTTTATGCAGGAGGAGTTCTGGAAGAGCTACTCAGGTAGGCTAACGTCAGGGGACTCAATGCTACACTCAAGTTGAACTTACATTTGGCCAAATCTACATATATTTCTCATTTCTCATTATAATGGTTATAATAATAATCTAGTCTCTATCTGTAGGGGTGGATCACTGTGAATCTGGCCCCTGCTTGAATGGGGCTACCTGTGTAGGTCAGGTGAACACCTATATCTGTATATGTCTCCCTGGGTTTGAAGGACGGAACTGTGGCCAAGGTAGGTACAACACACCTGTATCTGTTTGTCAAATCACTGAAATTGGCTCTTGGATCTTCTTCAATAATGGTTTCAATTTCTCTTGTCTCTTGGTTCCTGTCTGTCTCTGTCTCTACTTCCACAGCCTTCAGGAATTCTTATGATGGCTGTCTGTATAGAAATGGGGGATGTGAGCACTTCTGTACAGAGTTTCCAGACCTTTCTCACTGTTGTCACTGTGCCCCTGGGTACAGACTGGGCAATGACAGCAGTAGCTGCATACCCAAAGGTCTGTATCACACTGGGCCAAACCCTAACAACTACAACTTCCAACAGCCATGTGCTTCTTGAGGCCATCTCCATACAAGCTTCATCTTCTCCTTTTGTAGTCCTTCTCTTGCCTGTATGTACCATTGCTGTCTTGAGGCTCACTCCATATCAAGCTCATCCTCTCTCTCTGCCTCTTTTCTCGTAGATCTATATGCTAGTATTCTCTTTATCCGCAACTCTAGCTCTCACCCTCCTCCTACTCTCCTCTCTCCTCTGTAGTCCTTCTCTGCCTGTGTTCCTCGTATCTCCACCTTAGCCTAACCTCTCTCTCTCATCTCTCTCTCATCTCTCCTCTCTCTCTCTCTCTCTTCGTCTCTCTCTCCTCTCTCTCTCTCTCTCTCTCTCTCTCTCTCGCTCTCTCTCCTCTTAGTTCCGTTCCCCTGCGGAAGAATTGTGAAAACGTTCAGGCCCGGGCCCCGAATTGTGAAAGGCACTGTGTGTCCTAAGGGAGAGTGCCCATGGCAGGTATAGCATTGCACTGTAGTTATAGACTGACCAACACGTGGCTAGATCCAGAACTATGTCTGTCTCACACTATCCTCTCCCTCTGTCACTGCAGGTTATGCTGCAGTACATGAATGAATATAAATGTGGGGGGATCCTCTTGGCTCCACAATGGATCCTTACTGCTGCCCACTGTGTGTGGCACACGACTGCCTCCCATTGGCAAGTCACAGTGGGTGAGTGGGCAAATAGTATTACAGTGTTCTCTTAAACCCTCCCAGTATCTCAGCTGCCACAAAACCCAATGCTATCTATCACCTCTGAGTGTCCACTGTCCACTGATCCTGACTTCCTCCCCCTTCAAGGTGAACACAACCGTGCGAAGAAGGAGGGCACGGAGCAGGTTCGGCGGGTGACAAGGATGCTGATCCACCCCCAATACAACCACACCTCCACGGACCGGGACCTGTCTCTGCTCTACCTCAAGAGGGAAGTAGTGCTAGGACCCTTTGCGGTGCCTGTGTGCCTGCCCGCCTTGGACGGCTCCTTCGGGCGCACGCTGGGGACCGTGCGCACCTCCGTGGTGAGTGGCTGGGGCCGCCTGGCTCAGTCGGGACCCCCGTCCACTCTGCTCCAGAGGCTGAAGGTTCCTCGGGTCCCCCTACAGGAGTGTCGCACCACAGGCCTCAATGTGACCAGGAACATGCTGTGTGCTGGGTTCAGGGGCGGGAAAAAGGATGCGTGCCAGGGGGACAGCGGAGGCCCGCTGGTCACCCGCTACAAGAACACCTGGTTTCTGACGGGCGTGGTGAGCTGGGGTAAAGGGTGCGCCCAAGAGGACGTCTACGGAATCTATACCCGTGTCGCTAACTTCCTGGACTGGATCAATCAGACCATGGCGACCGGCTGAGTTGGGGTGTCCATTTAAAAACACCCCTCCAAAAAACACTAACAGACCTCCTCAGAGGTTGATGCTGGATAATAGTCCAAGACATAATCCTGCACCAAACTAGAATCTGGATTAATATATAAACTATGAATATAATGATGACAGTTTCTTAGATAAACCAATGGTAAACTAAAATATCTATTTTATTTGATCCAAGTATTAATGTCTGTGTTTGATGAAAATTACAGTTGCTACAGAATAAATAAATAGTTATTTGAAAATAAAGTGTTTTCCTAACTGATAAGAAACATGACACAATTAAGCGGGCATGTAGCCATGAGATCAGGGATGAAAAAGTGAAAGAGTGGGAGGGGCTGTGAAAGGGGGAGGAATAACCTCCGTAGGGTCAGTGACAGACAGGGGAAGGTAAGCATGTTTTAGGGGAGGGTTAGGGCCCAAATCAGGATTTTGTCCAGACTTTGAACCTGTGGACTGAGAGGAACAGAGAGCGACAGTGTGGTTAGATATTCTGAGGGTAGTCATCATGTGGTTTCATGTTCTCTGTCTTACACTAAGTATTTGCTGCTGTCATCCCGCCTCAGGTAAGTTAACTTACCCCTACGTATGTGTGTGTGTGTGTATGTGTGTGTGTAGTGTGTGTAATAATGTGTTAATTTATGTACAATACATATCTACCTCTCTGTCGTCTTCCTGTTTGCTTGTGCATGTGCATGCAGTTTGTGCAAATGCGTGTCTGTGTCTGTGTGTGTGTCTGTCTATCTGTGTGTGTCTGTGTGTTTGTGCATATGTGTCTTTGTGTGTGTGTGTGTGTGTACAACTCCCCTCTCCTCCGGTCTTGCAGTGTTCTTGGGGCGGGATCAGGCCCATGGCCTCCTCATCCGGCCTAAGCGTGCCAACTCCGGCTGGTTCGAGGAACTCAAAAGGGGGGACCTGGAGCGAGAGTGCCTTGAGGAGAAGTGTTCCAAAGAGGAGGCGCGGGAAGTGTTTGAGCACAAACAGGCCACGGTCAGTGCCTGGTTGATCCACAATCTGATCATGAACAGACCATAGTCTGCATGATAGGCAAAAATATCAATAATGAGTATGAACATGATTCCTACCTGATATCCTCAGTGAATTGTCCCCATTCTCTCTCCTTAGGAGGAGTTCTGGAAAAACTACAATGGTGAGCTTCTGTACAGTGTGTCATTTCATTCTCACTACTGAAAGCTACAGTCACAAATACCCAGACACCACCACTATCTTTTAATCTTTTAACGTCTTTGTTGATCATGAGATCCCAAATGTACACAAATGGTTTCATACTTACAGTTCAAGACAGCTGCCAATCTGACCCCTGCCAGAACAATGGAAGCTGCTCTAGCATATCAGGATCTTCTTACACCTGCCTGTGCCTGCCAGGCTTCAGTGGACGGAACTGCGAGCTAGGTAAGAGTTCTTGATGGGAGAAGTTTCTGTGGAAACTTTAGTTTCTAAGGTTTCTTTTTCCCATTTACGTACATAAACCCATTCTTTATGTCAGCATTCAAGGCCATTCCTGACTCCTGCTTACATGAGAACGGGGGGTGTGAGCACTTCTGCGAGGAAGAGGGGGGCCGACGCAACTGTTCATGTGCGGACGGCTACTTCCTGGGAACTGATGGACAGTGTTGCCTGACACAAGGTTAGCAGTCACAGCCACAGGCCATGTGACAATGTCAACTTTGTATGACCAATTGTATTGTCATCATGTATGATGTTATCTGTGGATGCGTCCCAAATGGCACCCTATGTCCTATACACTGAGTGTACAAAACATTAGGAACACTTTTTTGCCTTCAGAACAGCCTCAATTAGTTGGGGCATGGACTCTACAAGGTGTCGAAAGCGTTCGACAGGGATGCTGGCCCATGTTGACTCCAATGCTTCCCACAGTTGTGTCAAGTTGATTCTTTGTCCTTTGGGTAGTGGACCGTTCTTGATACACACGGGAAACTGTTGAGCGTGAAAAACCCAGCAGCGCTGTAGTTCTTGAGACACTCAAACCGGTGCGCCTGGCACCTACTACCATACCCTGTTCAAAAGGCACTTAAATATTTTCTCTTGCCCATTCACCCTCTGAATGGCACACATACACAACCTATGTCTCAACTGGCTCAAGGCTTATAAATCCTTCTTTAACCGGTCTCCTTCCTTTCAGCTACACGGATTGAAGTAGATTTAACAAGTGACATCAATAAGGGATCATAACTTTCACCTGGATTCACCTGGTCAGTCTATGTCATGGAAAGAGCAATTGTTCCTAATGTTTTGTACACTCAATGCATAGTGTAGTACAGGGTTCTTCAATTCCGGTCCTGGAGGGCCGAAACACCTCTGTTTTTCATCCTCTCCTTATAATCAGGGGCTAATTCAGACCTGGGACACCAGGTGAGTGCAATTAACTACCAGGTAGAAATAAAAAACAGAAGTGTTTCGGCCCTCCAGGACCGGAATTGAAGAACCCTGGTGTAGTACTTTAAAAAAAAGTAGTGCACTATATAGGGAGATAGGGTGCTATTTGGTATGTACCCTGTGGTTGTAGAATATGCAGTGCATTCGGAAAGTACTCAGACCCCTTGACTTTTTCCACATTTTGTTACGTTACAGCCTTTTCCATCAATCTACACACAATACCCCATAATGACAAACCAAAAACAGGTTTTTAGAAATGTTTGCTAGTTTATTTTTAAAAAACGGACATCACATTTACAAGTATTCAGATCCTTTACTCAGTAATTTGTTGAAGCACCCTTGGCAGCTATTACAGCCTCGAGTCTTCAGGGGTATGACGCTACAAGCTTGGCACACCTGTATTTTGGGGGTTTCTACCATTCTTTTCTGCCGATCACATCAAGCTCTGTCAGGTTGGATGGGGAGCGTTGGTTGCTGTACAGCTATTTTCAGGTCTCTCCAGAGATGTTCGATCGGATTCAAGTCCAGGCTCTGGCTGGGCCACTCAAGAACATTCAGAGACTTGTCCCGAAGCCACTCCTGCATTGTCTTGGCTGTGTGCTTAGGGTCATTGTCCGGTTAGAAGGTGAACCTTCGACCCAGTCTGATATCCTGAGCGCTCTGGAGCAGGTTTTCATCAAGGATCTCTCTCTGTACTTTGCTCCGTTCATCTTTGCTTCTCCCATCTCCACAGAGGAACTATTGAGCTCTGTCAGAGTGAACATCGGGTTCTTGTTCACCTCCCTGACCAAGGCCATTCCCCCCCGATTGCTCAGTTTGGCCGGGTGGCCAGCTCTAGGAAGAGTCTTGGTGATTCCAAACTTCTTCCATTTAAGAATGATGGAGGCCACTGTGTTCTTGGGGACCTTCAATGCTGCAGACATTTTTTCATCCCTTCCCAAGATCTGTGCCTCTACACAATCCTGTCTCGGAGCTGTACGGACAATTCCTTCGACCTTATGGCTTGGTTTTTGCTCTGACATGCACTGTCAACTGTGGGACCTTATATAGACAGGTGTGTGCCTTTCCAAATCATGTCCAATCAATTGAAGTTACCACAGGTGGACTCCAATCAAGTTGTAGAAACATCTCAAGGATGATCAATGGAAACAGGATGCACCTGAGCTCAATTTCGAGCCTCATAGCAAAGGATTTGAATACTTACGTAAATAAGGTATTTCAGTTTTTTATTTGTAATACATTTGCAAAAACTTCTAAAAAACAGGTTTTGCTTTGTCATTATGGGGTATTGTGTGTAGATTGCTGTGTTTTTTTAATTTATTTAATCTATTTTAGAATAAGGCTGTAACGTAACAAAATGTTGAAAAAGTCAAAGGGTCTGAATACTTTTCAAAGGCACTGTATGACCACTGGTCTCTCGTTGCTCCAGAAACAATGGCCTGTGGGAAGGTTCCTGTCCTGAAGGGCAGCGCCTCTGAGAAGGGAGACGGCCCGTTGGACCTCCGTTCACGTATCGTGGGGGGAACAGAGTGCCCTAAGGGTCACTGCCCCTGGCAGGTACTGAATGAACCAGTGACCTGAGCTCAGAGACAAAGCGGCGGACATGTTTATGTATCTGATGTAGAGGTGAAGTCCCTTTGTCCACGGTGTGTGTTTCTACAGGTGTTGTTAGTGAGAAATGGGAAGGGCTTCTGTGGAGGAGTCATCTACAAACCCACCTGGATCCTCACTGCCTCTCACTGCTTGGAGAATATCAAGGCCCAGCACCTGAAGGTGGTGGCAGGTATGGACTGTATTTCTTTATAAAGAGTAAACACACCTGTTGTGTGTTGAAGTCTGAGTTGTTTCAAAGATCTTGACAACCTTTTATGCATGTACCCAGGTGAACACGACACAGAAATAGAGGAGGGTACAGAACAGACCATAGATGTAGCAGAGATCATCATGCACAAGAGCTACGTGTCAGACACGGCGGACAGCGACATCGCCCTGCTACGTCTGAAGACGGCCATCACCATCACGCCTTTCGCCGTGCCCATCTGCCTGCCCACCCGCTCGATGGCGGAGCGTGAGCTCTGGGCCATCAACCTCCACACAGTGAGTGGGTGGGGCCGGCGCAGCGAGAACGGCCCTACGTCGCGTGTCCTCCGGCGGCTGGAGGTGCCACGTATACGTACCCAGGACTGCGTTGAGATGAGCGGTGTCACGCTAACGGCTAACATGTTCTGTGCCGGCTACATCGAGGGCAGGCAGGACTCCTGTAAGGGGGACAGCGGCGGACCACTGGTCACCCGCTACAGAGACACCACATTCCTGTTGGGTATCGTCAGCTGGGGAAAGGGGTGCGCCCGGCCGGGGAACTATGGGATTTACACCCGCGTGTCCAACTACCTGGACTGGATCCACAGCTACACGGCAGAGCAGCCGACAGCGCAGCCGACAACGCAGACGCAGAACACCACGGCCAATCCAAATGCAGTCTTATAAGTGTCACAGAACAGGAGCAGAGCTGAGCCCAGTACCTTATTGGGTTAAACTTGTAGTATATCTCTGAAACCATGTTTGGCTTTCTGATTATAGTATATATATTTATTATGTTTCTCGTGCTTTGACTACACTTTCTAAAGTTTTTCTGTATGTTTGTTGATTTTATGATTTGATTTCCCTCTGATAAAAAAAAAGAATAACTCTTGATTGATGCCAAAGTAAACTGACCCTTCTGCTGTGTCATGATAACCATTAAGGCAAACTGACTCTTACGTAAGTTGGTGTTCAATTACAATGCATTTGCCATCTGTCGTGAACATTTTTACACAGGGACACTCAAAGTCAATCTTAAATGTAGCATTGTTTATTGCCAGCGTGCTGGAGAGTTTCCAACAAACTTAATGCACCATAGTGAACGTCTGTCAGAAGCTCTAATGGGGCAGTCCCGTTAGTTCTCTTATATACTGCAGACGAGTCATATTTGCATGATTTAGCTTATTCATAATTAATTCAGCCTTAACATTTGCTTCATTCATGTGACCGACCAATACTGGGTCATGCATGTGACAGACCAATACCTCACGAGGCTTCTTCTCTAAGCTGAGACCTTGAACCTTGAGCTATCAAAACAAGGTTCTGGGCGTACTGCCAAATTGCAGATACTGATAGTGAGGGTTCGTTCAATCAGTCACGGTTATTAGAAAAGCACAAACATAGAACACAGAAATGTATAAAATAGAAAAGCACCAACATAAAATGTTCCATCACACATCTTAAAACAAAGCTGCTTGCATTCTGCTCAGACCCGGCAGGCTATTTTTGTGTGTTATAAGAAAGGGATAGTCCATTGGCTAGCAGGCCAAAATGTCCATATATTTGTCCGCTTTGGGGTGGCAAAATTAAATGATGATTTTCATTAAGGTCCATATCTTTGGGTTACATTTTGGTATGATAGCCACATATCGGAGGTAGCTAAATGTGGCTATCACTGCATTATATGTTATGACCCCTATGTGGTTAGTTGGGCCAACAGGATTGAGGGTATGAAATGTAATTTTGTATTATCAGGGAACAATCTCCTCAAACTAAGGCAATTTGATAAGTTATTAACTTCATGATACAACACATTAAGGGTTGAAACAATAAGAATGGTAATGACGTTTTTTGGGGGGCCCACCTTGGGGGTCAAAGGTCCTACATGTATGCATTTTGGGGTATATCAAGCCAGAATGGACAGTACTGGGATGTGATCTGTTATCACATGGTACCATAGATGATACCCTAGATTATAACTAAATTCACACAGAACAAGGAGACCAATTGGGGCAGTTGTTTAGCTATATAGAGTCATCATAGATTTGGTCTATAATCAGTCCCAGCAACCTATTTTCAAAATGGCAGCCATCAATTTCAATGGGGAGGAACTGCATTGATTTTGCATGGACATAACTGAATAAATAATTGCAATAATGTCTTAAAATGTGTGTTACAATGAGGACACCTCAAAATGATGGCCCAAGTATGTCAGTTATATGTATTTAGGTAAATATGACCAGAATAGTGGTAAAAATATGATAAAAAAGCTGTCGGAACGGCTGAGTGTTGTAGGCGTTTCAAATATATTACGTTAAAACACTTAGAAAATGTTGATATGAAATGCAATACGATTATGTAAATTCTGTTAAAATGAAGAAATGTGATGTGAAACCTTCCCTGTATATTGAACCCTAAAGGATATCCCATACAAATGTATTACGTCCAGCAAAGAGGTACTGGCAACCCTTTTTGGCAAAATGCCTTCATAATGAGTGTGTAGCACATAGGGATGTGTGAAACATAGTCCTCAGCCTGAAGTGTCCTCACAAGAGCCATCAAATAGCTAGCTTTTCAGGTGGGGCTGACTGGTAAGACGCTTTAGGAGGGCGGTCGAGTGTGCTAGGCAGAGGTCCAAAGTTCACACCAGGTGTGGGCTGAATCGGGAGGATGTGGTACTCACTAAGCAAGCAGCGTGACGTCCTTTACAAGTGCACCACCGAACTTTACATAAAGCTTGTAAAATTCTAAACAATGATGCCTAGCTATTAGTGATTTAGCATAGTGTACACATTTACCCAAATGGCTGCCAATCAGCTCCAATTGGTTTTAATTGGATTGGTCTGTCATTGACAGGTGTAATATGCCTAATCATAATAAAAAATATATTATAGTTATGCTGATAACACAACCAAATTAGGCAGGGTTGCAAAATGAATAATCTTTGTAAAATATTAGCAAAATTGTTCCAAAAATGTGCAAAAAACACTATTCATATAATTGGTTCTGGTTATCATTTGCATCCCTAATTTCTGTATTTTATTTTCAAACAATTAAAAATGGATTTATACAATTCCTAAAGGGTTCTTTCACTGGTTTGTAGTGATTATAATGATTTACAATATTATGCCATACTGTTAAATGTCAAATCTAAGTCTTGAATCCTGACATTCCAACATAACATTCTAACAAACTGCCTGATGATGAGGCTGGTTAAGTATTAAAGCCTTTATAGATGGTGTCTAGTTACACTATTTATGGTGAAAAATGATAATGTAGTATAAGGCCATCTGAAATATGTATTGGTTAATGGCTACTGAGGGTTGTTGAGGGCATCAGCAAACCAATTGCTTAAAGGCTGGATTTTTTCTAATCACCAATTGCATCATTTCTATTACATTTTTCAACTAGCAACTGAACTAATGGCTACAAAATGATTAGGTAACATATTTCATGAAATAACTTGTAAGGTTAGAGAGCATAATTTCAAAATCATGATGGTCAGTGACAGAAGAGATTATAATCACCGATGTTAATTTTTTGAGATAATTTGTGTTTACATAAATCTTCATGTTAACTTGCTGGAACAACTCAACAAATGGCAGATCACACCTTTAATTTTAGCATGCTGAGTATTGCTATACAACAGACTATTACAGGTGGCAACAATAAAACCAATATGCTACCAGATTTAGATCTCTTGGACATAGATCTCTTGGACTCCCAGTTTGACCAATTTCCCTAAAACAAATATGTAGATCTGCTATTTGTAACATTGTTGTTTCAATGATGAGCCAGTCTAGGTAAATTATTAGATCAAATGGCAAACATTAACCAAATCCCGTGGTTTTTAAGATGAGATCCACTCAATAGAATGTTCCATTATTGTTTCATATAGTCATTTTCAATGACCATGTGAACATTCCAACTTGTCTCAACATTCCTTTATCAGCCTGCGAACATTCTATTGCTTAAACTCCCATACAACAAGATATCTAAAGGTGTGGAAAACATAGAAAGCTACTTTTTGGGAGAGAGGCTATCATATATCAATTTGATCAGGGGCTTGTGGGGAACAATTTAATACTATCAAACCTTTGCCACCCCAAAGTGGATTTTTTTTTCCTGCTGGCCCATGGACTAGGACAGGCATTGAAGCAAGCAAGCAATTCTATAAAGTTGGTTGAATCCTTTGTAGCCTAGCTACTTTCTCCTGTTGTGCATCAGTTGGTCTATTTACACTGGAGGTACTTTTGGACCCTCCAAACAAGCGATAGGCCATAGCTACATCATTCAATGATGCATATCATGAAATAACATACACTGTTTGTTCAGTTCTAATGAATGAGACTGAGACGTTCAGAGTTCCACTTAAAATGTGAACGATTATGATATTGCAAAGTATAGTGAAATGCATTATAACAGGTAAATATAGGGTTCAAACAGATAAACTGCATGGCCAAAAGTATTTGGACAGCTGCTCGTCGAACATCTCATTCAAAAACTATTGCCACAAAGTTGGAAGCACAGAATTGTCTAGAATGTCAATGTATGTTGTAGCGTTAAGATTTCCCTTCACTGGAACTAAGGGGCCTATTCCGAACCATGAAAAACAGCCCCATACCATTATTCCTCCTCCACCAAACTTTACAGTTGGCACCTAACTTTACAGGTGGCACTATGCATTGGGGCAGGTAGCGTTCTCCTGGCATCTGCCAAACCCAGATTCGTCCATCGGACTGCCAGATGGTGAAGCGTGATTCATCACTCCAGAGAACGCATTTCCACTGCTCCAGAGTTCAATGGCGGCAAGCTTTACATCACTCCAGCCGACGGTTGGCATTGTGCATGGTGATCTTAGGCTTTTGTGCGTCTGCTCGCCCATTTCATGAAGCTCCCGACTAACAGTTATTGTGCTGATGTTGCTTCCAGAGTCCGTTTGGAACTCGGTAGCGAGTGTTGCAGCCGAGGACAGAAAATGTTTAAGCGCTATGCGCTTCAGCACTCGGTGGTTATGTTCTGTGAGCTTGTGTGGCCTACCACCTCCCGGCTGAGCCGTTTTTGCTCCTAGAAGTTTCCACTACACGATAACAGCACTTACAGTTGACCAGGTCAGCTCTAGCAGAGCAGAAATTTGAAGAACTGACTTGTTGGAAAGGTGGCATCCTATGATGGTGCCACCTTATAAATCACTGAGCTCTTCAGAATGGGCCATTCTACTGCCAATGTTTTTGTCTATGGAGATTGCATGGCTGTGTGCTCGATTTTATACACCTGCAATCAATTGCCTCTTATGGAGACAGTTGAGAAGGATGATTAAACAGAGTTTACAGCATTACTTTATACAATGTAACATAAAGGAAGGGGTCCTTCTTCTAGTCCCTTGATTGGTTCCCGAGGCGTAGGAGGCGGGTCTGCTCTGTCCAGAGCAGATGCCCCATTGGTGCACGGCAGAGTCCTCTGCCCTTGGCACCCGACCAGTAGACAGGGGAGTTGAGAATGAGTGTGCCTGCAAATGAAATGTTTGTGTGTGTCCAGGGAACTCGTGAGAAGCAACTGGTGGGGGCCTTGGGCCTGAGGTGTGGGTGTTGTCCAGTTATCGTACTCCTGTAAGATTAGGCCATCTGGTGCTCTGTTCTTTGTTCGCTACTAAAATGTTATGCACAGACAACTAACACACTGTTAGTATCAGACACATGACACAGAACATTTATTGAAAACAAGCTCCTAACACAATTTGTCTTGCACAACCTCTTGCACAACATATTACTCAGATCTTGAAGGTGCGTCCACATAATTTTGGCCATGTAGTGTAATACATAGGCCTAATCCTCTGATTCAGCTCCGGTCACCATCACCCAGCTGTGGCAACTGTTTCTAGAGCAGTGGGAGTGAGCTGTTGGAGTGAGTGAGTCATATGAGCAGGCAACGTTTAAAAGCTGTCAATGTACCTCAAATCTCTTCAGTTTTGGGTGATTCAGGTCAGACACGATGCTGCTGAAAACATTTTGCGGACTTTGGTCCATTTCAACTGTCATTTCTGCCGCTGGTAAGTTTGTTTCACAAACATATCTTTTGAATCTAGCATTACAGTTAGTTAATTTAGAAAGTCTTTTATTTTAAAGATGAAGAGATGCCAAATTTCAGTTTTCTTTCTTTTATGGCTTGTCAATTTAATGCTGAAGTCTTCTTGGAGAGGGATGATGCGCACGTGGTGCTTGACAGATCCAGGCGCGCCAACAGCGGCTACTTCGAGGAGATGAAACAGGGCAACCTCGAGCGTGAGTGTGTCGAGGAAATTTGTGACTATGAAGAGGCTCGGGAAGTTTTCGAGGACGACGGCCGAACGGTGCAATTTTGTAGTAATTTCAGTTGGGAAAATATTTGCAATTACTCTGATTGAAGGACTATTTTAATTACACTTAATGAAATCTTTAGCAATACATAGGAACATGTGAGAATTCCAGAGATAACTCTTAAAACTGACAATGTATGGTTTGTTTCCATAGAAAAGTTTTTGGTTGACATACACTGGTAAGTCGGATTTTTGCATGTGGACTGTACACAAATAGTTCCAACCAGCCTACAAGATATGATAGAGTATTGCTTTCAAATGGGCTTTCAGTCATTTTCATAAAATGCTAATGATATTGTTGTTTAAAATCCAATATGGTGCTACCATGTCTGTTATCACATTCCTAATTTATTTGCACAAGATATGTCCAGCATGTCAAATAGCAAATGTCATAACCTTTACCCTATCGATCGCTCTAAGGTCGTGACCCCTGCCTGGTCAACCCATGCAAAAACAACGGAACTTGTGTTAACATGGACAACTCTTACTCATGTCAGTGTCCTGAAGGCTATGAAGGAAAATACTGTCAGACAGGTAGGAAGAGAATTCCTAGCTGCCATTTTTATACCAATAGGTTACGCCAGTGTTTTTTAATCTAGGTCCTGGGGACCCAAAGGGGTGCACATTTCGTTTTTTGCCCTAGCACTGCACACCTGATTCCACTAATCAAATGTTAGATGATGAGTTGATTAGTGGAATCAGGTGTGCAGTGCTAGGGCGAAGACCAAAATGTGTACCCCTTTGGGTTCCCAGGACCAGGATAAAAAAACACTGGTTTTCACAATAGTTTTATACCAATAGATGATTGTAATTACACAGCAATAAGAGCACTGTAATGTGAAGTGTTGCCCACATTTGCTAGTGAGCTGATATTATACGTTGACCCCATTCTGCTTATCCTACTTGCCTTTCCCCTATCTCCCAACATAGTATTTGAGGCCACCCTGAAATGCCTCTACCTTAACGGGGAGTGCGAGCACTTCTGTGACGATTCTGGGCCAAGACGCAAGTGTTCCTGTGCTCCTGGTTACGCCCTGGGAGAGAATGGAACAAATTGTGTCGCCCAAGGTACTAACTGTAACTGACCGTAGATGAGCCCAGATGTTTTGTTAAAGACTGGAAATCCCTGTTTCTTACAAACAGACTGTAATATTTACAATACCAAAAGGAGCCAACATGTGTATGATGTTAATGTATGAATAGACTTAGAAACAGCAGCTCACATGTCTGTCTGTCCATTATCAGTTCAGTATCCGTGTGGTAAAATCCCAAGCTCGGACGCTCAGATGGGCCAGGCACAAGCCAGGATAGTCGGTGGGAACCACTGTCCGAAAGGAGCCTGTCCATGGCAGGTAACGCATCAACACCTGGCTGTGGAGCACAACGGCTCCATCCACCTCATTCACATTTGATTAGCCAATACTACCCTTCTAGTCATTTAGCAGACACTCTTATCCAGAGTGACTTAGAGTAGTGAGTGCATTGCTTGTGCTTGTCCCCCATGGAAATCGATCCCACAACCCTGGCGCCTTGCTCTACCAACTGAGCCACACAGGGCATTATGATACAGTAACTTAACTACAGTCATTCCCATACAACCACTGTCCTTGAATGCAAGTCAAAGGGTGTAATATTAACTTGGTTAGTATCTATTACCACCTCATCCATAAGGCATTATATAATTCCACAGTATTATTTTGGTTTATGTGCAATGAGATGTGATGGATAAGAGTGGCCAATTTGTCTTTGTGATGGGACTGGTGGTTGCAGGTCCTGTTGAAGCATAAAGGCTCTAGTCTGTGTGGTGGGGTCATAGTTCATCCTGACTGGGTCATCACTGCTGCCCACTGTGTCCTGGATAGAGACAACAAGGACCTAATGGTGGTCGCAGGTAGGTTACGGTGTGGGTGTGGGTGTGGGTGTGTGCCTTTCATAGAGTTTCTAGAAACATATAGTGAGGACATTGTGCATTGTTTGTGTCCCTATGTCACATAAGAAAACATTGCCCTAATGAACAACACTGTTTCCAGGGGAACACAACATTGAGTTAGACGAGGGCACCGAGCAGAGGATCCCCGTTGCCAGAGCCATACCCTACAACCTGTACGACCCGGCAACAGGTGACAGTGACATCGCCCTGCTGCGTCTGAGCGAGCCTGTAACTCTGGGCCCTAACGCTGTACCCGTCTGCCTGCCTCAGCAACACTTCGCCAAGAGTGAGCTTGCGGCCGTCCGCTTCCACACCCTCAGCGGCTGGGGGAGGCACACAAACGGGGGCAACGATCCCCAACCCGGCACCAAGCCAGCCCCCTCCTCGCCCTTCCTCCGCAGGCTAGCCACACCCATCCTGCCCAACTCCGAGTGCACCCTCAAGAGCGGCTTCAACTTCACCCAGAACATGCTGTGTGCCGGCTACTTGGTGGGGAACCAGGAGGCCTGTAGGGGGTACGATGGGAGCCCCCTGGTCACTAACTATGGGGCCACCCACTTCCTGATGGGCGTGGTGGCCTGGGGGAAGGGCTGCCCCAAACAGGGTTACTATGGCGTCTACACTAACGTAGCCAACTACCTGGACTGGGCTGAGGAGGTGATGAATGCTCCTCCAGTCAGTGCCCCGGTGATGCCATTCCTGCTAGAGATGGCATTAGATGAGGTTCAGATTCAGCAGGCTACGGAGAAGTTAGTGCCACCACCTCCCATTGAATATGAGTAGCGAATATGGCTAACTCCCATTAGATTTGTCACCAGTCACCACACAACACCAAACGTCACTACAGTGATTCTAATGCTAGGTGTTGTCACATCACATCAATAAAGATTTTCATATTAGATGGAAGCTACAGTATATCATGCTACTGGTGTAGCATATCGTCCTGTTTCATCGCTTTGTAAACAGACATCTTTTCACTCTGCTATTCTTTTCATTTGACTCTTAATGTAAAGTGTAAGTTTCATGACTCAAGTGGTGATTCAGATGACCTGATGCCATACAGAATGTTTGACCTGATGCCATACAGAATGTTTGACCTGATGCCATACAGAATGTTTGACCTGATGCCATACAGAATGTTTGACCTGATGCCATACAGAATGTTTGACCTGATGCCATACGGTATGTTTGACCTGATGCCATACAGAATGTTTGACCTGATACCATACAGAATGTTTGACCTGATGCCATACAGAATGTTTGACCTGATGCCATATAGTATGTTTGACCTGATGCCATACAGTATGTTTGACCTGATGCCATACAGTATGTTTGACCTGATGCCATACAGTATATTTGACCTGATGCCATACAGTATGTTTGACCTGATGCCATACAGAATGTTTGACCTGATGCCATACAGAATGTTTGACATGATGCCATACAGTATGTTTGACCTGATGCCATACAGAATGTTTGACCTGATGCCATACAGTATGTTTGACCTGATGCCATACAGAATGTTTGCTTCCCAAGACGTACATTTACTTCCAAAGATTCCTCTCTGATATCTGAAGAATAAATATTACTTGCTGACAAACTAAATAATTGGCTCATTTGTGTTGCTTGTGTGTGTGAATGAATGAAAAGTCCAAATGTATCCATAGCCACACTTCAGCAATAGCTTATCTACATGGTTGTTTTTTCTCTGAAATGCATATTATCTGAATCAAACGCATTTCTTTAGATTTGCCATTTAAGGCTCTCACCACAACACAGCAGTGTTGACCATTGGAATAGATGTCACAGATCCTTTAGTGTCAATATTAGCTCAGTGATTTGGACCTCAGAACACTGATCACATGATCACTGGGGACTTTCTGCCCCTTCCTGAGAGCTGTTCTGATTGGCTCAAATAAGGGCTGTTTGTCATGCTGAAGAGTGCAGAGCAAAATGGTGGAGTAGACACGGCCTTGCGTCTCTGAGTGGCGAAGACTGGATTTGAAGTGAGTCCTCCCTTTCTCTTTCTCTCTCTCTCCCCTTCTCTCTCCACCCTTTCTCTCTCAAACATCCCTATTTTTTTACCCTCTCCATTGTCCTCCCCCTTTGTCTCCCTCTTCCCCCCCACACACACACATTCCCCCCTCTCCCTCTCCCTTCAGCATGTTCTCTCCCTGTTTCTCAGGTCATTGCCCTCCCTCTCCGCCTGCTCTCTCCAGAGTTGTGCTCCACAGAGCAGCCAGGAGTAGAGAGGCGCCTCACCCAGAGATTCGGCCATGTTTTGGCTCTCCCAGACCTGTTTCTTTCTCCTGCTGCTGCACGGCGTGACCTCCGAGGGTACGTTCAAACACCCCACCATATCAAACGGTTGACAAATGGTTATGTAGAGAGAAAGTGAGGGAAACTCTGGGGTTTAGTCAGTGTCAGTGATTGGGGTCAGTGTGTGAGTACGGGTGAGGGCAAGTGACTGGGATGTTATGGTGTCTGTATCTCTGCTTGCTTTGATGATTGTGATGACTGTGTGCAAGACAAGCATGTTAAGATGACAACAGCCTAATTGATGATCAAGGTGAGAAAGATGATGATGGTGATGATGATAATGATGATGGTGATGATGATAGTGATGATGATGATGATAGTGATGATGATAATGATGATAGTGATGGTGATGATGATGGTGATGATGATGGCAGTGGTGATGATGATAGTGATGATGATGATGATGGTGATTATGATAATGGTGATGATGATGGTGCTGATGATGATGATAATGGTGATGATGGTGATGATGATGTGATGGTGATGATGGTGATGATGATGGTGATGATGATGGTGATGATGATGGATGATGATGATGATGATGATGATGATCACAACAACGTCCTGCTGCCACTGATGATGATTTTTCCCTGTGTCCCCAGTCTTCCTGAACAGTGACGATGCTAGCCAGATTCTGAACCGGCGGCGGCGGGCCAACAGCCCATTTGAGGAGTGGCGGCAGGGAGACATGGAGAGAGAGTGTATCGAGGAACCCTGTGACAGAGAGGAGGCTAGGGAGATCTTTGAGGATGACAAACTGACTGTAAATTCCCTTTCTCCATCTTGGTTTCTCTCTATCTATCTCTCTTTAAACCAGAAACACTTACATGTCTGTTCGCGTCACATTCACATAAATCACATTCCTGTTTAGTCACTCACTCACTTTGCACTCATTCACACCACCTTTACACGCTCATGATTCCAACCCGAAATTCCTGTGTGTTTGGAATCATGACCTTTCTGGTTTGAATTTGTGACGGTTGTGTTTCTTTTTACCTCTTTCCCTCAGACTGAATTCTGGAACAAATATTACGGTAAGGCCCAGGAGTCTGTTGAGGCTAAGGGTTGGCGCAAGAGGCTGGGGTTGGGATCACATGGGGTTTGCTGATTAGCGCTGGGTTGGAGTCAGGTTGGGGTCAGATTGGGGTCAACCTAGTCAGTTCAGGAAGTGAAGGACTCACGACCACACACCAAAATAATGGGCCATTTTCAATTCATGAATTGATTGTTTGCAGTGTGTTTGGTGTTGCTGTGCTGGTAGGTCCATGGCGAGAAATAAACTGTGTTTCATACAGTGAGGGAAAAAAGTATTTGATCCCCTGCTGATTTTGTACGTTTGCCCACTGACAAAGAAATGATCTGTCTATAATTTTAATGGTAGGTTTATTTGAACAATGAGAGACAGAATAACAAAACAAAAAATCCAGAAAAACGCATGTCAAAAATGTTATACATTTATTTGCATTTTAATGAGGGAAATAAGTATTTGACCCCCTCTCTATCAGAAACATTTCTGGCTCCCAGGTGTCTTTTATACAGGTAACGAGCTGAGATTAGGAGCACACTCTTAAAGGGAGTGCTCCTAATCTCAGCTTGTTACCTGTATAAAAGACACCTGTCCACAGAAGCAATCAATCAATCAGATTCCAAACTCCAAAACTCCAAAAATGGCCAAGACCAAAGAGCTCTCCAAGGATGTCAGGGACAAGATTGTAGACCTACACAAGGCTGGAATGGGCTACAAGACCATCGCTAAGCAGCTTGGTAAGAAGGTGACAACAGTTGGTGCGATTATTTGCAAATGGAAGAAACACAAAAGAACTGTCAATCTCCCTCGGCCTGGGACTCCATGCAAGATCTCACCTCGTGGAGTTGCAATGATCGTGAGAACGGTGAGGAATCAGCCCAGAACTACACGGGAGGATCTTGTCAATGATCTCAAGGCAGCTGGGACCATAGTCACCAAGAAAACAATTGGTAACACACTACGCCGTGAAGGACTGAAATCCTGCAGTGCCCGCAAGGTCCCCCTGCTCAAGAAAGCACATATACAGGCCCGTCTGAAGTTTGCCAATGAACATCTGAATGATTCAGAGGAGAACTGGGTGAAAGTGTTGTGGTCAGATGAGACCAAAATGGAGCTCTTTGGCATCAACTCAACTCGCCGTGTTTGGAGGAGGAGGAATGCTGCCTATGACCCCAAGAACACCATCCCCACCGTCAAACATGGAGGTGGAAACATTATGCTTTGGGGGTGTTTTTCTGCTAAGGGGACAGGACAACTTCACCGAATCAAAGGGACGATGGAGAGGGGCCATGTACCATCAAATCTTCGGTGAGAACCTCCTTCCCTCAGCCAGGGCATTGAAAATGGGTCGTGGATGGATATTCCAGCATGACAATGACCCAAAACACACAGCCAAGGCAACAAAGGAGTGGCTCAAGAAGAAGCACATTAAGGTCCTGGAGTGGCCTAGCCAGTCTCCAGACCTTAATCCCATAGAAAATCTGTGGAGGGAGCTGAAGGTTCAAGTTGCCAAACGTCAGCCTCGAAACCTTAATGACTTGGAGAAGATCTGCAAAGAGGAGTGGGACAAAATCCCTCCTGAGATGTGTGCAAACCTGGTGGCCAACTACAAGAAACGTCTGACCTCTGTGATTGCCAACAAGGGTTTTGCCACCAAGTACTAAGTCATGTTTTGCAGAGGGGTCAAATACTTATTTTGTATATATTGTCTCTCACTGTTCAAATAAACCTACCATTAAAATTATAGACTGATCATGTCTTTGTCAGTGGGCAAACATACAAAATCAGCAGGGGATCAAATACTTTTCTCCCTCACTGTAGATGGAGATGCCTGTGAGTCTAAGCCATGTGTCCACAACGGGGTCTGCAAGGATGGGATTGGGACGTACACCTGCTTCTGTCTCGCTGGATTCCAGGGGTACAACTGTGAGATTGGTACGTCTCTGTCTTCTTCTCCCTTTCCTCTTCAACTTTGATGAACAATCTCATTCCCGACTCCAACACAGACGCTAGAAATATCCCGACTCCAGGTCACTCCGTAGTCAGGAACAACACCTGGCCCTAATCATGACTCTAGTTTGTCTAATCTGTATCCTTGATGTGATGCTGTTCTGCAGACATTGCTGAGATGTGTGAGAATAACAATGGAGACTGTGATCACTTCTGCCACGTGAAGAAGGACAGTGTGCAATGTTCCTGTGCCGATGGCTACTATCTGGACACAGACGACAAGTCCTGCCTTTCCAACGGTGAGAGGAGGGAGAGATGGAGAGAGAGAAAGAGAGAGAGAGAGAGAGACAGAACAAAAGACAGACAGACAGACAGACAGAATGACAGCGACAGAGACAGAGAGAGATAGAGACAGAGAGAGACAGAGAGAAACAGACAGACATACAGTGGGGAAAAAATGAATGAATGAAAGAGAGAGAGATATATATAGAGAGAGAAAGATAGAGGGAGCGAGAGAAAGAGAGAAATAGATAGAGAGAAAGAAAGAAAGAAAGAAAGAAAGAAAGAAAGAAAGAAAGAAAGAAAGAAAGAAAGAAAGAAAGAAAGAAAGAAAGAAAGAAAGAAAGAGAGAAAGAAAGAAAGAGAGAGTTGCAGAAACGAACAACCCTGAATGCTATTTAGAGGGAACCCCACTAGAGGTGTATCTACTCTCCTATACCTGCCAGGGACATTCTCCTGGGGGACACGCCTTCCCAATGACAATACAGGTTTCGCCTCTCGCCTCGGCAAAGATTGGCTTCTCCTTCACCATGTCGATAACTTCATCCTCATATACAAATTGGATTTCTCTCTGTTGGGTTACATTCAAGGCCGTTTCCCTGATAGGGTCCTCCATCATGTTGGTCTTTTCAGTGGTGTTGGTGGCAGTGGTGTTAGGCTGGTAGATGAAGATGGTGCGGGTGTTCTTGGATACCACGAAGCCACACTTAAAGGCCTCTTCAATGACAAAAGGACAACAATGTTATTAGGTACTAACTAAGCCCAACCTACAACCTACTAATGGAGATCAACGATGCTGCAGCTTCTCTACCCCCATAGATAATTTGTATATGTCCCTCTCTCTGTTGTTCTGTCTGTCTCTCTCCCTCTCTCTGTCTCTCTGTCGTTATGTCTGTCTGTTTCTCTCTGTTTCTGTCTCTCGCTGTCTCTATCTCTCTCTGTCTCTGTCTCTGTCATTCTGTCTGTCTGTTTCTCTGTTGTTCTGTCTGTCTCTCTCCCTCTCTCTGTCTCTCTGTCGTTATGTCTGTCTGTTTCTCTCTGTCTCTCTCTGTGTCATTCTGTCTGTCTGTCTGTTGTTCTGTCTGTCTCTCTCCCTCTCTCTGTCTCTCTGTTGTTACAGTGGGGAAAAAAAGTATTTAGTCGGCCACCAATTGTGCAAGTTCTCCCACTTAAAAAGATGAGAGAGGCCTGTAATTTTCATCATAGGTACACGTCAACTATGACAGACAAAATTAGAAAAAAAAATCCAGAAAATCACATTGTAGGATTTTTAATGAATTTATTTGCAAATTATGGTGGAAAATAAGTATTTGGTCAATAACACAAGTTTCTCAATACTTTGTTATATACCCTTTGTTGGCAATGACACAGGTCAAACGTTTTCTGTAAGTCTTCACAAGGTTTTCACACACTGTTGCTGGTATTTTGGCCCATTCCTCCATGCAGATCTCCTCTAGAGCAGTGATGTTTTGGGGCTGTCGCTGGGCAACACAGACTTTCAACTCCCTCCAAATATTTTCTATGGGGTTGAGATCTGGAGACTGGCTAGGCCACTCCAGGACCTTGAAATGCTTCTTACGAAGCCACTCCTTCGTTGCCCGGGCGGTGTGTTTGGGATCATTGTCATGCTGAAAGACCCAGCCACGTTTCATCTTCAATGCCCTTGCTGATGGAAGGAGGTTTTCACTCAAAATCTCACAATACATGGCCCCATTCATTCTTTCCTTTACACGGATCAGTCGTCCTGGTCCCTTTGCAGAAAAACAGCCCCAAAGCATGATGTTTCCACCCCCATGCTTCACAGTAGGTATGGTGTTCTTTGGATGCAACTCAGCATTCTTTGTCCTCCAAACACGACGAGTTGAGTTTTTCCCCAGATGCTTCAGGGGAACCTGGAGAGGGAGTGTTATGAGGAGTCCTGCAACTACGAGGAGGCCAGGGAGTACTTTGAAGACACACCCAAAACTGTGAGCAGTTTAGGCCTATAGGGTGCATCTCAATAGTCTAAAATGTATTCCTTTCCTTCAACTGCACTGATCTGACAACATAGGCTATCCCCTTATCCATAACTAATGCAGTAGTTTTCTGATTTAAACCCTGTGTCCGTTGTCTCTCTCTCTGTTATACCTCAATAGGACACTTTCTGGAATGTCTATGTCGGTAAGTCTCGTTCTTTTGAATCGCAGCAGAGGGGTGTTGGGTTTTCTCCCGAGTCCAGATATTGAATCCTTTCCTCCCCCTCTTCTTCTTCCTCCTCCTCCCCAGATGGGGACCAGTGCAAACCCAATCCCTGTCTCCATGGCGGCAGCTGCAAGGACGGCGTTGGAGGTTACACCTGTAGCTGCACAGAGCTGTACCACGGCAAGAACTGTGAAATAGGTCAACAGAACACCTACCTTAGAACTCTTTATGAGTGTGTGTGCGTGCATGCGTGTGTTCATAGTTGTGTGAGTAGGCTAAGAGATATGTTTGTGTGTCACAACAGATAACTCTCAGTGCCCCACCAAGGGGCCCTTTTCCTGTGACCACTTCTGCAGTCCCAAGTTTGGAGCATACCAGTGCTCCTGCACCACGGGGTACAAGATTCACAGTGATAAGAGGAGCTGCATACCTGCAGGTTAACGTCTACCTATTCTTTTGAATTAGACATCTGCAACACTCCCGCTCTCACACACACTTTATATAGAGACGTCTCTGTTTCCTTAGTTAAGCACCCCTGTGGAAGACTCCAGCCAACAAACCAAATAAACATAGCCTATCACGTCTGTCCACACAACCGCTGTCCATGGCAAGTAAGTCCCTCCCCTACCAGCACAACGTAGAGCAAGGTGAGTTAAAGGGGAAGTTTGGGACCATGGATTACAGTTTCTCCTGGCCTATAGACTACTTTCAAGGTGAGGAACATTAAGTTGTGAAATATTGAACTTCCCCTTTTAACCTGTGGCTTTGTGATTGGCAGGTGGTGTTTGTGGATGAGGCTGGTGCGGAGCTGTGTAGCGGGGTGATCCTAGGGCCTCACGCAGTCCTGACATCAGCTAGCTGCCTGTACATGGGAAAGAAACTCCACAGCATGCAGACAGGTGAGTCCCACAGCGATCAAAACACTGAGGTTTGATATGGTTAGTGTATAAACCTCCAGCTCAGGCAGATTCAAATCTTTCTGAAATCTAACAGTTTCCTTCATCCCCTAAGGTGCCTCAAATAATAGTGTGAGGATCCCTCTATCGACCCAACTGTACATTCACAACCGCCACAAGAGGGGCAGTCTGGAGGACGACCTGGCCTTGGTGAGACTAAATGAGCCCCTCCCCTTCGGCCCCTCTGTCTCCCACCTGTGCCTGCCCACTAAGGATTTCTGTGAGAATGTGTTGATGAGTCCAGGAAGGGAGGGGGTGGCCAGGGGTCCGGACAAACTCCGGGGGGAATCCCACGGCCACCCTGTTCTCTCCTACCTGCATGTGGAGGGCTGTCGAAACCAGGTGAACTTCTCCCAGCTGCTCAGTAACAAGATGTTCTGTATGGGTCGCCAGAAGGGCTTCTGTCGGACTGAGTTGACTAGGTTTAATGAGACAGACCTCAAACCAGGACTAACGAGGAACCGCAGCCTCTTGTCCGGGACCCCCGTTGTGACTGTGGAGAGGCATACAGCGTTCCTCACAGGCCTGCTCCTTTCACCACCCACATCACATGACTGTGGACAAACCCTGGTGTTCACAAAGCTGTCTCGCTACTTGCACTGGATCCAGCAGCACCTGGACATGACAGAGGTGAGGATGACACCACAAATTACCCAAGATCCACCTGGACCTTATGGGGTAACCCCAACCTAGGGTTAGCCTGATCCCTACCTGCACTGGACTTAAAGCCAACAGGGCTGCGTTCAAGATTGAAGTTGTTTCTGCAAGGTTAACAATGTAAATGAGTGTAGTTATATTGTAACGTGTACTATAATTATATACAATTATTAATCTCCCACACTTCCTTAATAAACAAAAATGTTGTACAAGGAGTACAAACAATCACTTTTATTCCAAATCACAAAATATGACAAAATAAAATGCAACCTAAATAATAAGGAAATATATTTCTGGGAACATTTTCTGGGTGAAGGGGATTCTGGGATACGTAGATTAGGAAGATGATGACAGCAGGGGGAATGGATTGGCCTTGCTGACGACCAGTTTCTGGTGCTGGTGAGAGATGTAGCCCTTGATGTGACCCTAGAAGAGGAACAAGAAGAGAGGTAATCTGCTGCTTCATGTCTTACGACTTTCTGAAATATCAGGTGTAGTGCTTAGTATGGTCAGAGAAAAAGGTCAGTGTGTGTGTGTGTGTTAGTGGTGGTATCTCACCTCACAGATTAGGTTGGCCAGGATACACTGCACCTCGTCAATGTCCACCTCTTCCACCTGCATCATTTTTAGAGCTACCAGGAAGGCATCTAGGGGTAACTGGTGAGTCTTCAGCAGCTGGTACCTTACACAAACATGTTAACAAAGAGTCAATTTCGCTCTTAGGTTAACACACATGAAGTTCATACCACAAACATGTTAACAAAGAGTCAATATCGCTCATAGGTTAACACACATGAAGTTCATACCACAAACACGTTAACAAAGAGTCAAAATCGCTCTTAGGTTAACACACATGAAGTTCATACCACAAACACGTTAACAAAGAGTCAATATCGCTCTTAGGTTAACACACATGAAGTTCATACCACAAACATGTTAACAAAGAGTCAAAATCGCTCTTAGGTTAACACACACACACCAATTCCTACTCCACCAATGCAGATTCACACTATAGGGCTGAACCTGAATCGTACTGTGCTGGCTCAGATCATTTATTTTCACACTGACCTTTCAGTGCGGTTCCAGCAACTATGATGGATGTGTAACCAGGCCAGCCCAGTACAGCTGGACTTGGCTCAGTAGTGTGAAAATTGTACAAGACTCACACTTTCTTGAAGAGGTTCCGGTAGGTGATGATCTTGAGCTTCTCGAGGATGAGGAAGATGCCACAGCGGATGAAGAAGGTCTCGTGCTTGGCCAAGGCCTCGTTCAGCAGCAGCAGGTTGCCCTCACTGTTACACAGACAGACAGACAGAGAGACAGACAGACAGAGAGAGAGATGAATGATAGAAAGAGAGAGGAGGAAGTAGAGAGAGAGATGGCGAGGAGCGGGAGGGTGGTGACTCACCTCACAGCTTTCGTGACGTCGGCAAACTGCATGAGGTCATACTTCCTGAGCAGCTGGTGATTAGGCATGTGACCCTGAAACAACATGAGCAACACCAGTCTCAGTCTCTGATTGACAATCAAGCTTTTTGAATTTGATTTGAATTGAGACGTGTGTGGCTAGATGAGCACATGTTAAGGCTCTCTCAGTAAAGCTCTGTCTCACCAGCAACATCTTGACAGGCAGTAGGTAGATGAGGATCATGCGTTTGTTCCTCTGGCTGGAGCGGTGGCAGTGCTGGAAGGAGAAGGACAGGTACTCCTCGGCTGGTTTGTAGTCGCTGTCGAACATGGCCTTACGGCCTACGTAGTATTTGTAGGTGACTCTCTGGGCCATACTGTAATCATCCTTCAGGTTGGAGCTGTCGATGGCCCGGATCAGTGGCTTACACAGGTGTAGCTTGTTGATCTGGACACACAGAACCATTTAGACACACAGAGATGTACACACATACACACACACGAAGTAGGCCCTATTCACACTACTGCCTTACCTTGAAGTATATCTTGAAGAGCTGATTGATGAGAAACAACATCCCCCACTTCTTGGAGTCGTCAATACCAGCCCGACTGTAAACGATAACAGTCAAGACATAATGGGTAAGGGGCTATGGTTGCTACAGTAAAGGCTGTAAGATATATAGTTTAATATGCTGTCAATAGTGTCCAATGCTGTAATATATATAGTTTAATATGCTGTCAATGGTGTCCAATGCTGTGAGATATATAGTTTAATATGCTGTCAATGGTGTCCAATGCTGTGAGATATATAGTTTAATATGCTGTCAATGGTGTCCAATGCTGTGAGATATATAGTTTAATATGCTGTCAATAGTGTCCAATGCTGTAATATATATAGTTTAATATGCTGTCAATAGTGTCCAATGCTATAAGATATATAGTTTAATATGCTGTCAATAGTGTCCAATGCTGTGAGATATATAGTTTAATATGCTGTCAATAGTGTCCAATGCTATAAGATATATAGTTTAATATGCTGTCAATGGTGTCCAATGCTATAAGATATATAGTTTAATATGCTGTCAATAGTGTCCAATGCTATAAGATGTATAGTTTAATATGCTGTCAATAGTGTCCAATGCTGTGAGATATATAGTTTAATATGCTGTCAATAGTGTTCAATGCTGTGAGATATATAGTTTAATATGCTGTCAATAGTGTCCAAAGCTATAAGATATATAGTTTAATATGCTGTCAATGGTGTCCAATGCTATAAGATATATAGTTTAATATGCTGTCAATAGTGTCCAATGCTGTAAGATATATAGTTTAATATGCTGTCAATAGTGTCCAATGCTATAAGATGTATAGTTTAATATGCTGTCAATAGTGTCCAATGCTGTGAGATATATAGTTTAATATGCTGTCAATAGTGTCCAATGCTGTGAGATATATAGTTTAATATGCTGTCAATAGTGTCCAATGCTGTAAGATATATAGTTTAATATGCTGTCAATAGTGTCCAATGCTGTGAGATATATAGTTTAATATGCTGTCAATAGTGTCCAATGCTGTAAGATATATAGTTTAACATGCTGTCAATGGTGTCCAATGCTGTGAGATATATAGTTTAATATGCTGTCAATAGTGTCCAATGCTGTAAGATATATAGTTTAATATGCTGTCAATAGTGTCCAATGCTATAAGATATATAGTTTAATATGCTGTCAATGGTGTCCAATGCTGTGAGATATATAGTTTAATATGCTGTCAATAGTGTCCAATGCTGTAAGATATATAGTTTAACATGCTGTCAATGGTGTCCAATGCTGTGAGATATATAGTTTAATATGCTGTCAATAGTGTCCAATGCTGTGAGATATATAGTTTAATATGCTGTCAATAGTGTCCAATGCTGTAAGATATATAGTTTAATATGCTGTCAATAGTGTCCAATGCTGTGAGATATATAGTATAATATGCTGTCAATGGTGTCCAATGCTGTGAGATATATAGTTTAATATGCTGTCAATAGTGTCCAATGCTGTGAGATATATAGTTTAATATGCTGTCAATAGTGTCCAATGCTGTAAGATATATAGTTTAATATGCTGTCAATGGTGTCCAATGCTGTGAGATATATAGTTTAATATGCTGTCAATAGTGTCCAATGCTGTAAGATATATAGTTTAATATGCTGTCAATAGTGTCCAATGCTGTGAGATATATAGTTTTAATATGCTGTCAATAGTGTCCAATGCTGTAAGATATATAGTTTAATATGCTGTCAATAGTGTCCAATGCTGTGAGATATATAGTTTAATATGCTGTCAATAGTGTCCAATGCTGTGAGATATATAGTTTAATATGCTGTCAATAGTGTCCAATGCTGTGAGATATATAGTTTAATATGCTGTCAATAGTGTCCATGTCCTGTGAGACTCACTTGTCGCTGGCACACACTCTGAAACAGCCCATCAGTTGTTCAGCAGCTTTCTCCAGCATGTCTCCCAGCTTGCCTTTTCCCTTCCTCAGGAGCTGCTGCTCCGCCTGGACAATAACACTACAATCATCAAACCCCTCCTATAGGACATGACTTATCCATCACTGGATCAGAAGCATTCTAGAGCACAACTGTTTATGTTCACTTACATTATTGGCAAATATCCGTAAGTCCAGCGTAACAGCGAACATCACTGGCAAGGCCCTAAACAGCACATATAGAGCAGTTATCCCACAGACGTGTATATGTAGAATAGAAAAACATTAAGGGCAAATTGATATTTTTTGGCATGCTTATCCTTACCAGTTCTCCTCTTTGTGAGATTGGAAGGCCCTCAAGAATGACGTAGAAAGTCAAGGAGGAACCGCAGAGAAACCATGACAGAACAGTTTGGAAATGTACTAGTCTACAGTATGTGCTTGAGTACGTAGCCTATGTAGGGTTGTACAATTCTGCGAACTTTAAATAAATTCCCTGGTTTTGCCAAAATCCCAGTTGGAGGTTCCCTGGAATCAGGAGGGAATAAGTATGAAATCCGGTATCCTCCAAACAGGATTTCTGGAAAACCAGGAAATTTATTGAAAGTTTCTGGAATTTTTGCAACCCTAATAAGCCCATGTACATGTACAGTGAGGGAAAAAATTATTTGATTCCCTGCTGATTTTGTACGTTTGCCCACTGACAAAGAAATGATCAGTCTATAATTTTAATGCTAGGTTTATTTGAACAGTGAGAGACAGAATAACAAAGAAATCCAGAAAAACGCATGTCAAAAATGATATAAATTGATTTGCATTTTAATGAGGGAAATAGGTATTTGACCCCCTCTCAATCAGAAAGATTCCTGGCTCCCAGGTGTCTTTTATACAGGTATCGAGCTGAGATTAGGAGCACACTCTTAAAGGGAGCGCTCCTAATCTCAGCTTGTTACCTGTATAAAAGACACCTGTCCACAGAAGCAATCAATCAGATTCCAAACTCTCCACCATGGCCAAGACCAAAGAGCTCTCTAAGGATGTCAGGGACAAGATTGTAGACCTACACAAGGCTGGAATGGGCTACAAGACCATCGCCAAGCAGCTTGGTGAGAAGGTGACAAGAGTTGGTGTGATTATTCGCAAATGGAAGAAACACAAAATAACTGTCAATCTCACCTCGTGGAGTTGCAATGATCATGAGAACGGTGAAGAATCAGCCCAGAACTACACGGGAGGATCTTGTCAATTATCTCAAGGCAGCTGGGACCATAGTCACCAAGAAAACAATTGGTAACACACCACGCCGTGAAGGACTGAAATCCTGCAGCGCCCGCAAGGTCCCCCTGCTCAAGAAAGCACATATACAGGCAGGTCTGAAGTTTGCCAATGAACATCTGAATGATTCAGAGGAGAACTGGGTGAAAGTGTTGTGGTCAGATAGACCAAAATCGAGCTCTTTGGCATCAACTCAACTCGCCGTGTTTAGAGGAGGAGGAATGCTGCCTATGACCCCAAGAACACCATCCCCACCGTCAAACATGGAGGTGGAAACATTATGCTTTGGGGGGGGGGGGTTCTGCTAAGGGGACAGGACAACTTCACCGCATCAAAGGGACGATGGACGGGGCCATGTACCGTCAAATCTTGGGTGAGAACCTCCTTCCCTCAGCCAGGGCATTGAAAATGGGTCATGGATGGGTATTCCAGCATGACAATGACCCAAAACACACGACCAAGGCAACAAAGGAGTGGCTCAAGAAGAAGCACATTAAGGTCCTGGAGTGGCCTAGCCAGTCTCCAGACCTTAATCCCATAGAAAGTCTGTGGAGGGAGCTGAAGGTTCGAGTTGCCAAACGTCAGCCTCGAAACCTTAATGACTTGGAGAAGATCTGCAAAGAGGAGTGGGACAGAATCCCTCCTGAGATGTGTGCAAACCTGGTGGCCAACTACAAGAAACGTCTGACCTCTGTGATTGCCAACAAGGGTTTTGCCACCAAGTACTAAGTCATGTTTTGCAGAGAGGTCAAATACTTATTTCCCTCATTAAAATGCAAATCAATTTATAAAATTGTTGACATGCGTTTTTCTGGATTTTGTTGTTGTTATTCTGTCTCTCACTGTTCAAATAAACCTACCATTAAAATTATAGACTGATCATGTCTTTGTCAGTGGGCAAACATACAAAATCAGCAGGGGATAAAATACTTTTTTCCCTCACTGTATATATTTGTCAGGCAGGGACGGGGAGTGATGAGAAAATGTATCCAAAGTAATCTCCAGAAATGCCAAAAGGATATTGAACCACCAATGTCTGACATTTGTACGCCTCAACAAAGTCGTGGTTGGACACTGCATAGGTGCACCTCAAGTGTGCTGCAACCATCTCATCGTACGGGACCTCCAGCACCTGTTGGCACTTCTCCTCTGGACTGGCGAGCTGCAGACATACATACAGTCATGTTGTTAGAGCAAAACACAGAGGGTGTAATCTGAAGAGATACAAGTGTAACAGGTCAGCAGGACTTGAAGGCATGGAAGGTTCTGGCAGCCTGTATAGCCTTACCTGGAGACGTGGGTTAGCCACATGTGGGTGTTTGAATGACAGCAGTTCTGCACAAAAGCTCCCCTCATGATTATCAATGGCCTCACACACCTGGGAAGAGGTAGGTAACATGGTGTGAACTGAGCATGCGCGACTAGTGCTGAACATTGTGAACACAAAGAATAGCTAAATGAAAGTTTATGCGAAGGAAGCAGACTGAAGGGTTCACTTGATAACCAGTAAGATAAAATAGAAAAATGACTACCTGTTGGAGATACTGGTTGATTGTTATGTGCGCCATTGCGGCCCGGGATGTGAACCTTCGAAAAAGTTTAAATAATAAAACAGATATTCAAGCAAACCCGCTAAGCAGCAAGAGCTGCTTATGGCTATTGGCAATTCATTTAGCTAGCTACTAGTAGATTAGCTAAGAATCCAATTCAGCATCACGAGTGTGATGATTAAATTGTGATAATATAACATAACGTTTTATATCACTTTAACTAACGCTAGCTAGATAGCTAAAATTGTTTAATAGCAGATTAACCTAGCATTGCTAAGCTAGCATGCATTAATTCATTGACTGTCAAGGACTGCTAGCTTGCTAGATTGTGGCTGATAAGATACATCAACGTGTAACTAGCTAGCAAGTTTACTAAGCCAGTGGTTCCCAACCTTTTGCGGTTATTGTACCACCAACAAAATGTTGCTCTGCCCAGAGTAGTGTACTCCTGAAGTACCCCCATATGTTACCCCCCCATATGTGCATTTTGCCAGTAAAAGCCTATGGTCTCATGAGTCTACTCAAGTACCCCCTGTGGATAGGCAAAGTAAGCCAGGGCTCCTAGTACCCCTGGTTGGGAACCACTGTACTAAGCTAATGGCATAATTCCAATGTATCCGTCTATAGCTACCTGTTGTAGTTAAACTTCTTTTTCTCGAAGTGCTCTATTTAAAATGTATTCATGTTGTTGAACTGTAGCTTCACGAATCACTTCCGGGTCAATTTATTCCTTCAGCCTTCAAAATAAAAGTCCCCCATGTACTACAATAGTCTATATAGAACTTTGTCGCCTCCCTGTGGTTATTAGAAGCTATGCACAATGAAATCATTGCTCTCGCAATCAAGCTCTCTCAAGCACACACACACAAACACACACTGCGCCTCCGTGATCTATGATGTGTCTGGATGTGCGCCTGTGGGAGGGAGTGTTTCACGCTGCACTGTGTGATTAATGGAGGAGTGAGAATGGGCTCTTAAAATAGATTGTGCAGAGTGCCAATAGCCTCGCGCTAGTCTGTGTGTCCTGCAAACCGGTTCACAATGTTATCACAGTGATTCTACCTTCCTCAGCTCAGCACGTGCACGTGGCCCAGTCACGCTCCACTCCCTCTAACAGCTCCTCTTCTCAGGTTGCTAGGTATCACAGTAACATATTGGATCCCAGTAACATATTGGATCCCAGCCGGGGAATGGATTGCCGGCATGCCCTCTAACGTGACTTTGGTATAGGCCATGAAACCCTGTGTGTGTTAGAGAGGGAGCCTTGCAACATCCAGAGATGCCGACACAGCACAGCAAGGACACTACATTTACATTTTAGTCATTTAGCAGACGCTCTTATCCAGAGCGACTTACATGAGCAATTAGGGTTAAGTGCCTTGTTTAAGGGCACATCAACAGATTTTTCACCAAGTCGACTCAGGGATTAGAACCAGCGACTTTATGGTTACTGGCACAATGCTCTTACCCACTAAGCTACCTGCCGACACTATAGGTTACACTGCAGTAACTTCAGTTCTCTGAAAGACCTGTCAAAATCATCCATTTTAAATCTCTTTGCCCTCATAAAACAACCGCTCTGCCATTACATCGAAGAACATCTGCTTACTGTAGATTTCACAGCTGTCCCCTCTGTTGCCTAGCAACCTGCTGCCCCTGTTTTTATGATGGCAAACTCCGGAGTCACATCAGTAATAGCCAGGCGTCTATTTGGGGTCGCTGCTGGGCAGAATTGTGACATGGTGTTTGAAGATCTTCAATTTCGGCACACCACAGCTCTTCACCACTCCTTCAACCTTCCCCAGTCTGTGTCTTTGTGCAGACGCAACATAAATGCCACCAATGTACGTACACTGACTGCAAATGACTCTCCTTACTAGGACTCAAATTACTGTCTCAATCCATGTTCAGGGGAGCTGTATGAGAAACTCTCTTTTTGTCCCCACAATACCTCAGAGAGCATCTTTTTTTGCATACCTCTGATGGGAAAGACAGGGTAAAGTGTCACAGTGAACGCTGCTACACAGAGCCAAACGTTAGGACACACTGTACTCTGTACTGTAAAACCTGTTTGGCATAGCAACATATAAGGAGCCCGAAAAACTCTTAATATAGCTTTGTATTTACAGGGAGGCATACAGTCTGTGTACTGTAAATAATACCTCTATTTGATCTTTCTCTACATCTAGTTTTTTCCTGTAAAGCACATTGCGTTGCATTCCATGTCTGTAATGTGCTGTATGAATAAAGCTTGATTTGATTTTATCTTGCTGTGCTGGCATGAGTGTCATTGCCCTAGACCTCGGCTGATGGGCGTTTCATGTAGTAGCTGACACTAAAGTTGACCCTCATGTGAAATTCTAATCCACTCAGTTTGAATAACCTTCCAAAATTACCTTCTCTTTTTAAAGGGCAATTCCGCCACTTTTCAACCCCATTATCTCCAGCATCATACCAGTGTCTACATACTGTATGTGAAAACGGCACGTTTCTATGATCTGTGGTTAAAAAGATAAGTAGAAAGGTACTAAAAATAAATGCTTCTCTGTGACATCACAGGGTTGGATTAAAATGAAGAAAACTGTGATTTTCAAAACCTGCAGTGAGTTTCTAGCCAGAGGGAAGGTATTTTCTTGCTCCCCATGTCACCGCGAATCTCAGTGTTTGAAAATCAGTGTTTTCAACATATTTTTACTTATGAAGATGTCATCGGGTAGAACTTTTTAACTTTATTTATTTCTACAAAACAAAAATAAATGGTTAGTTTTCAAATATGTATACACTGGTATCGTGTTGGAGATAATGAATAATTATAAGGTTGAAAAGTGGTGGAATCGTCCTTTAAGTGGTGCTTAATAGAATCTGAGTGCTCTTCATAAGGAAGTTTTGCCTGCTCAAAGGTTATACTATCTGTGCCCTTCTTTAGTGTTGAAGCTTTGTCCTTGGCCTCGGCATAGATAGTAGAAGTCTTGACGAGCGCCCCATCACTATTGTGTGACAGCATATCAGTCAGTGGTGTGAATGGAGCGAAGCACAGCACAGCCAATCCCCAAGCCCTGTTACTGTTAGCTGTACTATACTGATGTAGTACTGATTAAACCATGTCTGCTTTCACAAGTTTGTCTTCTCGCCATCTGACGAACATGTCGGAAGGGGTAGTAGTTCATAGAGTTTTGTATGAAGGTTTTGGCATGGATTGTGGTTGGGGAGGCCAGCCCCCGGTCGTGGCCCGATGTTGAGCTGCCCCCTGCTGGCAGGGCCAATCCATGGCCGTAAGCCAAGGTTGTGCTAGCCCCCCTGATGACGGGGCCAGCCCCTGGTCACGGACCGGGGTTGAGCTGGCCCACCATTGCACAGGGCGCCTGGAGGGTGAGTTGATGGGGAGGCCGGCCCCTGGTCATGGACCGAGGTTGGTAGCTGGCCTCCCAGCAGGGTGTTTATAAAGACTGGATGCAGGTGAGCAATTGGCATGGTCACAGCTCTGTGTCCATATTCTGAGTTTCTTGCTAATAGGCCTCATTCCAATATGGGTGTCTGGGCCCATATATGGATTTCCTGCTCCGGGCCACATTCCAATATGAAAGTCTGTGCCCATATATGGAGTTCCAGCTCCAAGGCTGAATTTCAATACGGAAGACAATGCCCATATATGGAAGTTCCTGCTGTGGATTAGCTGTGTTGTCTGAAGCTTAAAGCTCTCCTCCCGAAACTGCGTTATAAACTACACTTATGAGGTCGGCTGTCAGATTAGTTTGTGTGATGATGACACATATATTTATAATAGGCCCAGGCCTGGCTCTTCAGTCCAGCCGATAAGGGCAGAGGAACCTTATGTTGACCTCGGTCTGACCTTCCTGTCACATGACTTGTGAATTAAATCGATAGACAAGTAGATGAAATACTTATTTTTGTGAATTGACATAAATCAACGTTTTCTGCTGGCATCCTTCTGACAGATGCACCGTAATGCTGCAGCCTGGGCTACACTAATCAGAAAACCTCCTTCGAGTCAAATTAGCGTTGACCTTAGTTAATTGCCTTGTAACGTCAGCTTTAGCTGACTCAGTTAGTTTTGCTATTCTACTTTTCCTACCTCTTTTAATGAGGTAAATTAGAATAAAAAAATCCCAGGATGCCAATAAGCAAAAAATAGTCAAATAAATGTCATAGAATATATGAGAACAGATATTAAAGAAATTTGCTCTCACAGGGGACAATGCTGCTTTGCATTGCATATTCTGTGGTTATTGGGTTAACAAAGCCACCCGAAAAAGTGGCAGCCAGTAAGAAATATCATAGAATTACAAATTAGAATACTAGAATGGGACATTAAAGGTCAGCCATTTTGGTCAGGGAGTTGGTCAACCACGATTTGCCAGTGCTGTGATAAGATATTGTGTAAAACAATGAATGTGAAGAATTTATCTGCACTGTATGTTTGTTAGCTAGCTAGCCAGCCAATTTTAGAAGAGTGATTCCATACATTTTTCTAATTAATTCAGTGGTAATGCCCGAGAAGCCGGTGTTTGGAGGATATATTAGCACAGGTGTTGTTAGGCCCGAGACGAAGTTGAGGGCCAGCAAACCGTGCCAACATATCCTCCAAACACCAACTTCGAGGGCATTATTGTGGCGGGTGATTTGGACGGAAAAAACTCCATTGCGGTAAATAGCACTGAAGAAAAACAAGGCACACAGGTGAATATCCCGGTGATACAAAATACAATAGCTCCACCGAGCTATAATAACCTCCACAATAAACAATCACACACAAAGACAGGGGGGGCAGAGGGAATACTTATACAGGTACTGATGAGGGGATATGAACCAGGTGTGTGTAATAAACAAGACAAAACAAATGGAATGATGAGATGAGGAGCGGCAGTGGCTAGAAGGCCGGTGACGACGAACGCCGAAGCCTGCACGAACAAGGAGAGGAGGCAGCTTCGGAGGAAGTCGTGACAATTATCACTTTTATACAACGGGTTATCAATATATTCAAATAATGATTGACATATTTTCATTAAAGACGTTATTTTAATGAATGTATTCATACTATTTAATCCTTCCACAAGATATAGTCCCGACACAAATCTAGGGTTGCTACCCAAGCCGGCTGCTCGTTCGTTCTATTGGTTTGATTGCTAGAGACGCGACCCAGTCGTTCAGTCTTTTTGTTCTGTATCTATGGACGCGACCCAGTCGTTTGTTCTAAATGTTCCATTGCCATACTGGCTGGCAACGTTCTTATCCCTTGCTTGCTAGCTAGCCAACTAAGGCTAACTTACAGTCACGTCAAAAAGTGCAGCCAGAATAACAGCAAAGTAGCTGCATTTACATTTGTTTAAGCTGTTTTCTAGTGACATTTATTTGGATACATCCATAACAATGCGCTAAAGAGGCACGATTTCGCATGGCATAGAGAATGTGCTCACTCGTCAGGACACTGTTGTTCAGAGGAGCTAGCCAACAACACAGCTAACATAATCACTTCAAACTGAAGCTGGAAAGACTGCAAATTAGCTGCACCTTTTTTAAATTTACATTTCTTTGTATATATCCATACAAATTATGCCAGCTGATTGATGATTTCGACTGGCAGAGAAACGCCTGCCTGTCTGTCTCGTCCCGACTCCCGACACGTTCATTACTATGGGACAGCTGGAGATCGAATTTGAATATTAAAACAATGTTGCAAATGTTGGAGAGACAAACAGCAAGGTTTATACAAATCTCCGCTGTTGAAAACGAAATGTTAGTTTAAAAGAAATGTGAGATAATGTCTCTATGCTCTCCGATGGTGTCTCAGGCGGAGTGGAATATGCAAAAACCTAATTTCCAATTGTGTATGTGTATAATACACACTTGTACAT